GAGCTCTTCCGCCAGCGCTGCTCCATGATGGGCATGCAGCAGCCGCCAAAGACCTCGAACTCGTCCCAGCTCCGAGTCGGACTCGTCGGACGAACAGCAGCAGCCTCGGCAGCAGCAGCCCGTCGTGCCAGTTCTCAGAGCAGCAAAAGGAGGCCATCAAGCAGCGCTGGCGTGCGCGCGCCCTCCACGTCGTCGAGAAGCTGACTGGCGCGCAGGCGGCTCAAGCATTCGCGCCAAACCTCACCGATGACGCGTTCGAGCAGTGGTTTGCCAACAAGATGACCAAGCGCGCTGGGCACCACCACCGCCGTCGCAACTGCTTTGGTGGCCGCTTTGGTGGTCGCTTCTGGCACCACCATCACCAGCAGCAGCAGCAACAGCAGCAGCAGCAGCAGCAGGATCAAACGCAAGCTCAAGCTCAGGCTCAGAGCTGTTTCACTCCGAGCGCGTTCGATTCGCATTGTGCAGCTACACCTTCCAGCTCATCTGCGCCCGCCGAGTGTGCCGACGCCAACTGCGCTCAGTCATCGGAAGTGTACGCATGCGCGTCGGCTCCTTCTTGCACGGATGCGTCTGCTTGCATTGTCGACGAAGGACCGGCGGCTGCTGCTGCTGCTGCTGTCAAGCCCGCGCGAGCTCGTCCTGTGCGCATCCAGTTCCTCGTGGAGGGTGCGCTCGTCCACGACAACGCCAATGCAGCACAACAGCTCTTCCGAAACGTCACAGCCATCATTCGCGAGCAAGGTGCAGGCGACACTCCCAACAAGAAGGACAGCGTCGGCATCAGCGTCTTTGGCGACGACCAGCTCGTCGACGTCCTGCCCATGACCCGCATCAACAAGGTCAACTGGGAGCAAACGATGGCTGTCGGCACCAAGGCTGCCATTCCCTGTGCCACAAGCAACCTCGGCGATGCCATCAAGCTGCAACTCGAGCTCACCGCCCAAGAAATTTACGAAAACCCAAAGTGGGCCCGTGCCACCCAGTTCCTCGTTGTCGTCGCGAGTGGCGAAGACCACACAAGTGATGCGCCCATCAACGACGTGTCGCTGCTCCTTTCCGCTCACGTGGCCCAGTACAACACAAACCTGGCTGTTGTTGGCGTCGGTCTGACGCCCAGCACTCAAGGCTACATTGACGCGCTAACCAAGGATGCCATGACCGTCAAGCCTGTCCAGATGCTCCCATGCGCTTCTGCCAACATTGCTCCCGTCATTCCACCGCTCGTTGCCAGCATCGCCCAACAACGCGCCGCCAGCGCCCAAGCCCGTGCCACACACCGCAGCACCAAGCGCGAGGAGAGGCGCGCAGGCCACATGAACACGTAAAATTGTGCCATCGCTGGCTTGCTCCAACGCTGTGCCAGTTGGGTTGCATTGTATATCGTTTTCTCGTTTCGCTCGTAAATAATAAAAACCATGGTTGTCGAAAGAAATACCTTCCTTCTACTTGTCATATGTTTTCCGTTTTATTATTGTAGCTTTCGTTAGCGAGCTTTGCAACCGTCGTCGCAAAATCAAGACTCCATGGGACTGCTGACTGACGCGAGATCAGACTCAAAATGTGCAAACTGTTCCAACGCGGTCTTGACGCGATCGCGGACATCCAAATCATAGTCCTCCGACATTGCCAGCAGCAGTCGATCAACGTGGAGCTCACGAAGGCGAGCAACACGGTCGCTTGCGCCTGCAAAAGCAAGCAGAAAAACAAGACAAAAAGCCGAAGGGATGAGTTGAGACATGAGGGGAAAAAGCAGAAAAACCAACCAGCCTGACAAGGCCTTGCATACCAGTTTCCTCAGCCCAAGCCAAATTGATAACGCACCACACGGCAGCTACCCGGACACCGGGATCCGCGTGGGACTGTCAAGAACAAAAAAAAAAACAAAAACACAAATTAAAAAAAAATGAGCCTCCACCGCCAATCCTCGCTCATTTCCATGCTGCATACCAATGCTTCTACGAGCGAAGTCATAATAAGAGGATTCTGAATCAAGGTCGTCTTGTGCGCTTCGCTGCCCGTGGCGATATTGCACACAACATAGAGAGCCTGCTGAACAAGCACAGGCGCATTCGCTTCCTCTTGAAACACCTTCTGGAGGTGCTCGAGCAGCGGCTCGCCAAACTCGGCCATGACGCGCCCAATATCCTAGAACAGAGACACACAGACATTAGCGTCGTTTGTTGCCACTTGCCACAGTCGTGTTGTTATTACAATTTACCTCCAGAGCACCGTGAACGAGATTTCGAACCAACGTCAATGCTTGCTCTCGAATATCCTCGTGGGTGTCATTCAGAAGGCTGCTCCAAAACGGCACAGTTGTGATGAGTTGCATGAGCACAGTGACAATTGCAAGGTGACAACAAACAAAAATACCAAACTTTCACAGAGAGCATACCGATACAGTTTGCTCCATCCGAGCTCGCTCAACACCTTGTTCTTGTCCTGCAACTCTGCTTGATAGAGAATGTTTTTCAAGGCCCAGACACAGTTCAGACGCAAGTCGTGATCGTCTTTGAACGAGAGCTCTACTAGTTTTGCGACTCCGCCAGATTCCAAGACCATCTGTGCCAAATCACAACCGAGGGCAAACCGTCAGAGTTCAAACAACTTCGAGGTCAAAGTGACGACGACAACACTACAATCACGCCGATTCCTCATACCTTCTTCATTGGTGAAAAGTCCAGAACGATATTGCAAATGGTTGCGGAGGCGGCCGTTTGGACGACGGTCGATGGGTCTGAGAGCAGCTACAAAGCCAAAAGCATGACGAAAGAATCTACCTGTCAGAGCGAGCGCAGAAAAGCCAACATGCCTCGTTCAACCATCCACTCACCTTGAGCAAGGGCTTGGCCACGCCAGCATCGACCAGCGACGAGCGCAGGTGCTTGACTGAGCGAGAGAGGGATCGTGCAAGCTGGCAGGCAGCAATCCGAACAGACTCGTCGCGGTATTCGAGCAGCTCGACCAGCTTGGGCAGGACGCGCGCGTCCGCAATGGCCTTGCGATTCTCCTCTCGCTTGGAGCACAGGGCAGCCAGGGCGAGAAGAGCACTGCACCGCAAGCTTGCCTGAGCTTTGAGTTCTTGGGTGGGCGCATGCAGCTGCATGTAGGCCGCAATGGAGGGAGACTGCATCCCGATTGCCGACGTGTCGTTGCTCTCGTTGGTCTCGTCTTTCAAGTACACGGCCAGCTTGTTAATCACATCGGGATCGATAGCCAACTTCTGAAGCTCCTCGTGGTCATCCACCAAACGTGCAATCAGCTGTGGGGCCAAGATGCGAACCTTGGACGACGCATCTCCCAGCAGTTTAACGAGCGCTGGCATTAACACTTCGTTCGCGCCCAACTCCTGGAGTGGGAGGACATTTGCCTTGTAGAGGCTGATCAAGCAACTGCACGCATGCAAGCGCACTGTTGATGACTTGTGCTTGAGCAGATTCTTGGCCAGCGCAGCAAAGTTGCTGTTCGACGAGACTGAAACAATAAATGCGGCTCACGCGAGTGAGTTGCTTGCATGGGGTCTGTAAAAGCGGATCAATCACAAAACCTTACGAGGCGAGAGAGCCAGGATGCGACGCGCTATCAACGCCGAGGTTGAGCGGAGCAGCGCGGCGAAAGCCTCGATCGTGGGTTCCTAAAACGAAAAAAAAAAAAAACCAACAAGGTCAGCCTACATGGAATCGTGCAATCCGCACCACTTCGGACGCGCGACCCGTACCAGCGATGCTGATTGCTGCAGTAGCGGGGCGAGCTTATCCAAGGTAGCATCCGTCAACTGTCCTCCAGAAGTGTGAAGTCGCGAAAACAGGTAGACTGCGTCCAGGCCAGAGGACGAAGGACCAATCATCTCGGCAACCCTATTGACAAATTGTTGATGCTGGAATCGGCCGAGCCCAATGGCCAGCGGCAGTTAGTCATTTGAATGACAGATCAAGGAGCCTTGAACGGAACGGAATAAACCATCGATAACTACCTGGCTAAACCACTCGCCGGCAGCACTCTCATCCGATGCCACAATGATTTTCAGCGTGCGCATCAATGCTTCAAGCAGCCGTGACGAGGACTGCGCTTGCACACGGGTCAGCGCGGCAATCCCGCCTGCCTGGACGATTGCAGCGACGCGGGCATTCGAGTCTGTGTTTCAAAGTCAAACGAATCGTTCTTGCAAGTGAGCCTTTTTTTTTGTTGTTGTTTGTTTTGTTTCTCAGAGCAATACAACTTTCATTCCCGCCAGCTCTTTCGTCGACTTGGCTGAGTGACCGAGGAGTGATGACCCAGAAACGGGGGTTGATGCTTACCATGGGCTAAGCTGCCCAGCGTTGCTACAACTTGCAACTTGAGCTCGTCGTTCTGCGTCGCATCCAAGAGCTCCACAAGTCTAACATCCAAACAAAAACCCCAAACACGATGCACGAGTCAAGCGACAAGAGAGCGCCAAAACGTCAGTGAGGATGGGAGGAGTCGAAGCTTTTGCAAAAGGCGCAGTGAAAGCAGCGACCCAACAACATCATCATCATCGTCGCCATCATCATCATCATCATTATCATCATCAAAAGGGCCTTGTGTATCGAAAACTCACAGGGGAATGGCGGCGAGCTGGGCGTAGGCCGTCTTCTTGGAGAGCGAGCCGATAATCTCGTTCTTGAGCAGCCGCACTGCGCTGATCGCCTCAGCGTCGGACGCGACGGCCGTGTCGGGATGCGACGACGACGAATCGAGCTGCATCATGGTCGCTGTGGTGCTCGTGCTGCCGGTGGAGTGCGAGTCGCGGAGTGCGTCAAACTGCAACCCGGCAGGCGAATTGGCGCCGAGTCGGCTTCGGACTGCTGCGACAACCTCAAGCGGCTCGACTGCGACTCGCGAGGGCATTTTGGGGATGAAAATAGGAAGAGTGAGGCTTGGACTTTGCCAAATTAAAAAGTAGTTGAAAGAATACGAGAAACGTTGCTGAGACCAAAAGTCTGATAGGCTGGGCGCGCTCCTAAAGTTTGTCAACATGTTGGACATCTACTATTGGAACACAATCCTTCTGAAAGGCTTGGACAATGGTTACACGTCAATAAAGGAGGGATAATAAAACATTGGCAGCCTCACAATCCCCACAGAAGTTGGATTCCATGAAAAAAAAAAAAAAAAAACATGTGAAATCTCGGCCCTCGTTCATTCGTGGTGAATGTCTTCTCGGCGGCGATACACCAGCACGTACGCATTCGAGGTCTGTAGAATCAAGATGAGCAGCGCATGTGGGGTGAGTAACGCACAACTTCTCGCAAGCCAAACAAGGGACATGCTTACTTGAATCTCGTTCGCGGACTTGCGGGAGACATGAGAATCGTCAAATTCAAACCACTGATCGTCATGTTCATGAGCAGGAAGGGGATCGCTTGGCACAGTCCCAGCACCTCGAGATGCGACGAGGTCGTGATTTTCGCGCGGCACAACGTATTCTCCACGACGCGAATACTTTGTGAAAGCAGTGTAGTGACCACCAAAGGCCATGCCATAGTGGTTTGACACGGCAAACAAGTCGTAGACGGGCGTGTGATCATGCTCGGCGCCTTGAACGTAGTCTGACAAATCGAGGTTTCTGAAGCAGGCGGGAGCGGAGTGTCAGCAAAGCAACAAGCACCTGTAACTCCAGAATAAACAATTTAACAAAAAAAAAAAAAAAAGCTTTGCTTACGTGAGGGGGAACTCCACCAAAGAATTCAACTTGTCACGGTAAATGCGAGAAAAGGAAAAGCGCTTGAGTTGCACAATTAGTAGCTTTGGAAGGCGCCAGAGCGTCATGGACTTGGTTGCCTGCTGGTGCTTTTGGCACTTTGAGCAGTACCTACAATGCATTCCAAAAAAAGAACCAGAGGCACACGCGAGTCAGCTTCTCCGCTCCAAAAAACAGACGGGGCAAACACATGACGAACATACCAGGCCTCGTCGACGCCAAGCTTTTCCTCCTTCGTGAAGAGGGAAAGGCACTTTTGCAGAGTGATCTTCTCCTCAGCTCGTGAGCATGACTCGTGCTCCTTGGTGGCCTACAACAAGCGCGGATTGAGTCAGCATGTGCTGGAGCAAAAAAAAAAAAAACAAACAAACACATGCAAAACAAAAAAAAAAAATCACACTCCACTTGCTCCCCTCACCTCGATGCGGTGCTTTTGAACTTCCTGTGCAGATGCCAGCTCATTCCAATCAACCGACAGGAATTGCGCATCATCGAGATTGATCTCTGCGGTGCTGGTCGGATCCAGCTCCACCATCGTTTCGCAGTACTCGTTGACAGTCGTCAAACGGCCAATTTCGGTCAGCTCGATAGACTGCGAGATGTCCAAGAAGGGGCTGATAGGGAGGAGAGTGCATCGAATGTTTTGCATGAGTGGACATGAGCAGCATTAGTCAAACAAACAAAAACAAAAACCACCATGATCCCTAACTTTCCATTCCCCACCCAGATCGGATACGTACCGCAGAGAGTTGTACACAAAGCCCTCGAGCTCGCGATAGGTGACACTTGTGGCCGGAATTGAAAGAAGGAGCGGCAGCCCATCGACGTGCCGCAGCGGCTTGGTGCAGTAGTAGCGATGATGGTCCCAGTTGCTCTCCAAGCAGGCGTCGCTGCAGTAGCGGGCAGTGTTGCACTTTGTGCAGCGCCTGTCCACCGCGCACTCACCTCCACAGGTTGTGCAGGTGCCGTTCAAGGGCGTGCCAGTGATGACGGGTCTTCCACGGAAGGTGACAAAAATGCGACACACCTCCTGCTCGTCATCACTTGCAGGCTTGGCTGCTTTCGCCGTCAAGTTGGATGTCTTGGGCTTGAAGCCTGGAGTTGGTTGCGGAGGCGGCGGCGGAGGGAGGGCAATCACGCTACCAGGCACTGCCAATTGCGGCTCGGCTGCTTCCTCCGCTACAACGCTCGGCGACGAAGCAGCAGCAGCAGCGACCTCCGCAGAGGCGGTTGCTGGGCTTTCGGCACCGACTGCAGCAGGCACCACAGGTTCGCTCGAGCTGCTACTCTCCGTGGAAGCAGACGTCGTCGCAGAGGCTGCCACAGACGCAGACTCTTCTTGCTCCAATTCCGACTTTGCGACTTCCGCCTCGTGCTCGCGGCGCGCGTTGACAAGACGCCCGGCTTCAATCAAATGCGCAGGCAATTCAGCCAAGGAGGGTAGTTCATAGGCCACCAAATCCTGGTAGTCGTAAATGCGCTGCACGGCCTCGCGCTCGTCAAAGACTCGACGCAGGCGATACCGATCGTACTCGCACAGCACCAGTTTGCGGGCTGAAGAAACACCCAACATGGCTGCGATGGCCTCCAAAATGGCGAGAACAGTGCCAGTGAGGGGAACGGTGACGCAGCAGCGGACCAGCTGGGCCTGAGGCCGAGCAGCAGTCTCAGCAAGCGAAACAAGCACACCCATCTTGCGTGTTTGCAGGGTCGGGATTGGCAGGGAAAGGTACATGAAGGGATCAAACTTGACAGAAACGCGGTCGCACTCGGGACACACAACGGTGGATTTGTACTGACCCTGGAACAGATCAACAATGTGCGAATTGTCGCGCAACTTGTGCTGGCCCCATGCGCGATCGGCCATGCTCGCGTCAGACTCGTCGGGCCGTCGCTCAACGTCTTCAAGGTAGGGCTTTTTGCCAATCAGATTGACGTCCTCGTGGAGGCCGTCCAAGAAGAAGCTCATAAACTCTTGCGAGTCGTGCTGACCAAAGCCGGAAAACATGGTTGCAAACTTGTTGGAAACCTGCTTGAGCTGGTGGGGTGCAATGTACTGGTACTCGCCAGACCAGAGATGCTTGGAAAACTCCGAGTACGCCTCGGCCATCTGCCCCTGCATTCCCAGCGTGCTTTGCTTGTTGATGTGTTGCCGGAAGGCGTCCGACAAAAAGTAGTCTCGCAGCTCACGCGCTGCCGACAGGCACTGCAAGACCGAGTTCATAAAGCACGTGTTGCCCAGATTTTGCAGGCCGGTAAGACCCGGGACTGTTTTCTGGAGGCGGCCCAGCGGCGGCGGAGGCACTGGGCGAAGGTAGGAGCTGGCAACCGACGCCAATTTGGAGGTCAGGCTGGATAGGCCCGAGGTTGCTTCCGGCTCACGGAAGGGATTGTCGTGAATGCGTTTTTCCAGGGTGGCCGACTTGGTTTGATACAAGAGCTTGGCAGGAAACGCCTTCTGGAGACGCTTGAAATCGACCAGCGCCTCGTCCAGGTTGTTGAGCTTTTCGTGCGCCATGCCACGCATCAAGCGGCTCCCTTCGTCATCCGGCTGCTCTCGAAGCAACATTGAGCAAAACTCGATGCAGCGTTGGAACATTTGCGACCTCATGCAGCCGTTGTACGCTTTTCGCATGACATGAATCCGGAACGGCAGCTCGCTGGTCTGGTATGCAACGTCAATGGCAAAGTCCAGCTCATCGAGACCGCGTCTGAACGTCTCTGGGTGCTGCATCAAGCGCTCACCTTCGGCAAAATGGTTCATGGCGACCTTGTTGGCTGCAGGAATGGCAGGCGCAGCAGGTGGAGCAGGCGCAGCAGGAGTTTGCACGACCGCGGGCGTGCCAGTCGCCGTTGGTTTGGTGCCAGTCGGTGCAGCATCACTTGGTGGCTTGGTGGAAGCCGTAGCCACGGCGCTGGTTTTGGTCTTTGCTGGGGACGCAGCAGGAACAACAGGAGCAGCAAGATTAGCTGCATTAGCTGTGGCTGGCGCGCTGGCAGGACCTGCTTGCGGTTGCTCGGACGTGTTCTTGCTCTTGTTCTTGTTCTTCTTCTTCTTTTTCTTTGCAGCAGCAGTACCAGGCGTGGCGGTGGTCGAGGCAGTACCATCTGCTGAAGCCGAGACCGAGGACGCCGCGTCATCTTCATCGCTGTCGCTCCCGTGCTCGTCCTCTTGCGCAGAGTGCTTCGTCGTGCCATTGGTGGTCGCATGGGCTGTTGCCTGCACCTGCGCTGGCGCTGGAGTCACGGCGACGGCAGCGCTGCCACTCGGCTTGGACGCCCGGAACGCCTGCTCGTCATCCTCGTCCTCCGAGATGCCCGGGCGCCCCGCAATCGCGTCATCCAGCTCATCGTCGTCCGCCGGCAGCGCCGTTGGCCCACCGTTCGTGGCGGGGCGAGTGGTGGAAGGCAAGTCGGCGCGTTTAGCTGTGGGCGCAACGCTGACCTGCGGCTGACGACGCCCCGGTGACATGCTTGAGAAAGAGAAGAGTGAGCGAGGAGATGGAAAGAGTGAAGTATAAAAGCTCAGGAAGAAAAAGAGAAAGATAGCAGGGGGGGGGGGGGAACAAAAGGAAGGAAAAAGAAAATCTCAGACTTACGGCATTGCTACGAATCAACAAAAGGGAGGCACGGATTGTTACTCAAATCGACCAGCTTAAATTGGAACACCAGCGAGACAAACACAAAATCAACCATAAAAGGGGGGGGCAGAGGGAAGAGACAGGAAGAGAAAATACAATGTTGTTTGTTGTGCAACGAAAAGAAGAAGAAACGAAGCTCAAGCAAGAAGCAAGGAGCGCTTCAAGCTTGTGGGCCGGGATGCCGGAATGGCTCAATGTGCTCGTAGTCAATCACCAACATCTTGGAGACCTTCTCCCAAGTGTTGGGATCAAACACTGTGCAAAAGCACTTCTCGCCTTGAGGCAACTTGGTCGACTCGTGGCCTGGCACACGTTGAAACCAAATCTTGGCATCCTTCAGGAAGCGCCATTCGCGTTTTTGCCTGTTAAGCACATGCACACCATGAGGATTCGGGGGGGGGGGAAACCTTCAAAAAACAAAAACAAAAAAATCCCGAGAAAGCATCAATCAACGTACAGCTCCATGGACGCGGCCTCTTGCACCAAGTCGCGCGGACTGCTGTAGAAGATATAGAAGAGCGCTTCGTCGGACAAGAGCGGAATTTTCTGCGGCGGGAAGGAAACTGGCGGTGTTGAGCGGTAACATGGCGGCAACTCGAATTCGGGTTCTTTTCGGTGCGATTCCGGCCATGGGGCCATGAAGTTGTTTGACAGAGTTCTGCAAAGGAAGACAAGCCAATATTGAGAATGATGGAACGAGAGAGAGCGAGAACAGCAGAAAGAACATGCAACTTACTCTTGCGAATTGAGATTCAACCCAAGACCGGTCAAATCGGCACCAAACGCAAGCAAATTCAAGTCGGGATTTTGCTGCTGGACGATGCGCAAGAGTCCCAACAAGCCAAACACGTCCGCCTGGAAAGGAATAAACCCAGAGCATCGACAATAAAAGAAAAATGAGTAACTGCGAGCACATCGGCCACAAAAACAACCACTAACTCAAAATCAAAACACTAGAGCCAGACGTACCTGAGCATCGCCAGTGCTCAGCTTTTTGGCGGGCTGCTTGTACTTTGGATCGGAAGCGCCAACAACACCAGCGCCTGGAGCAGCGCCGACTGCCGCAGAGGAGCGATTCTTCGGGTCGTCGAGACCGTTGGGAGCAACAATCTCGCCTCCCAACGCGGCGAGGCCAGAGTGTCCGGAAATATTCCCAATATCGTGTGACGATTGTGGTGCGGCGTGATCGTAAAAGTCGGCGGCCGTCAGCGTCGAGGCCAAGTCCGCTGAAGGGATTTCAAAGTCGTACAGCGAGTCAGACTTGCCGTCAGAGCCCATCAGAGCTGTCGAAGGTGCCGGAGAAAAGCAACAAGACGAAAAAAAACCCCAATGGGTGAGATTCACGATCTGCTTGTGGCTGTTTTCCCCCTGAGTTTGCTTACACGACGAGCCCATGCCACCGAATAACCCATTGTCTTGCATGTAGTGTGCCATAGCAAAGCCGCGGTCCGAATCTAGTGCATAAACGCAACAAAGAGGATGGTGAATGTTAGTTGGGAAAAAAAAAACCCCCACTGACTCCGTAACGGCAAACAACGCGACGCATCCCACTCACCCGACAGCTTCTGCCCAGGCAATGCGGGGAAATCCTCATTGTAGTTGGCAAGTAATGGAGTGGCGCGCGCGTTGGCAGGACCGGCAGGACCTGCGCTGGCGCCTAGACCGCGGCCAAGCATCGGAAACTCGTTCGGATTCATCGACGATGCACCAGCAGCAGCAGCGGCAGCCGCAGCAGCAGCATCCACTGCAAAGAAGAACAAGCATCCAACAGAGATGAGAACGGCGGCACAGTGACACGCAACAACAATTTCAAGAGCGCGCTCTCTCTCTCTCTCTCTTACGTTGCTGCTTTTGCTTTTGCTGATTGATCAGTGACATCAGCTCGGCGTTGGCCCCGCCATACATTTGCTGGTTGCCCATGCTGGAGGCGGCGTTGGCGCCACCGCCAATCAATGGATTTGCGGGCGGCGTGCCCATGTACCCTGCAGCGGCGCCGCGGTCGTGATTGATGAGCTGCCCAGTGTGTGGGTCGATGATGTTGAGCTGCTTGAACCGGGTGGCCGGCTGCTGCTGCTGCTGTTGCTGCTGTGGCGCTGCGCCTGCCTGCGGTTGCATAAACCGGTGCTGGGCAAGCTGTCCTGGCATGCCTCGCGCGCCGCCGTAAAAGCCAAGGTCGGGTCCGGCATTGCCATAGTGCCGTTGCGCGGCTGCGGCAGCCTGTTGCTGCTGCAAGAGCATGCTATGCTCGTACGAAAACTCGTCCATACTCGTAACAACACGGGCGACACAAGGAGAGGGAACGACGAAGAAGGCAGCTCGAGTTCTGGTTTAGGACCTGCTACTGGAGACGCCCAAAACGCAGCAGAGATACACACAGTGAGCTTCAATGGCATTGCCCCCCACGTCGACAGCAGAGTCAGAAGATGGAGAGAGGGAGAAGAAGGAGAAGGAGAGAAGGGTTCGAAATTCAAGCGAGTGCGTCAAGCTGCCCAACACAACGCGAGCGAGTGCCTGCACCAACAAAGCAAAATGAAAGGTAGAGCTGTGGCGTTGTGGCGCGTGCAGGTGTGGGCGACCAGAGTCAACAAGCAAAACGAACACAACGAAAGGGCAAAAAAAAAAAAAAAAAAAAAAAAAGTAGAAATAATATTAAAAAAAAAAGTGCAGAGATCGCAGCGTTCGGACTGTTCTGCGGCCAGAGTCACGGCAGCGGTGCAGACATGGTGGTCGCGGTGTGAAACAGCACGCCGGGGGGGTGGTGGACTGGCGGACGGGCGGACGGGGGAGAAGGTGGGGGGACAATGGAACAAACGCTGGAAACGAGCATTGCATTTTGGCTGAACACAACGTACAAGTACAATTGGATGAGAAGAAAGGAGTGATGCGTCACGAGAAACTAAACCAAAGCAAAGACAAATAGAAAAGCGGGGGAAACTACAAACGAGAGAGAGAGAGAGAGAGAGAGAGAGAGAGAGAGAGAGAGAGAGAGAGAGAGAGAGAGAGAGAAAGAGAGAGAGAAAGAGAGAGAGAAAGAGAGAGAGAGAGACCCAACAAATGAGATGGTGCGCTGCTCAGTCTGCTCAGTCTGGTTTCGTTTTTTTTTTTTTTTTTCCTTCTTCTTCTTCTTCTTCTTCTTCTTCTTCTTCTTCTTCTTCTTCTTCTTCTTCTTCTTCTTCTTCTTCTTCTTCTTCTTCTTCTTCTTCTTCTTCTTCTTCTTTTTCTTCTTCTCCTCCGCCTCGCCAATCTTCTCTCTGCTCGTGCTCCTCGATTCGCGATGCCAAACACCATCGGGGATGTTCCAGATTGGAAGCCATGTCATACTCCACGCTGGGTCAAGGATATCCAGAGTGCCGACGATCTCCACGAACTCACCAAGGACGTTCAAGCTGACTTTCAAAGCCGACTGGAACCATACGTGCGTTCAGAGAAAAGGTTTCAAGCCCTCGCGACCGTTCTGAAGAATTGCAGCGAGTGCATCGTTCAAAGAGCATCCGAAGGGCTGATCAAGAATTGCGATCGCGCCGAGCAAGTGTCCACTCAACTGTTCCATTGGGCGGAAGTCTTGCTGGCCAACGATTTCACCCGAGAAGGCAAGGCCACAAAAGACCGGATGTTCAACACGATATTCAGGGAGTGGCAAAGCGTTCTTGTCACTCTCGCACCTGCTGACCAGCAAGTTGTGGCGCCCTTCAAAGAAACTCTAAACGCCCTTCTGCAAGTCAAAATATCGGCAGGTAATTTCGGTCAAATTTTTCTTCACGTCTCTGGTTCGAATGACCTTTACAACTTGACCGGCGATCAAGATCCAATGCTTTCTTTGATCACCAACACTGACGTGCGCAGCCAGATTTTTTACAAGCTTGGCGGCGAGAAAGCGCCCCCGTTTTCAGAAGGGGTGTCCCAAACGCCACCGTCCAACCAAGTTCCCGAGGCTCTGCGCAATTTTTTCCGCTCCCTTCACCTTCAAGATGATGTTGAGCGTAGCATTCCACCCTGTCAACTCGAGTATGACGCGATTCTCCGAGTTCTGAAAAGTGAAACCACAACACCTCAAGAAATCCGTTCACATGGTGATCAGTATGATGCTGTCAATTTGGGATGCTTGACCCACACAGAGACTGTGGCATTGTGGAACATGGACAAAGCTTTCGGACTCAAGGAGAGGGAGTTTCGTACTGCTGTGGAAGCCGGGGCCATTCTGACTGTGCATTTCCTGTCACGCATATTTGTTTGTAACTCGTGTACCTTACTGCTATGGCAAACTGCACTTGCTGCTCATTGGAGGCTTCCGCCGCAACAACTTGTCATTTCCGCTTCGTGTTGGGAAGAAAGAAGCGACACTCGTTTGTGGCATTGCGACTCAGGCAGTGCGTCAGGCGTTGAAACCAAGGTTCTGATCGAATAGATTGACGTGTTCCACATTACACAATTAAAGGCAATGTAACCAAAAGCAATGCAATCTTGTGCCATTCAACATCGACTTGAACACCTGCGAGGCAGCGACTCGGCTTAAATGTTGGCAGAGACCGAAACGAGCTTGGCGCCTTTAAGAAGCTGCAAAAATCCTTTCAGGTTATCGTGTCCAATCACCCCGTATGACTGGTACGCGGTGTGAATGTACTGCACAGTAGGAAGTAGCTCTTTTTGCGGGAGCAACTGGCCCCAGCCGTCCGAAAAGGGTACCCATTGACGGTGGACAAAGATGAGCTTGAGAAAGTCTGTCCGTCCCATGGAATCAAACAGCACCGTCTTCCACTCAACACTGCCAAGTGGGTCGCCGACAATATCGACGATTTCGAGACACGACAACGCCACAAGCCGCTTGAAATCGGCCGCAGTTTGCATCATAGTGAACTCACCGCTTGTGTAGCCGAAGCGGTTAAAGTTCATCTTGAGAACAGGGCACCGCAGCGCCTCGACAAGTCGGATGATGTGAGGCAGGTCGGGGGGAAACAAGTCGTTGCCGGAAAGATCGAGCGTCACACAGCGACCAGCCATCCTGTTCTCGGGGACGCCCCACTTGAGCGAAAGGAGGGCCAGTAGACCGTTGGTTGAGCACTGGGCCGGGGAATACTTGGACCACCCGACAGTACACGAACGAATGCGACCATGCGCGTAGTCCAGCACGCCACTGACCGCAGGCATGGCGGCTGCAACAGAAGTAGCAGGGGCAGCGAACACAGCAGTCCGTGTGGAACCGGTTGCAGAAGCGTCGTTGGTGCTAGCAAGAGCGCTGGCGGCGAACTGATGACTGCGCTTCGCGCGGATGAGCCCAAGCAGTTGACCCTTCTGAGTCAGGTAGCGCCAGTCGTTGCTCGGCACGGTCAAGTCAAGAAAGCGCAGTAGATCGGCATCACTGAGATTGGCAAGAGATTCGACGTTGACACTATCCGCGCCGTCGGGGAACTGCAGGCTCGAGAGTTGATAACCGTCAAGCATAGCTCGAAGAGTGTTCTCCATTGTTGACGAGATCGAGAAAAGAGACTGCCAACCCATCTATTTGCATCTACACTCGACCTCTCAATACACTGTTTAACTGATCCTAAAGCACCAACCGCGTTCCGTGCCCGAAATTTCACCATTCAAACAACTTTCCCCTGATTTTCCATCCTCAATCAACATTTTTCCCACCACTTCCTTTCCTGTGGCCGACCATTTCGCGTTCGTTCTCCATCTGAGATCTGAGATTGTTACACTATGCTCCCTTTTTTGTGGTTTGTTGCTCACTCATTCTTTGACTGGTACAGCATTGGAGCCATTGTGAGATTGAGCGTCGTTTCATGTCTTCCTTCTTCCTGTTGGCGTTTTCCGCTCCTTTTCAATGCGTTTGCGCTTCTTGTCGCTGCTGATTGATGGTTGCAGCTGTCCCATGGAAGCCGAGCGGAGAAGAGCGAGTGCGCTTTGAGCTTTGAATGGATGACGATTTGGACGGCTTTTTGTTTCGCGATCTCGCTTTTTTTTTTTTTTTTTTTTTTTTTTTTGCGTTTGGTAGTCCTTTCCATTGTGTTGGCTTTTTGGAGGGTTGTTGGTCCTGCGGTGCGTTTCCTCACAACCACCGTGACTGACCCCTCTGTCTTTGTTTGCCGTTTGGTGCCGTGTTGCGATGTGGTGCTGGTTTTGCTCCGCTGCAATTCTCATTCTCACTCCTTCAGTACGAACGCACAGTCACTGTCAACCCCACCCCCTTCAACATTCAAAGATGGCCATCGACGTTGCTGCGTTCTTTGGCGCCCAGCGCAATGCAGATGCCGCGCACGCTGCCGAGTGGACGACCCTCGAAGATTACTACAACCGAAAGTGAGTATCTCTGTCTCTGTCTCTCGCTCTCGGTCATTCACCCAAACTCACTACTAATGCAAATTGTACAAACTTATTCAATACGCAGGCTGTGGCATCAGCTCTCAATCAAGCTGTTCGAGCTCCTGTCAGATCCGACCACCCCAACATCACTCGACATTTACAACAACTTTCTGCTCGACTTTGCAAACAAGCTCAACCAGTTGACCCTTGTCGACATTTGCTTGATCATTGTCAACCGCATGACAGGTGAGAGAGAGCGCGTTTGACTGAGTGGAACGCAACACTTTATCTTGTTCCTTTTTTTTTTTTCTTTTTGTGTGTCTTGTGCTCACAAACCCACTTTTGCTTCAGATGCCCATGCCGCCGTCGAGTTTTTGCGAATGCTGGCAGAGAAGGTCAAGCGCGACAACGCTGCGTACATTACCACCACCATGGTCATTGCTGATCTCCACATTGGGCCCGCTCTGGCGGCTCCTGCCACAACGAAAGAGCTGCTCGAGGAGGTTGGCGCCCTGCTCGAAACCATGGATCATGTCGATCTGCGCATCTTCTCCTCGTATTACCGCGTTGCTGCCTCGTACAATAAGGGTATGGCCTTTTGGTTTTTTTGAGCGAGTCAAGATAGAAGTCGATTTTTTTTTTCGGCGTTTACTCACTCTTTGTCCTCGGTGTTCCAAAAAAACTGCAAAACAGTCAAGGGCTCGTTCTCAGAGTTCTACAAGGACACGCTTCTCTTCCTCGGATGCACCGACTTGGCAACGCTCCCGATTGCAGAGCAACAGGTTCGCGCGTTCGACCTGGCGCTTGCAGCGCTTCTGGCGGACGATATTTACAACTTTGGCGAGCTGCTTGTGCACCCCGTTCTCGACTCGTTGCGGTCGACCGAGCATGCCTGGCTGGTAGACTTGCTGTTTGCTTTCAACTCTGGCAACATTGCCAAGTTCCAGCAATTGGCACCTCACTGGCGCAAGCAGGTGAGTATTTTTGTCTGTTTGTTTTGCGCAAGTGGATTTTACCGTTTTTGTGTGGATTGCTGGACTGCTGACTTGTTTGTAACTTGCCTTCCTGTGCGTGTTTGGGTGTGTGTGTGCGTCAATCTCCAACTTAGTCGGATCTGGCCGCGCACGAGAAAAAGTTGACAAACAAGCTTGCACTGCTGGCTCTGCTCGAGCTTGTCTTCCAACGTCCCGCAGACACGCGCACTGTCTCCTTCCAGGAAATTGCTCAGCACACAGTCTTGAACGTGTCGGACGTGGAGCACTTGCTGATGAAGGCACTTGCAGCTGGACTCATCCGCGGCTCGTTGGACGGCGTGTCGCAAGCTGTGAGCATCACCTGGGTTCAGCCGCGCGTGCTCAACACCGCCCAGGTTGCTGATATGCGCGACCGTCTCGCTCAATGGTGCCGCCGCGTGAGCGAGGTGTCGTCTTTGGTTGAATCTGATGCGTCCGAGTTGATTGTGTAGCGAAAGAACAAGCAAAACGAAGTATAAACGTTGAGATTCTGCAGAGTGTTCACATCTCCATCCATTTATACTTTGCAGAACACAACGCTCAGTCAGTCTGTTGGTGTTTGGGCGAGATTTTGGGAGTTGGACTTTTCCCGCCAAAATCGACAAGATCCGAGTTTTCCAGCCGTCCAAGTCGAGCCTCCCTGTGGCAGTGTGCCGGTGTGGTCGGGTTGTCACACAGTACTCACACACACACCTTGCGAATGACGATGGATCTCGACGATAGCGCCCGTGCCAGCGATGGAGCAAGCAATCCCAACGCAGCAGCAACGACCCAACAACCTCCGACTGCAGTAGTGCCAGTGCAGCAGCTCAGGCGGCGTCGGACCCACCATGTGGCCGTCCAAGCACCAGTCGACATTCTGCTGCATCCACAAGCACGGGCGGCGAGGACGAGTGCCGCATCCAGCCAATCGATAACGCTTGATCTTGATGAAACAGGTGAAAGCACTCAGAAATCATCATCATCAACAACATCATCATCATCGCAACCTGAACCACCTGCACGGAGGCACACCATTGCATCGGACGTATCCGACGGGTCACTCGTGTCGTTCATGAGCTTGCCAGCGGTACGATTCACGAAAACTGGATGTTTTGCTGCTGTTGATCCACACCTGAAGTGCTCATGTTGTTCGCTCACCTGGCGAGCTGCGCAAAATGATTCACGTTCCACAGAGTGCAAGGCAACGGCAGTCGACAATGATGGCGGTGGATTCGGACGACGATGATTCGGGGCCCAACTCGGATCCGTTCGCAGTCTTACAAAGGCCGAAAGGCGACAGCCACTATAACAAGAAGCTATATGGCGAGTTCGTCATTACACAGGAAGAAGCAGCAGCAGCAGCAGCTGCCGCACAACTCGTTGAAGAGAGTGACGACTATGAGGAACCGTATCCTACAAGGCTTCAAACCCGGTCAGTTCCAAAGCCGTGTTGCCGATGCCCAGTGCATGCTCTGGTCACGGCTTTGTTGTTATTGTTGGTGTTGTTGTTGTTGTTGTTGTTGTTACTATGCGCAATGCGATTGACCTTGTGGTGTCAATTTTGTGGGATTCGCCAGAACTGCCAAACGGCCGCGAATGGACGAGTCTCCACCAAGCGACGACGTCAGCGCGCAAACGGCCGCGGCCTTGTCGTAAGGTTTTACATTGCTTTTTGTCATTGTCGTCATGAGCCGGAGTGGAGGTTGGCGTGCTCTAATGTGGGAGTGGTTGTTCTTTCTCTTAGAGCTGCTCGTTTGCAACGCGAACGAGCCCAGCACTTGCTAATCGAGGCACAAAGGTAAGCACATTGTCGCACTCGATGTGGTGTGATTGTTTGTATGACACAAGAGCTCAAATCCGTTGCTTGCTGTTTGTTGGCAGGAGCGAAATGGCAGAAAGCAATGAGCAACAAGCATCGGAATCGGGCCCCATTCCGGATGCCTCCAAAGGTGGGTGTCTGCTCAGTTGCTGCTTGCTACATGTTGGAGATGTCTGAGACGTTTGATGGTCTCATGTATTTCTGGTTGATCTGAGCAGTGCTTGCTCGTGTTGTGGTCGTGGACGGGACGCCATTACATCTGCTTCTCACGCTGGTAAGATTTGCTCGATGCGGCTTTTCCTTTCTTTCCAGACCTGTTTTTTGCGTTGCTTGAAGGTTCTGGTTTTCTGAATGACAAACCATTCTACTTTTTTTTTTTTTTTTTTTGGCCAGGATACAACCGCTCGGACCATCCAGCAGTTTTGCGCAGCCAGGCTTTCCGTCGATCCAACCCATGTCGCGCTCTCTTTTGCACAGCAGACAGTGGATCTCAACTCGACAATGAGGGAGCTCAACATTTCGCCTCGAAACGACTTGTTCCAGTGCCAAATGGCGCCTCCATCTCCGACGACCTATGACGCCACTCCCAGCCTTTTTGCCAACAATCCAGCATTCAGCAACAGCAGTAGCAGTAGTGCGCCTCCAGATTTGGAGCCTTTCGCAAATACCACCAGCAGCAGCAGCAGCAGCATGGTGACAGATCTTCCGCCGCCCCTACCTGACACCGTTGAAGAGCCACTCTCGATTCGATTCCGCGTGCGATTTGACGAACACGAAGTCCGAAAGTTCCGATTGAAGCTGGTATGGAAAAAACAATTCGGGTCTGGTGGTGTTGACGTATGCAAGCGTTGTGTTGACTTTGTTGTGTGCGCAATAATGAGCAGACCGACACCATGTCCAAGGTGTACGACAAGATTGCGGCCGACAGAGCAGCAGCATTCAAGATTCTCTTTGACGGCCAGCCTGTTCCACGAAATACGACGCCGGAGGACCTTGGGCTTGAAGAGGACGACCTTTTGGATGTGGTTTCGAGTTAGCGATTTTTGGTTGGTTGTTTGTTTTCTCTGCGAGTCGAGGTTTGGATTGGAATTGAATGAATTTTTCGAATGCTGAGGTGATGCACCGTGTCTTGCTCTCGTGATGACGAGGCCATTTTGTATTGACGCCATGAGGAGGAAATAATGGGAATTTGAGTCTGATACTTGCTGAACTTTAATAAGCTGCGAAACAACGACAAATGACACATGGCAGCCGTGCAAAACGGTTAGATAGCATCAAAACAGATCACTAGAGACAACAAAACTTCGTTCGTGCATTCAGTCACGATGCAAATGACAACGCTGAGACACAGCTCGTGTCCTGTTTCGGCATTGTCGCTTGAGTCGTTGAATCATGAAGGTACACTGCGACGCGGAGATCTTGTCAGCGTCTTGTTGAGTGATGCACAAATCGACCTGTCGGTTGCGAGCTTCAGGACGGATAAGCAATTCTTGCGCTAACACTGGCGTCTGATCGCTATCCTCGAGCTGGAGAGTAAAGTCCACCGACATCTCGCACCCGACTGCGACAAGTTTCTGGCCATCAACTTCAAGTGGTTTGCCGAGATCAGCCATGGTAATGTCGTCTGGAACGAGCACAGTCAAAGCAACTGAACCAGCTTGAACATCAAGAACCTGCACTAACGGCAGTCGGTTCGAAAATGCGATATTGGTAAGCAAAAGTTGCTCAGTGGTTGGCGGTTTTGGCAATGGCCAGTTGTAAATGAGCACAGCCGGCCTGCCCAAGCTATTCTTCATGTTGGCTCGCCTGTTGAGAAGATCGCACTGGTAGGCTTCAGGGCGAGAAGTCGGCAAAAACAGCTGGTAAGTATCTGAGCATCGCAACATGCGAGCAACTCGGCGAAAGGCTTGACATACTCAACTCGAGCAACCTATCAAGGTGGGCGATCCAGCCATCACGAACAAACTCTTGCTCATCATCGAGGGCAAATAAGCAGGAGAGCGCGTATCGAGTGAACGACCAGAAGGTTGGATGCTCTGTGACTGTGGCAATCGTGTCATCTCCAATGAATGTTGAGCCAACAACAACGGCCATGGCTTTGTCTGCGGGATTGGCATCAGGTATCTTCACAATGGACCGCATCGCTTCGAACAAGACGCTGGAGGCAAGGTCAAGTTGGGAGATGTCGATCTCGTCCAGCGCCGTGCTCAGATCGTGCGCCGCTCCAGATGCCGACAAAGCGGCAGGCGATGAGGTTGGTATGGGGACAGATATAGCTGTCGTCGCATCTTTTGTTGACGAAGCCACACTGATTCGAGCCATCGACGAGGTGAGTGCCGCAGTTCCAGAATGGTCGTCTGAAGACCTTGTCATCAGAGTGTCGGTTTCTCCAGTTTCGTCGCAGATCGGCGCAGTGTCCATCAGCTCTTGAAAGGCGTCCAAGAACTCCTGCAACGGCATTCGATATGCTGGCCCGATGAGCAAATGCTGCTGCTCGGAGTTGTCAGGAGGGATTTTGTCGGCGTACACTCGAAACAGGTTACGGCTGAAAGGGCGCATGCTACCCGAAAGTAACTTGCACTCACCAGCCCGGTCAAAATGCAGGCGCCAACATGAAATTCCCAAGCCGGGTTTTGCTGGCGAACTCAAAGGGCTCTGGGTGAGCGTGTCGTCATGCAAACACCAGCTTAGTGTTGTCCGAAAGAAAGAAAAAAAACCTTACCCAGCACATGAACTTCATCATTGTCGAGAAGGAGGTCTTGGCCTCGAGCGAGATTGATTGCCTTGATCTCCGAAACCGTCACATCACCCCTGTTCTTGAGTTCTGTATGGGTGCGATCGAGTTCATCCTTTCGCGCTTTGGAGAGGGCTCGTGGTGCGGCAGCAATGCGGTGCGCGTTCACCAGCACGCTGAAAGGGATAAAACAAACAAAAAATGAGATCGCCTTCACATTCTCCTCCGAATGAGCTCGCCTTCACGTTCTCCTATTGAGCATGGCATGCCGCTTGTGCATTCATACGAAAACAAAAACCGATGAACTCGTGTCGCCATCAACAAGTTGAAAACAATGGAAAAGAAGCTTTTGTTCTTCGCCTCAATCGAACCTTCGAGAAGCAAACTTCGAAACGCAAACGCACTTAGATATCTCTTGTTTTCCCTGCTGTAAGGGAGTTGCGGGTCGGCTCGATGACCCACGCGAAGGTGGACCGCGACCACCCGACCCATTGCCTGCACCTACGGCGCCGAAAACGGACGACATCGGAAGAGTTGGGATAAGAAGCAGATGGAAAGAAGCCTAAAATTTTCTTCGGCTTGTTCTCGCTCTCACACAGATTTTCTCTCTCTCTTCCCCACTTTTACCTCATTCTAGTACAACATGAAGTGATGCACTCCAAACCCATTCCAGCCCACATTCGTGAGCACGGGTCCGGGTGCAGCACTCCCCTATCAACAAAAAGCCATTTAAAACCATTGCGATTTATTGTGATTTTTAGCCCATTCATTTTCAAAGCCCTATAAGAGAACGAAAACAGCTCGATTGAAGGATCGCTCGATCACGGTGTCGCGCTAGACATCACGTAGATCTATTGTGAAATTTCCCAAGCGTTGCAATGTATTTCCATACTTCCAAACCGCCGCTTCTGACTCCTGTACTAATTTGCCCACCCGAAGATGTTGGCGTGTAACTCAGTTGGTAGAGTATCTGCCTTCTACTTTTGGTGGCGGCAAGCAGGAGGTCGTGGGATCGAACCCCACCACGCTCGTTTCTTTTTTTTTTTTTTTTTTTTTTTTTTCTTCTTCCTTTTTTTTTTTTTTTGGTTCTTTTCCATCATCTTTGTTGATGGGTTTTTAAATGCTACTATGGTGGTTGTATCTAATGTCATGCTTGGGGGAAATGCGCCTTGATGTAGTTTGATTCGAGCTTTGTTTTTATTGCTGTTTTTTTTTTTGTTTGTTTGTTTGTTTGTTTGTTTGTTTTTTTTTTTTTTTGTTTGTTTGTTTGTTTGTTTGTTCTTTTCACTTGCCATTGAGCCTCTGTGTTTACTCCGACGCCATCCAAACCTAACTGCCTTGGTCCAGCATAGCTGTGGAATTCGTATGGACCCTCGAACACGACGGGCTTGTCCAACCAAAAAACTAGCCCGCCAGTTGCTGCTTTGTTACCGCGCCTGCGTAGTGCTCGTTCTCCTCGGACGTAGTACTCGACCGCTTGCGAGTGCTTCCGGAGATTGACTCAATACAGGAGCAATGATTGCCGCCGCACCTCTTGGTTTTCGGGAGCCCTGCGTCTTTGATTTCTCGATGTGCCCCGTCCGGCCGACACGTTGGACAGTGATTGCCTGTCCAGTCGGCGGCTTGGCTCCCTCAGTCGAGGTGTGCGCAATCCATTCGCGAATCTGGGTGGATGACAGCTTCTCTGCACTGTGCAAATCGCTCTGGACAAGTTCAACCAGTTCAGGCTTGAGCATCTTTGGGATTCCATTCGCGCTCCGTTTCTCGTTGACTTGTCGGAGGTTCAGCAAAAGGATTCACGTCAACAATGAGCAAGATCGAATTGCAGATGTCCAAAGCAACAAGAGGTTCATCCAGCAAGACAATGTGGGAGACATACTGAGTGGGGTAGCTCCCTTCGTTTCTTCTGAAACAACCAGTAGATCCAAGTCGGCGTCGGTGCCAGCTGGTCCGTACATGTCGACAATTGCATGGAACTGGGGACGAGGTCGAATGTTAGCAACCGAAATGATGGCAAACAGCCTCATTTCGTTTTTTTTTTTTTTTGGTTACCTCGATCGCCAGGTCTGGTCGAATCACATGGCAAAAGTCACGAACTGCGTTGATCCGTTGCTGAAGGGGTTCTACCAACTCCTTGCGCTTTTTGTTTGCGAGCAGGGATCCGTCTGGAGCCGATACATGAACCCAAAAAAAAAATGAGCTGTAGATTCTGATCTTCGCCCGAGGGGTTTAGAAAAGCCAAACTCACCAGTAACACCACAAACGAGGCGCCGGCGGGCAAGCAAGACTGCCACCGTGAGCAAGATGCGATGGCCATTGTGCATGTGATCAAACGTGCCTCCCAAGCACACATCGTCAGCAACCGGCCAATTGCTGCTGGTCAAGCTTGACGCGGCGTCGAAAGGCTTTGTTTCTTTGGGCACAAGCTTCATTTCGCGCGTCCACTGGGCATCAGGCACAGAAGCCAAATTCCAACCTGCCAAAGTGATCCCGAGTTTTCTCAGATCGACCGTCCAAGCGTGTTCTTGGCCAATTGGTTTGAAAGAGCAACTCACCATCTTTTGCAGCATTTACCCGTCCGAACCGCTTGATTCTCGAGTCGGATTTGCTCAGTGGAATGTTGAATGCAGCGAAACCAAGCAGCGAAATCTCAATCCGCTGGACTGGGTTGCTTGCATCCATGAACGCCTCGTACGCGCAGCTCAAGAACTGAAAAGGGGTTGCCATCCCAAGTGAGTTGGAAATCATAGAAGCAATCGGTTGCGGCACTGCCCACCTTCTTCATCTGCTCCCACGGTACACGGTGCCAGAGTGCGCACAACTGAGGAGCCTGAGCGTCGGTGTTGTCGTGCGTGGGCGCCTCAGGGAGGAGCTGCACCAGGATGCGCGATTCCTTCCCAATGAGTGGGTGGGACGCCCGCAAGTCCCGTCGCAACGCCGGCAGCAGTGTCTGGATGTTGGTAATACCGAGCGTTTGATCCTGCTCAACGGTGAGGGGGACGCTGATGACCACGAGCATAGTGTCGGCAGTGTCTGAATGAAAAATGGGGCAAAAAATGACTGAGCCTTCCACTTTGTTTGGTCGGTCTTTGTATAAGTGAAGTCTCTTGTTTCCCTATCATCACTCTCATCATCAACCCATTACTCGTATCTTCGTGGAACTTCATACTTGTGAGCATTCTATCGCAATGAACGAGTCAGCAACGAGAGCGGCTGGAAGCTCGTCAATTTCAAACCGCTCCTTGTTCCCAAGCTCACTCGTCGTCCAATATGCCAGAAACCCCTCTCTCTCAATCCTGCTCACTCCAACTCCAACCCCAACTCCAACCCCAACTCCAACCCCCAATCCAATCGAATGCAGATCAAACCAAAAGGTCAATCCCTCTTTTTTCAACCTTTTTTTTTTTTTTTTTCCAATTCAACGTGAGTTTTTTTTTTTTTTTTTTTTTTTTCCTCCCAATTCGGCACCGTTGGGGTTTTTGGTCGTGTCTCACTCTCACACGCTTCCTCGCTCTGCTCTGCTCCCGCTGCCATTCCCGCCAATGCCCACTCTGCGTGAGGGGTGCCTTACTCGCCAAACCCCGCCTTCCCCCTTCTCACCCCTTCTTCTTCACACCACTTTGCTGCAAAAGCGGGCAGCTTTTTTTTTTTTTTTTTTGAAATACGGTTTTTTTTTTTTCTCGCTCGCTCTCTCTCGTTCGCTCTTTTTGGACCTCGAGCGTGGCGCGCCTCTCCTGTCCACGACCAGCCGCACGAAGACAGCTGTCCCGCGGGTGTGGCATTGCGTGTGGCGTTTCCGTCGACTGTGGCAATTGGAGCGCGAACCGCTGGGCGGTGTTTTTTTTTTTTTTTTCCTCTCTGCCCTTACTTCATTCAGCAACTCGCTTCTTCCCCCCCCCCGTTTTTCCTCTTCCACTCCTCCCCTTTCCAAGCACGCGCACCCTCTCACTTGTCCATTAATAATCCTGTCATTTCAGCCTTGCTCTCATTTTGCTCTTTATTAACGAGCACAAAAGCCAACTGGAAGGAACCAAAAAAAAAAAACGATTACTTTTTTTTGAAAAAATCAAAGGAAAAAAAAAAAAGGCATACGCCGTCCATTGCAGCTCCAAGTTAGGGTTGATTGTCTCGACTCGGGGGGGGGGGAGTGCAGCAAAAACGGAGACAACGTGACCGCTGGCAAACGACAAGCGAGAACGAACTGCTGCCTGTTGTTATTTTGAAGTGTGCTTTGTGAGCGAACAAACAGCCATTCGTCTGACACATGCTCATTCATTGACGACCAAAAAAACCAAAAAAGCGAAAAAAAAAAAAACGATCTGGTTGCAGCAGCGATTCCATCCTCATCCTCTCCTGTACCTTTCTCCCCCACCCCTTCGCCTCACTCCAATCTGTTTGATGGACGTATCTGGTTTTTATGACTGTCTCACTTCTTCTTTTTGTTTTTTGTTTTTGCTGTTTCTCCTGTGACAGATTTTTGACGATTGTTTCGTTTAGCGTCCTTCCGTTCGCCTCCTCGTCCTTTCTTTAGTCATCCACTCTCGACTGATTCGCACGCCCGCCCCTGCTTTGAGACTTTTCTTGCCCTGAGGCCACACCTTTTGTGCCCACGGTTGCTGCTTTTTGAACAAGCAGAGCATCGACAACCCTCATCAATTTTTTCGCTCCTTTTCAACCCCTCCACTCCCTTTCTTAATCAACAAGCCATGGCCAGCACGGGTCATGCTGCAGCAGGGCCGCCAGGCACTGTAGGACCGTCCCAGCTCACACCGGCTGCAGACAACACAGTAGGAGCCTCACAGACGTCGCTCGACGCATTCGACGACCGCCTCGCCCAGCTCGACAATGCCAAGATGGCGGCGATTCTCAGTCGACCAACAGTCAAGGCTGTGCGATCCGAGCCAGTGCTGAGGGCAGTGCAGTGTAGCAGCACGACGTCGTTGGATATGGTCGGAAAGTCGCTCTCGAACAGCGACCTGTCCTCCTGCGACGAAGACGACTTGCGAGAGCCCACCATTGGCATGCGGAATGGCCTTTCTCGCGCCCAATCTGACCGCGCGCGCCGTGCGTGGCGGAAGGTCATCAGCTTGGCCAAGATTCTCATCCACTACAGCACACGTTATTCGCACCAGGTCGCTGGTCACAAGGACGCCTTCCTCCATCCACAACAGGGCATCCTGTGCAAGCGCACCACAACACTGGAGCGAGATGCGCTCATGTTGCTCATGTCGGACTGCATGCGCGAGTTTGTGCCTCGATTTGACCGAGAAATCACCTACGGCGGCGAAACCTACGTTCAAATGGAAGACTTGCTGGCTTCCTTTGTGCGACCCTCGCTCATGGACATTAAGATGGGGAAGCGCACCTTCCTCGAATCCGAGGTCACCAAGCTCGACAAGCGCTCCGATCTCCTCGAAAAGATGCGAGAGATTGATCCCAACGAGCCCACGCCTGAAGAGATTGACAGTGGTGGCATCACCAAGCTTCGTTACATGCAATTCCGCGAGCAACAGAGCTCCAGTGCGTCATTGGGGTTTCGTGTCGAGGGCATCAAGGTGAGAGATTTGCTTTGTTTGGCGGGAGCGTGTCGTTGGTTGTTTGAGGTTTCTGACAGTTTTTGTGTTCTTTTGTCCTCCGCCCCGCCCCCCCCCATCCTCTCCCCCATCAGCTCGCTGACAGGAAAGCCGATACCAATTTCAAAACCGTTAAGACTGAACAAGACGTGGCGGATGTCTTCCGACATTACTTGTCGCTGCTGCCCGAGAGGCATCGGAGTGAATTCACCGCGCGATTGGAACTGATTCGCCAACGGATTGAGTCGTCAGAATTTTTCAAAATGCACGAAGTGGTCGGCAGCTCGTTGCTGTTTGTGTACGACCACTCGGGCAAGGTCGGCCTCTGGCTGATTGATTTCGCCAAAACAAATCGCTCCCGCAAGCCGCTGACGCACCGTCAGCCTTGGAATTTGGGCAATCAAGAAGATGGTTATTTGTGTGGGTTGGACACATTGATACGGGTATGGCGCGAAGTGGATTCTAGCAGTCACATTTCTGCATCCGCAGCAGCACCAACAACAAGTATTCCCCCACCTAGTGCCGCAACAGTGGCTCCGGTGCCAGCGACTGCGAACGGCGTGCACTAGAAGGTGCAGCTTGTCGTTTTGTTTTTTAAAAATCACTGTGTGTACACTTTTTTTTTTTGTTATTTTTCTGATTCAGGCCAAAATTATTGTATTTAATCATTACAACGGTTTTTTTTTCTTTTCGTTCATTGGTTGTTTCCAGATGCCATGTTTTGTGGAGACGAACATTCACAGCCCTTCCGACTTGGTGTCAAAGAGCTTGCGCACGTCAGTCCACACGCGAGCAGTGTCCACCTCTGCGAGCTGAAGGATGGTGGCGTACAAATCCTGAGCAAAGCGCGTGCTGCTCTCGGCTGGCAGCAGAGTTGGCAAATGATCAATCGCGACCACATCGAGCGGTGTGGAGGTTCTGTCGCGCAGTCGAACAAAAAGGGCACAAATTTCCAGTTTTTTTTTTTTTGCGAAAAGATGAGAACAACAGTCCGACTCGGTTGGCACGCTACTCAACTCTCGTTCACACTGCTCTGAAAATAACCTTACCGGTCAGCGGCCACCGCAAGGACGGGAGCATCAAAGGTTGTCGTCTCCGAGTAGAATGGCAGCGGGTTGTGCGGGTTGGTCACATCACAGGAGACATCAACGACAACAGAGAGGTGGCGCTTGTCCGACTTGGGGGTGAGCAGCGTCTCGGCCGTCAGGAACGGAGGGATCGGGGTTGCCAGGTAGATGCAGTTGACCAGAATCTCGTACTCGAGCAGCTGCGGGAAGGGGCCGCCGTTCTTGGTCTCGGCCATATCCCAGCGAATAATATTGGCACTGTTGCAAAAGAGGTGGCAGAGGGAAGAAGGGCAGGCTTCGAGGTGAGAAAAAAAAACGACTGGGTTTTGCCACCAAACTGCGCCTGGAACGCTTTTGCGCGCTTACTCGGCAATACCAGCACGAACCAAAAGGTCGCATGCGCCGGTGCCACATCGGCCAAGCGCACCAATGACAATGGCCTTGGGTTGGTTGGCGCCGCCTACGCAGTCAAACATGGCCATCATGAGTTTGATTCACCTTAAATCCGCGCAAGAAATCAAAGCAAGAAATCAAAAGTGTTACCAGCAACAGCCTGGGCAATACGCTTCTTGAGATGGCTCACAAGCTGCTCGTCGTTTTCATACGGTTTGATGGAGGGGTACGGGGTGCCAGGACTACAACAAGAACGAAAAAAACAATCAATGGAAGGTGCTGTGCCGAAACGCCGAATGCAGCATCGCTCTTACTTTGTTTGGTTGTGTGCCCACAGATCCAAACCAACGGCAGCTCCGGCAAAACCAGCCATGTATCCGAATGCAGCGACTCGTCGACCTGCAGTAGGGTTACATGCGTTGCATTGTTTCAGTGTTTCGACCTTGCTTTCGATCCTTCAACATCAACAACGGCATCGTCGTACCCTTCTCGTCGTTCAAAAACTCGAGATCGAGCAGCTGGCCACCGCCACGCTTGAAGCGAGCAAGCAAATCCTTCCAGCCAGCCTGGTTCTTGTACGCATGGCCAAAGTACACGTGACGGTGCTTGAGCGGCGTCGTGTCGTTCTCGGGCAGCTCTTTCAGACCGAGAATGAAGGCGTCTGCGGGTGCGTCTCGCCAAGCGCCGCCAGCAGCAATGGTGCATCCAGCCCTGCGAATTGCACACGATTGATGCAACATGTCAGGTCGGTGGTTGGTGTTGGAGAGTGCGTGCGTGTGTAAGTGTGAGTTTCGTTTCAACTCGGATTGTTCGCTTCTCCCTTTCAACCCTTGCTTTCTTTCTTCATTTCTTCTTCTTCTTCTTCTTTCCCAACGCAAGCCACACACATATCCATTCCAATCGTACCTACGACGATTGAGGAAGGCGGGTCGATGACATAATTTCGCTCACCACCAAAAACCAAACAGGGAAGGACTCAGGTCGTGTCCCCTCGTTCAACTGTGACCATTTCCGAAATCCCCGACAACATCGTTGTACTCATCCCCACGCCCCAATCCCCACCACATAACTCCAACAGTGATCCCCCTACGTCTCATCGATCTGATAGATCTGAATCTGAATCTGAATCTGACCTCCATCCCGATGCTGATCTCCGACTGGCATGACAGGGACAAAATCTCTCCCATAAACTCCCAATTCTCCACCTGGCCTTTCCCCCATTGCCACCATTGCCACCATTGCCACCATTGCCACCATTGCCACCACAGCAAACATCGGCTTTGTTCACTCATCATCGCGACAGTTGGGGGGGGGGGTGGCAATCCAAAAATCACTTACAGCTCATACTCGTGAATGTCGAAAATCCGCTGAGTCGACCGCTCGACAGTGATCCGGAAGACGGCCTCCTCGTGTCCGTCCGCGTTCGTCCTGCGCTCGGCAAGAAGCTTCTTGCATGCATCGGGAGTCAGCACAACGCGGTGCTCGTGCTCCTTGGTCTCCTCGCGCAGCCACAGGTGAGTTGTTGTCGCAGTCATAGTGGATGAAGAATTGGTTCAGTTCAATGGAATCAAAAAAAAAAAAGAGTGAGCTATTGCTTGTTCACACAAACCAAAATCACAACCATTTACATCCATGCACTAGATTCTGCATGAATGCGGGGCGAAAGTATGACAAACCTAAAAACAAAAACAAAAAAAACCAACAAAAAACAAAATCTCAAATTTACAAGTATCTAACAAACACGAATCAGGCAGCTTCATGCGCAAGCCGTACAGTACATGCACACACAACGATGAAAAAGAAACAAAGGGAGCAACATTCCGATGCTAACTCGACAGAAACAGGGGGGGGGGGAAAGCGACAAACAAAGAAAAAATTGTGCCTCAATCCACGGCAACATCAACCAGCCGAGGCTCCTCCACAGCCTGAACAAACACGCTGGCCTTGACGGGATAGCCGTACTCGGAATACACCATGCTGATGGCAAAGACGGCAAAGAATTCAGCGCCATCCCGTCTTCGGCAGAGGCCGCGGAATTGGAACTGCTCGGCGCGACACATGACTGCCTCGCAGCAGGCGCGTGCAAAGCGGTGCCACTCGCTTTCCGCAAACACTCGGAAGAGCAGATCGTCCGACAAGGGTGGCACGGTCACGTCAAGACCCGAGTAGCCAAACATGTCGGTCGCCGCCTCATTTGCGTAGCTGATGCGAATCACAAAGTTGCGAACGCTGCACCGGACGACAGCGACCGGTATTTTATCGTACACGTTGCGAATTACGGCTTCCGAGATGCTATTTGGATCCTGCAGAGCACAAACAACAACAAAACGTGAAACGTTAGAAAAAAAAAACCACCAGAACTCCATTGCAAAACTTCCCCACAGGACACAATTCTACGCATACCATCGATTCGGCGGGTTCTAGTTCAAGCACTTGCTTGCGGACACTGTCATTCGGGAATCCAGCAAGCAACTCTTCTTGCTTTGGGATCATTTCCTCAGCTGTGACGACGCGGAAGAGTTGGGTTTGCCCGATATAAAACCGCCTGCAGGTACAAAGACAAGGACGACACCGGTGAGCGGGATGACAAACAACCGCAGAAGCAATGAAGACAAAACAAACAAATCAAGCTTACACGTAAATCACAAAGCACTTTTCAAGGCGCGGACTGTAGTTGTTGAGAAGCATTTGCTTCCATTTGAGCAGTTCCGAAAAGACAGAAGAGAAGTACTTGCGAATGTCAAAGCGACGCAGAGGAGTGCCGTCCGCTCCAATCTGCTGCGAAGCCGCGACAGAAGCGTGAAGCCCTTCGTAGAGCGTTTGCAGGAGAGCGCTCTCCGAAATGTCCTCGTTGAGCACACCGTCCAGCATGGCGGCGGATGCGGCTTCGCTGTCATTGCCACTTGCTGTGCTTTGGAGCTGGAAGAGGCATTGCCAGGGAAAGTCGAGCTCGGATGCGACATCTATCAACTCCTCAACACTATGCACCGAGGCCGGCGAGTCGACATCGTCGTCGAGCGGTGACGCAGCGTCGTTTCGAACACGCTTGGGTTGGCCGTGAGTGTCGTCCGCATCGCCGACCGAAAACCCGGTCCCGCCGTCAGACAATGGCATGGAGTCCGACGACCGAGCGCTGAGCGGGCCGGCCGCGGCAGAACCAATGTCAAACTCTTCGAGCGACCGTACCTGTCCTCGGCCGAGGGTGATGGTAGCAGCAGGGATGGAGCCAATGGCGTCCGGCTCGTCAAACGCCGACAAGCCCGCGATCGGGTCGAGCTGCATGAGCTGTGCGCCTGGCATCAGGGTCATGCCTGTCGCATTGTCGACGAGGAAGGACGACGCGTCGCCAGCAAACACGCCGAGCGGCGGTGCGACTGCTGACGATTGCAGGGCAGTCGGTGGGGGATACAACGCAGCGTTTGCCTGCTGTGCGAGGTTGGCCTTGGGCCTGGGGACCTTGTGCTCGACGTCAATGCAGCTGTCGGCAATGCCCAGCCGCGAGCATCTTGGGCACGGGCGCATGTTCTCGCACGCCGTCTTGGCTCGCTTGCACGGAGCGCAGACGCGGGAGCACTTTCGGTGGCGTCGGGCGGCTTCACCTGCCTCGCCTGCCTCTGCCGCTGCAGCAGCTGTTGAAGCTGTTGAAGCGGGAGCTGCGGCGGATGACGATGAAAGTCCAGCAGCTGGCGTCCCAGGCACCGACAGACCAGCCGGCGGCGAGAGTGAGGTCGCAGCAGCAGCAGCGGCCTTCTTTGGCTTCCTTGAGCTGGTTTGGTGGAGGATGGCCTGCCGGTGGGACGAGGCCATGGCAGCCTGCAGATTGAGCTGCATCTGCGGCGGGAGCAGGCCGAGCAAGCCATACACGGGCACCATGTTATTGCCGTCTGCTGCTGGTGGTGGTGGTGGGGCCATGAAGGCAGCGTCCGGCGCAGCAGCAGCAGCAGCAGCGGCAGTGACAGTGGCTTCGGGGACGAATTCGCCTCTATTGCTGCTGCTGGTCGTCGTCGTCGTCGTCGTCACGCTCGAGCTCGAGTTGCTCATGGTGTTCATGCTGCTGCTGCTGCCGTGCTGCGTGTGCGCAATGGCGGAGGTCTTGCGTGCTGCGTCGAGGACGACCGAGAGAAGCGGATCGTGCACAAAGTGATTGGCATACGCTCCATTACCATTGCTATTGACGAGGCTGGCAGCGACGGCAGCAGCGGCAGCAGCAGCAGCAGCAGCAGCAGCATTATTGGCATCCACCATGCCAGGAGCGGGTGGCGTGAGTGAGGCGGCAGCATGCAGAGTGCTAGAGTTGTCGCTGCTGTCGGCTGACGGTGAGCCGCCGCCAGAGTGGATGTTGAGCGAGTGCATGAACTGCTGTGAGAATGCGAGCGCCGCCTGCTGTTGCTGCTGCTGCTGCTGCTGCTGCTGCTGCTGAGTAGTGTTGCTATGATGAGCAGAAGGAGCGAGAGAGGCAGACACTGAGGAGGAGGCAGCCACAACAGCCACAGCCGCACTACTACTGATTGGGCCAGTGTCACTGTTATTGTCATTGTAGTCGTCGTCGTCGTCCAGCTTCACCCGTCGCCCTTGCATTGGATGCTGTTGTTGTTGTTGCTGTTGTTGTTGTTGCTGTTGTTGCTGTTGTTGCTGTTGTTGCTGTTGTTGTTGTTGATGGTGATGATGGCTGTGGTGCTGATGCTGTTGGTGAGCAACTCGCGCGTCTCCACTCATTGTTGTTTCGTCCTTTGCCTTATTTGATGGCTTTGTTGTTGTTGTTGTCAATCAAAGAAAGCAAGAAAGGAAAAAAAAAAAGTTGGATTGACAGAAAGAGAAAAAAAAAAGTCAAGAAGAAGAAGTAGAAAAAGAAAAAAAGAAGAGCAGCAAACAAGAAGAAGAACAAGAACAAGAACAAGAACAAGAAGAAGGAAAGAAGAAGAAGTAGTAGAAGGAAAGAAGAAGAAGTATAAGAATAAGAACAAGAAGAGCAGCAAACAAGAACAACAACAACAACAACAAGGAGAACAAAGAAAAGTCATCCATGAAACAACTACTTCAACTGGAAACAACAACGGAAACAACAGCATTTGAACAATCACAACGAGAAAAGCCAAGTAGTAGTCGTGCTCCAAGCCAAGACAGCAAAAGAAACGAGGGGGAAACCGGCTCAGAACGGCAGATTCAAGTTCAATGCAAGTCTCCTCCAATTGCTTCTCAATCTATCAGACTTTGGGGGGGGGGGAATCGAGCTCAATATGTAACTACATGAACCATGTATCTAGTTTGGTTTGTGGCAGACCAACTACAGTACACCACTCTTTGTACTTTGCCATACAGGTCGATACCAGCAGCGCTACAATGCTCAGAGCGAGTGGATTGCTGACGACGGGTGGTCGTCCTCATCACCCAACCCCTGCTGCTTCAACTGCTGCTGCTACTTCAACTGCTACTCCATCTGGTGGGCTCTCGCTTCGTCGCACGCCGGGGGGCGTCGTGTCCGCCGTCGCAGTCGCAGTCTCGGCGCTGTGCTGGGCTGCGTTCCGCTCGTACTCGACATCGTCCAACTCCACTTCATCATCTTCATCATCTTCTTCTTCATCTTCATCATCTTCATCGTCATCTTCATCATCATCGGCTGGAGCGTCGGTGCTGGACAATCCACTGCTCGCGTGCTCGGCTGCCTTGCCGCGCTTTGCTGACATCCAGCCAGCTCACATTGAGCCAGGCATTAACTGTAAGACTATCGAGATGTATGTCTAGTTCACATTCGCATTGACATCCCGTCGGAATTGAATTTGGTCCAATCTTAGTCTTGCTGGACGAGTTTCAAGCATCCGTCACTCAACTGGAAAGCGCGCTCGAGTCGAAACTGGCCAACCCGACGACTGCAATCACTTGGAGCGATGTCATGATTCCCCTGGAACGTATTCGTGATCGGTGAGATTTCAATGACCGAGCGAAAGTTGTTTTCTCGCGGCTGCTCCATGACTCAAAAACTGTGCCACTCAACCCCCCCCCCGGGCTTGCACTGGTAGGTTTGAGGTCCCGTGGAGCGCTGTAAACCACATCAAGGGCGTGAAAAGCTCGCAGGAAACCCGCGATGCGCACCAGCGCGTTCTGGGTCGCGTGATTGACGTCATGAACAAGTTTGGTCAAAGCCAGACCTTGTTCCGCGCAAAGGAGGCCTTGCTTGCCGCCTCCACGTCCAGTGTCGCTCTGACAGCCTCGCAAAAGCACGTCCTGAGCAAATCCTTGCGAGACGCCAAGCTTGCCGGCGTTGCCTTGTCTGCTGAGGACAAGGACAAGTACAACCAGATCTCGAGCCGCCTTGCCCTCCATGGCAGCCAGTTTAGCAACAACGTCCTTGCCTCGACGGCCCAGTTTGCGTTTGTTGTCAAAGACGCAGCCCAGATTGCTGGCCTGTCGCCTGCAGTTCGCGAAATGTTGGCGGCGGCAGAGCGCAAATCTGGGAACGCTACTGCAACGGCTGACGCCGGACCGTGGCGCATCACGTAGGTTTCTTTTTTTTTTGTTTTGTTGTTATCTCACTGTGGGTGCCTCATTGTTGCTGACCCAAGTTTCAAAGAGACTTCAACTCACCCATTGTGCATTTCGTCGCTGGGTTTGTTTGTCATTTCTTCGATTCAGACTCGACCAAGGCATTGTTTCGGCAGTCATGGAAAGCTGCTCCGATCGACGCGTACGAGAGATTGTGCAGCATGCCATGGTCACCCGCGCAAGCGGCATTCCAAACTTGATCAGCGCAGCAGCCGACAGCTCTACACTGACCGCATCGGACAACACTGAGGTCATCCTCGAAATTCTGCGTGGAAAGCACGAACTCGCCAAGCTGCTTGGCTACACGCGGTATGCTGATGTTTCCATCGAGCCGAAAATGGCGAATTCCGTGGACGAAGTTGTAAACCTGATTCAAATGATCCGAACCAAGGCTATCGGGCACGCTCGCTCCGAGTTGCAGGCTTTGACTCAATTGGCACGCGAACAGGGTGAGGAGCACAAAAAAAGCCATCGCTGACTGGGATGGAATGCGGGTTGGTTTGGTTTGGATGCTGACAAAGGCCTTGTGTTTTGTTTTTGTTTCTTTTTGTTTGTTTGTTTGTTTGTTATCGCTTGACCTTAGACCCCTCGATTACCGAGCTTCGTCCTTACGATTTGACTTACTGGTCGGAAAGGCACAAGGAAAAGACGCTCAACTTTAACGAGGCGGATCTTTTGCCATATTTGTCCTTCCCTCGCGTGTTGAAAGCCATGTTCGACTTGGTGTCCGAGCTGTTTGGAGTTCGCGTTGAGGTACGCTTTGCTCATGCTGTGCTCCGCCTTTCGAACTCTCCATCTGCCAGTTCCACCCACGCTTGTGTATTTTTTTTTTCGTTTGTTTGTTTGTTTGTATTTTTTTTTTGTTTTGCTTTTGTTCCCCCTTAGGAACTCCCTCCTGGATCTGTCTCGGTGTGGAACGAGCACGTCCGGTTCTATCGCGTGCTGGACACCAAAACAAACCGGCTCTTGGCTGGCTTCTACCTTGATCCTTACAGCCGACCGAGCGAGAAGCGCGGCGGAGCGTGGATGGACATTGTGGTTTCCCGCACCGCTGCACTTGAAGCCCCGTCCGCTGTGCCGGCCTCGGGCTTTTCCCTATTCTCAGAAGACACTCTGCTGACTGGCGAGAAGGTTGTGCGACGACTTCCGGTCGCGCATCTCGTGTGCAACCAGATGGAGCCTTCGGCCTTCCCGGGCAGCGACGCACCTGTCTCGCTGATGAGCTGGCGCGATGTCGAGACCCTCTTCCACGAGTTTGGTCACGGGCTCCAGCACATGCTCACGACAGTCGATATCGGCGAGGCCAGCGGAGTCAACGGCGTCGAGTGGGACGCGGTTGAGCTCCCGAGCCAGTTTATGGAGAACTGGGCTGCGCAACCAAGGATGCTTGCAGCAATGCTCAAGCATGTTGTCACTGGAGAGACCAAGGACCCCGCAGCCATGGCCGCCGTTTTCCACCGTCGCCGCAGTCACATGGCGGGTATCGCCACCATGCGTCAGCTGTTTTTCGGCATCGTGGACATGGAGCTGCACGGTGCCAACTCCTTCCCTGCATCGCAAGCCCTGCAGGCCTTTTTGAACTCGAGCCGTCCCATCACACCCAGTGACCGCATGCTTCCATTTGCCGTTCAACGCGCCATCAGCGAAACCTTTACTGTTGTCCCTCCGATTGTTGACGACCGCATGTTGTGCAGCTTTTTGCACATTTTCGATGGTGGCTACAGTGCTGGGTATGTATTCATGTTGTCTGAGGTGAATGGTTTGCTTCAACAGCCTGTGATTGACTTTTGTTGGATTGTTTTCGCTCTACAGGTACTACAGCTACAAGTGGGCCGAAATTCTATCTGCGGATGCATTCTCTGCGTTCGAAGAAGCTTTGCTTGAGCCAGCTGCGGACGGTGCGCTCCTGCCCGAAAGCGTTCGCACGATTGGCCGGCGATTCCGCGACACTGTTCTGGCGAGTGGTGGCAGCCTCTCTGCGCAAGACGTCTTTGTTGTCTTCCGAGGCCGTTCTCTCTCCATCGAGCCTCTTCTTCGCCACTACGGCTTGATCTCTGACAGCGAGGCTGCGATGGATTGAATGTTTTGAATCCTTGTGATTTTCGGATTTTTGCAATCTGTCGCGCCGTGGCGTTCCCATGCGCTTTGTGGATTGTTTTTGCTTGATCTGTTAGAATACATCCCATTCAAGCTCTTGTCTGAGCAGAGAAGAAAACAACAACCTTCAGTCTAATTTTGTTTTTCTGGAACCAAAACGCACAGCAACCCAGCGAGAAAAATGGCCAAGAAGGGCGGCATTGACTACAGCAAGTGGGATCACATTGAGATCAGCGACGACGAGGACGAGACGCATCCCAACATTGACAACGCGTCGCTCTTCCGCTGGCGGCACCAGGCGCGTGTCGAGCGCGAGGCTGAGGAGAAGCGCGAACGCGAGGCCCTCAAGCACAACATTGACGAGTTGAGTTTTTGAAACAGCGCGCCTTTTCCCCCTCCGACGACGACGAGTTTGAAGGTCGCAGGAGTGGCGACTGGGTGTGACGGTGTTGGACGCGGAGGGAGGGAAGGAGATTGAAGGGGGGGGGGTCATCAAGCTGGCGATGGAAGACTGTGGAAAGCGAAGGAAACGCAGCCCTGCGACAGACCAGAGCTCCAGTGTGTCAGGGACGTCCGTGATGCAAGTGGGAGATATTAGAAGCATCGTGTTACACTTTCAAAAGTCAACTTGTGCCAGAAAGCGGAAGGCACGATTTGACGTAGGAGGGGGGGGACATACAGCGTTTTCCCTTTGCATCTTGAACGGGAAAAAAAAAAAAAAAAAAAAAAAAACTTGTGTTGTTTGTTTGTTTAGATTGGGATTTGTTATTCAGCGTCTGAGTTTGTTACATTGTTACAGCTTGACTTTGTTACATTAACAAACAAAATGCGCTATTGAAACAACAAAGAGAGCCAACTTTTCGATGCTTGTCACTGCTGAAAAAAAAAAAAGCAAGAACAACAAGTACTGACAAAAACTGAGATTTTGACTCTCAACAGATCGGCCAAGCAACGCCAAGTACTGCAAGCCGCTGCTGCTCATGTAAGCGAAATAAAAAAACAACCCCCACAACTTTGAGATCGCTGCATCCAAGCTCGAGACGATGCTGTAGTTTGTCCCCTCACCTTCCGCCGCTTTTGAAACTTGATGTGGTGAATAATCGCCACGGCCGCAGGCAAAGACGCTGAACGCACCGGAAGATGCCGCCAAGAAAATCGACGCTGCGCTCACCGAGGCTCAGAAGCAAGAGGAAGAGTTCCGGCGCAAGGAAGCCGAGCTCGAGCGAATGGAGCGTGAGCATCCCAAGTGGAACGTCGACAACATTAGCAAGCCCGGCTTCAACAAGACGGTAACGCGCACTGTTGGGCGCCTGGATGAATTCGTCCGTGCCGTGCTCGACGACGACTCACAGCGACCCTCTGTTGTTTTTTGTCCCAGGTGGTGAACAAGGGCGCTGCAGCCACGCCCGCCTCATCCTCAAAGTCGGACGAGGAGGAAGCACAGGATTTGGTGAGGCTACTTGCGTATCGACCAGAGAAACCAGTCCGAACTATTCTCACCCGTTTTTGCTTGTTTGTTTGATCAACTCCCATTGTTGCCCGATTTCCAGCGATCGTTCATCAAGAAGAACGAAGCACGTATCAAAAAGTACGCCATGTACTCCAAGCTCGACGAGACCCACATGTATCTCGGTGAAAACCTCGATCTGGTCTGCGAAGACGCTGCCAACTACCTTGTGATTTGGTGTCTCGAGCTCGAGATGGAAGGCAAGCACGACCTCATGAAGCGGGTCGCCCACCAGACGATTCTCATGCAGTACATGCTTCAACTCGCCAAGTCGCTCAACAACGACCCGCGTGCGAATGTCAACCGTTTCTTCAACAAGTATGCCACCCACTCTCCCCCTTTTTTCCTTTGCATTTTTTTTCTCGGACAATCCTTTTTCGTTCCAGCCCTGTTGTCTAACTCGTAACTTGATTCTCTGCCTCCTTTCCTTTCCTTTTGTTTTTTTTTCTTTTTCCCAGGTTCCGTGTCGCCGACCAACCGTACTTGGACGCATTCCAAGACGAGTGGACGTCGTTCGTTAAGCGCGTGCAAGACCGCGCCAAGGTCAAGATTGCAGAGGCCGAGGCCGAGCAAGAGGCCATTGAGCGTCAGAGCCGCCTCGGTCCCGGCGGCTTGGATCCGTTCGAAGTTCTTGAAACACTGCCTGCACCTTTGCGTGAGGCGTTTGAATCCCGCGACATGGCCAAGCTGCACGCGGCTTTGGCAGCCATGCCTCTCGAGGAAGCCAAGTACCACGTCAAGCGCTGCGAAGACTCTGGGCTTTGGGTTCCTTCCAAGAATACCGAGGCGGACGAGGCGGGCGCCGCCGAGGATGACGGCGCTGGGGTTGAGGAAGAAGGAAGCGACGAGGAGCATTACGAGAAGGTCCCTGAATGAGTTTCAGTGCTGCTTCCGTTGAGTAGTGTTTGCTTTTCATCAATACAACCTGTTTAAGACAATCCAAGTACCGCAACGACAGTGGAACAACAGCGCGTCATGTCTTTTCTACTTTATGTCAAAAGTTCATTAGACTTGTCTCACACTCATTGTTTGGAAGAAAATATCAAGCTATTCAACCATCTCAGGCTCACACACACACACAAATAAAAAATACACACACGGAATGCCAAACCCGCCTCGAACATAAAAATCCTTTACAAGACATCTTCGTCGTCGTCATCATCCACAGCCATCCAAATCATCGGGCGCTTGTCAAGCTTCCTGGAGCGCATTTGAAACATGTTTGGCATAGCGTGGCCACGAGACCGGCGGTACAGGAAGAGGCCGACCAAGCCCAGCCCGCCAACCAGCAGGACAACAGCCACGACAATCAATGCAATCGTGGTGGAGTTGGCGCCCCCTTCCGACGCGTCGGATGCAGTACCTGGAGACACGTGCGTCGATTTCGACGGTGCCACTTTGGAAGTTTCGGCAGATGCCGAGGAGACGAGTGGTGTGGCAGATGACACCGCTGGAGTGGCAGATGACACCGCTGGCGTGGCAGATGATATTGCTGGTGTGGCAGAAGAGGGTGTGGCAGACGAGGCAGTGGAGGAAAAAGGCTCCACGGTTGAAGACAGCAGTCCAGCAGAGGTAGAAACAACTGGCGCAACGCGCTGGCACAGCTGCATTTCTGAAAGCTGCAAGTCCTTTGTGGTCCGACTTAGAGCAGAAGTAATCGAGAGGCGGTAGTACTGGTACGCGTCTGCAGCAGTCATGTTGAAGAACCGAAGCAGAAACCTCTGTGAAAATGTTTCGTCGGTGCGCACGTCCAGTGAAGTCCACTGCGCTCCGTCCGCACTGCCTTCGAGTGACCTAGACGAAGCAAAAAAAGAAACACAAAAATATTGAGCCCAACACAGCCAAAACGCCATAAACACCAGCAAGTGAGTTCACCATACCAATCTCGCGGATCTCGGACCGACATGTCATTGGCCGAACCCAAAATGTAGCCATCAATCGCGACGGGCTCGGCAAACTTGACAGACACCCATGCTTGGGCAGGAGCGACACGTGTGCTATAAAACCACTTGGTCAAGACATTGCGGTCGAACATCATAGCTGCGGTCTCGTAGGGCGGAAGCTCGCCAGTGGCCAGGATTTGCGTGATGGCAGTCGCAATGGGAGTACAGTATTGTTCGCAGGCTAGGCCCACTGCATTGGGCTCACACGCGCACACATTGTTGGCCACGCAGCGCCCGTGCCCGGAGCAATTGTTGAGGCCACTGCAATCGAACGCGACAGCGCAATTGTAGTTGCCGTATCCACTTGCGCATGAGCACTGGCCATCAGCGACACAAATACCATTGTTTGAGCAGTTGCCGACCGTGCGACAGTCAAACTTTTGTGTGCAATCGGCGCCAGCAAAGCCCGGCGCGCACTGGCAGATGGCATTGGCAGTGCAGTTACCGCCCTGGTTGGCGGCGTTGCAGGCAAGAGGGCCACATTGGTACGGTGTGGCAGGCTGGAAATTCGCCACAAAGCCCTGGCGTTGCGAGGACCAGTAAGAAGTGAACTGAACTGCAAATATCTGTCCAGGAACCATGACGATTGGCACTGTCGCCGAGATGCCACACAGGTTGGAGACTTGTGCAAGTGCAGGATGCAACAAGGAGAACGGAGTTTGCAGGGCCATGCCGGGAGTGACCCAGGATTCAGGCGCAAGGGAGGCGTTGACCGAATAGACCACCACATTGTCGCAGTAAAATCCCGGGTCCAACTGGGTGAAGGAAAGCCGAGTGGAGGTAGCGCCATCGGCCGGAGTTGGTCCACGAACAAGCCAGATTTTGCGCACCGTGTTGAGGAAAGCTTCGGCGTCTTCTCGGGGGATTTGGAGCGTGTTGCTTCCGCCGAGCACTCCATCAACCACCTCAAAATCAAGCTCGTCTGGGACGGGAGTAAAGTGGACGCGACCGAACGGCAAGGTAGGTGCAGAGGCTGGCTTGAAGCAGAGTTGGAGCGTGGCTTTGGAAGGGGGCGTCGCAGCTGTACCGGTAACACGAATATCAACAAAGTGATAGCCACCATATGCAATGATTGTCATGATCGGACGGCCATCCAACGTGCTAGTTTGAACGGAGAGGCCAGAGGAAACCACGGAAAGGGTGAGGAATGGGTCGAGCTGTGTGCGATCGTCCAAGCGCAACCAGCCTGTCCAACGAATGCTCCATCCCGCTGGGAAGAGCTCGTTTTGTGGATCCGATGGCCAGGTGAGCTGGCCGGCCGCAAAGTCGATGCTCCGATCCATTCGTGTCCAACGAGAACTTGGAGGAGTGTTGTAGCCTGGCGACCAGCCAAAGCTTGAATCGTTGTAGTAAACGCCCAGGATGCCATGGGTCGGCTCAAACGTATCTGCCATCTGGACGAGATTGAGACAAAGCGCGTCATGCTCGGCATCGGCAGAAGCAAATACGCGGAAGGCTGAGAGCAGAGGCTGCGACGTGTTCAAGTAGGTACTCGTCACTGCCAGCTTGAACGCATTGAATCGCGGGCAGTTGTCCGGGGTGGGACTGGCAAAGCCTCCTGCCAGCGTTTCAGCACCCGCGCCAATCACAAACTTTCGAGTGGCCAAGTCCGAAATGAATTGCACGTCAGTGCGCGCGTCCACCGGCGTCCAGCTAGCACCCCCGTCGGCCGAGCCGTACAGAGTCCAGGACGAAGGGTCAAAGCGACGGTTGTTGGATTGGTACGTGACTGTCAACTGGTAGGCAATGGCGCAGCGCGCAACACCATCCAGAGCAATGGCCGTCAACTCTGTCGTCGAGTTCACGTCAAAAGGCAGCGGTGCAAAGGTCAAATTGTCGTTGTCCATCACAAGGACTTGGTTGGCCACCCTGGGGAACCAAAACGCGTCTGGAGCGCCATACAGCATTTCGACACACGGTGGTGAAAATGTTTTGGAGGCTGGGGGAGCGAGCGGCGTGCCTGGAACGAACGGCACTGCGGGAGGAGGAGCGTCAAACGTACAAGAAGGCACGGCGACGGGCGAAATGAAGAAAATGTTGGCGTCCATCCAGGCCAAGCGCTGTTCCAACCAGGCCTTGAGAGCAGCAACATAGGCTGCCTGCGACGTTCGCGTTGGGGCAACGTTCGACCATTGGCTGTCAGATGGCGGGTACTTGGCAGTGTTGCGCGCGATCGGCAGAGCACCAATCGAGGCAACAAGAGAATCGACGAGCTGCAGCACGGTTGAGGTTTGCAGCGGTCCTTGGCGCAGGTCTTGCCATCGTGCAATCACCCGCGCAACAAAGCAGCCATCTTGCAACATGCGCCGCCACCACAACGGAGCGACCTTTTTTTCGCCGGGGCTGTACCGGTAGTGGGTCCAGACTTGAAAGCCGTCTGGACTCATGCTCCCGTAAAAGTAGCTGTTGCCGAACGCAAGGTTGAGGTCCCACACAGGTCCAAAGACCAGCTTTGCGTCGTCGCCGCGGTCCTTGTACATGTACGCGCTGGCACGGTAGGCGTCCACGTTTTTATACAGCTCGGTGAGCAGCAGGTAGTCGACGGCCGAATCGACGTCAATGTAGGTCGCGTAGCCGAACGTGTTGTTGGCATTGTTGAGCAAGTCCTCGCGCGAAATGTTGGCTCGCGGGATGCTCTCTGGTGCGTTGAACGAGTCGGAAGCGAGCGCGCTCTCAAACGCATTCATGTAGCGCGTCACATAGTCGGTCTGCGTCGGGGTCAGCTCGCTCAGCGGCGGATCGGCAATGACAAGATTGGGCGTGCGAGCCGTAGTGTTGACAAAGTATTCCTTGGTCGGGTCGAGCACGTCAATCTTGACAATGTATCCGCCAGTGGTGTGGTTGCTCCCGGAATGTTTGATGTCGATGCGGTTTTTGTCCGCCTTGATCTTTTCGAGCACAACGTAGACGCCCGAGTACCTGCCAGGATAGCTGAGCTGCGACCCAGGCGTGACCGGGGATGTGGTGTTGGTGGTCGTGTTCCACACGGGCATGACTGCGCTTTCCGAGATGAAGAGTTCGACAAAGACCGAGCGACTGGCATACCGGCCAATCGAGTTGCTCAGAGCGTACGCCAGCGCGTCCTGCACCAAGGTCTTGTCCACGATCGGTCCATACAGGATAAAGTCAGATTCGGACGGCAGGTTGAGGAAGGGCCGGTTGATTGTCTTGTTGGAGACTGGATCCGACCAGAGCTCGACCGAGTACTGCCAATGCCAAACAGGGTGCCGTAAAAGAGGATTGAGTGAGAAAACAATGCACCAATGCATGGTAGCGCTTTAGAAAAACAGCGCGGCGGGTTTTGAGCACAAATCTGAGAACTCGGTTTTCTGTCGATTTCTGCCATATTTCCAAAACCCGTGCATTTCTTGCAGCATCCCACGCCATGAGCCTTGCTTTTGTGTAGGTCCATACATTGTCCTGCTCTTCTCCTCTTCTGGTGCTCTTCAACTCGTCCACACACACACGCAGAGTCACGCAGTTTGCCATGTTTACCTGCTTCTTGATAAAGCTACGCGAAGTCGCGCCACGCAGCCGAATGCCAATCCACCCGTCATAGTTTAAATTTCCAAGTCTACGAAAACAGAACATGCCCAACGGCATCGGACCAGAGTCGAGTCAGCATGAGTGAACTGCTTCAACGATTAGCATCATCCAGCACGTTCGGCCGTTACACAGTGTTGCCGAGACCACCCGTGCTGTTGCTGTCGGACGGTGGCATCTGGACTTGGCAGTAGGCAGGCATGCGGTCTGACTTGTACGTGGCCTGCGAGAGCACGGACGCGGGCGCTGGGAGGTACAGTGCGACGACCGGCAATGGCGAGACAAAGGACAGCGGCGGATCGACGGCCACGGCTGCAGGCGCCATCCGAGCCAGTACGCAGCAGCACGCGACGACACCAAGCATCACTGCGGACATCTTCTTCGTCTTGCCCGTCGCCATCGTGGCAGAGGCAGCAGTCGGACTGCCGCGCCTGTGCCGCATTGTTCAAAAAGCCTGTTTTTTCAAAGCTGGGAACTGAGAATTGGGCTGTGATGATGGGAAAAGGGAGACTGGGGATATCGTGAATCAAATGAATGTATTGCAAGATTGATCCACAGTGCTCTGAATCAACACTCAACTCTGCAATGGGCGAGAGGGGGTGTTGGAGGGCGATTGTTGGCCATTGTGCGCTCTCTTTCACTCGTCAGCATCTTTCCACACCCCCCCCCCGCCTCAAAAACACTAGTCTCCACATCTGTCCTTGGAATATGCTCACCGACTCAGATTTCCACTCAACTTGGAAAAAGAGCCCTTCCAAACTCGAAACCTGTCAGTTCAAGTTTTTTCAAAAAACACAAAAACCCAATACAAAATGGCTGACGACGACCGCGAAGAGCCCACGACTGGCGACGACAAGGTGCGACTCCCCCTGCTTCCTGACTGTGTTGATACTGCTGCTCGCTTACCCGTCTCGGTGGAGAGAAAGAGAGAGAGAGCGAGAGAAAGCAGCAAAGTTCGTGTTGCAAGCAAAAAAAAAAAAAAAAAAAAAAAAAAGTGAAACAATCAAAAAAACCAAAAAGTGAAACGGTTTTCTATGAATTTTCCATTGAGTTTTGTATGGAAAAACAAAAAAAAAAAAAAAAAAAAAAAAAAAAAAAAAAAAAACTCCTCTTGCTTTTCCACACATGGATTGGTTTTGAGTTGCTTGTTGCGCTGGCGGTGCGTTTTGGCTGCTGTGGCGCGTCCTTGCGCTATGCCTGTCCTTTGTGGACTTGAAGCGCGCGTCTGTGGCATGACCTGGGCGGCAGTCGAGGCGCAGTGGGTGGCTGGCAAACTAACACTCCAGCAAGACAATGTGTTTGAGATCGCTTCTTTTTTTTTTTTTTTCTTTTTTTTTTTTTGTTTCCCTTGTTGGCCTTTTGTTTGCTTCCAAGCGCCGCTCGTTGGACAGTGCAGCACACGCTCGTCTTCTTCTTCTTCTTGCTTCTTGCTTCTTCGCTGTCTCTTTGTGTGTGGAGAACGCGGCGACGTTTGATGCATGGCTTCGTTTCTGGTCGTCGTTTTTTCGTTTTTTCAACTGACGAAACGCTCTCACTCTCTCTCTCTGTGTGCAGGACGAAGTCGTTGAGAGCAACGATGTTCACTTTGAGCCCATTGTCAAGCTCAACCAAGTGGAGGTCAAGACCCTCGAGGAGGACGAGGATGTCCTGTTCAAGATGTAAGTTTGCTTTTTGTCGGTCTCTGTCTTCTCTTTAGGCACTGGACGTGTGCGAGTGCGGCCCAGCCGTCGCGGCTGTAGAACGATGAGGGACTTGAGCCTGTTCGTCCCCAGTTGACGGTGGCGGTGACGCCGCACAGAGGCAGAAAATTTGCCCCACATCAACTACCGACCATCGCATCCTTTTTGGTGGCCCGCTCTCGCTGACTTTGTTGTTTTTCCTCGCGTCTGTTTTCTCGACACAGTCGTGCCAAGCTTTTCCGATTCGACAAGCCCACGGGCGAGTGGAAGGAGCGCGGCACTGGCGAGGTCAAGTTCTTGCAAGATCGCACCACCAAGATGATCCGTCTGCTCATGCGCCGAGACAAGACCCTGAAGGTCTGCGCCAACCACATTGGTGAGTGTACACGCTGTTGAGGAGCGTGCATGTCGTCCTCTCTGTTACTTTCCGACAGCCATCGCTCACTTTTATTTGTTTGTTTGTTTGTTTGTTTGTTTGTTTGTTTGTTTTGACCCTCTTTTTCGACCTCGCCAGTTCGCGATGATATGGTCCTCCAAACCAACGTCGGAAGCGACCGCGCTTGGGTCTGGAACGTTGTTGCCGACTTTGCTGACAACGAGCCCAAGCCTGAGACGCTCGCCATCCGCTTTGCCAACGCCGAGAACGCCAAACTGTTCAAGGACAAGTTCGAAGAGTCTGGCCGCAACAATGCATCAAACAAGGGTCAAACACCTGCAAAGGGCGATGCCCCCAGCAGCAGCAGCAGCGCGGCAACACCAGCAAAGGAGGATGACGCAGCAAAAGTTGCCGAGAAGCTTGGCGACCTCAAAGTTGCGGACAAGCCGGAGGGCGACAAGCCCACTGCTTAAATGTCTTCCTCAGTCTGTTGTTGTGTCCTAGTGATCTGGTGGTCTTGCTTAATCCTCTTTTGTTTTGTAGTAATCAAACAAAAACAAAAAAACACTTTCCTAACGAAAAACACGTTTACCTTCTTTGTTATTTGTTTCGGTGTTGATTTTTTTTTTGCCCTAGTGTCCGTATTGCACTCAAAGATACAGTATAATGCTAACAATAACATGGACAAACTGAACTGATAACGGGTTGGAAGAACGACACGAAAAGGCCAAAAACAAAAAAACGAAAAACGCAAAAACTACAAATAAATATTGCATTTGAACTGAAATGCAAGCTTTCGCCTCAATCCATCAGCATTTAGCCGGTCGCACGCGACTTTGAAGCGCCAAACGTTGTGTACGAGTAGACGAGCGAGCCTGCGACGGACAGATTGATGCCCAGAAAGTTCTCGGGAGAGTACCGGTAGTAGGTGCCAAACATCATACCAGAGTAGGTGCTGATGGTGTTTTTCACCCCTACAACCGTCGTTGTCAAGGGGGAGTTGGCGTTGGTGCATAAATACATGGTGTAGTTGAGCAGCAGGCCCATGCACATTGTGAGGGCAAACCACAACACAAAGAGCGGCTCAGTCCACGCCGGATAGTTTGCGACTGCCGTCCACTCCTCGGGGACGAGCACAAGGTATGCCATGGCGAGTGGTATGCCGAGCAGCGAGTTGTAGTAGAGCAGGCCCAGCGTGCCGAGGTCGCGCGCATCCAGTCGCTTTTTCAACAGCACTCCGGACAAGGCGGTGCACAGATTGTTGATCATGACCAGAACATAGCCGTCGCGGTCATAGGCCAGGTCACTCCAGGCGGCGACAATGGCGCCAAGGATGAGGAGACCGACGCTCATGACAACGGGCGTGGGGGCTCGATTGCCCAGCACCAGCCTTTCCAAAACCATGGTCAGAAAGATGGAAAAGCGGCGCAAGACGGTGAGCATTGGTAAGCTGAGGTGCTGGGTGCCGCCGAGGCCGCTGGTCGAGTTGAGAACAAACAACACCGAGAGCGGGGCGGCTTTGGACACGACGCTTCTGGACATGGCTGGCAAGCGGACAAACCGAAAGAGTTGCAACGCACGCAAGACCAAGGCAGTGAAGGCAAACTGTGCGAGTGCCAGAACGACAAATGATGGAAACGCGTAGGTTGTCAGAACGGCCTTGTTGACGAACATGATCATCAGGGAGCAAGTCCCGTAAGCAACTGCGGTGATAATCCGCCAACGCCGCGACGCCGCGGGTTTGAACGGTCGTGGATCAGGAGCAGCCGAGTCGGATGGCACTGGCCCTCGACCTGCAAGGAGGTGATGCTGGCTGCTGCTCCAATCCGAGGAGTGCTTGGTCTTGTTCGGGGAGATTGACAACATTGGATCTTGATCGCGCCGGTCGAGCGGCGGAATAACGACGGCCGCAGTATCGCCTGTGATTCCCGTAGCAGGAGTAGTAGCAGCACCACTCTGCTGCGACCAGTGCTGGCCGAGCAGTGCCAAGTGCGGCTGTTGCCGGGCAGCCTGACTAATCGGCGTTTGGCTCGTGTCGTCATCGCTCAGCGCGGCGGCGTCCTGCAGCAGTGGCAGCGTTGTTCGTCTGCCAGCGTTACCAGTGCTCTGTTGGTACTGCTGATGGAGCGCAGCAGCAGCAGCAACAGCAGCAGCAGGGCTGAGCAGGGCGATCTGCGGCAGTCCCGTTGCAGAGGCGCTCGTGGACAGGCTCAGCGGGCTCATTGTCCCCGGCAACGGCGTCCCCGGCGCAGTGCTGATGGTCGGGCTGGCAGTCGCAGAGCCGAACGTGTCCTGCAGCACTGAGAGCACAGCTGGGTTGCGCATCGATACAGCACGGTGTGGTTTCCAACTGAGAAACGAACGCGTTAACCTGGACTGAGCGGCCAAAACTTCTGAGAACGATCGAAACAAAAGCCCAGATTTTGTGGGTGTTGAATAATCAAACATGCCTTGCTGTCATTCACAGCTTGCTGTTTTGGCTGTTGGTCGTCTGAGCCGATTTGCGTTGGGCGCTGTACTGCACCGGCGATTGAAGCCGTTTCGCCTTGGATCCTACAGTAGATCCAACCAACCCCAAACTTACACCATCCACTGATGGCACAGTACTTGCCATGTTTCTATTTTTGCTTGTTATTGTTCTCAGTCGCATTTTTCTTTTCTTTTCGTTGCGTTGCGTTGTTAACTGTGTGACTGAGTTTTTTTCCATTGAAAACCATGTCATCACCGGCGTCGACGTCATCCGCTCCGACTGCAGCGGCATCAGCAGCAGCGGCATCATCAGCATCATCCAATCCAAACGGCGTCGGCGACGGCAGCGCAGGCGAAGGGCTGTCCAAGTCCGACTCGGAGCCGGGCGAGCACGGCGCTCTGGGTGGAGGCAGCAGCACGGGACCGAACGCTGCTGCTTCATCTGCTGCTGCGGCTTCAACTGCTGCTGCTGCTTCAGCATCGTCAGCATCGTCATCGCCGTCATCGTCAGCGGCAGGCAGAGGCGGCGGCGGCGGCGCAGGTCGTCCCGTGCCGTGGAGCCGCAAGCACAAGCCGCCCGCAACGCGCTTCCAGCCCGGCGAGGTGCTCGGCGCGTCGTCGTCGTCGTCGTCGTCGTCGTCGTCTGCGTCGGGTCAGCAGCAGACGCAAGTGTTGCCATACTCCATCGACAGCTGCTCGTCGTACTCGGCGCAGTACCTGCCAACCAACATTCTGGTAAAACTTAACAAAAGGAAAAAAGCTGTAAAACTCAGATTTCTGAGATTTCTGAGCACTCTCCGACAGCCGACATTTAAAGCATTCCACGATGATCACGATGGTGGCGATGACCAGGACTCTCATGAATCATATTTGCTGCAAAATTGTAGGTCGATAATCCAACCGATCAAAGCTCGCGATGGTCGTCCAACGTCAATAATCATATGCAGTTCCTCATGCTCAAGCTGGCAGAACCATCGGTCGTCAAGAGCATCACCCTTGGAAAGTACCACAAAGTCCACGTCTGCAATGTTCGAGTACGTCTGGTTTGGTTGTTGTTGAGTTCTTGAATGTTGTCAGCTGTTCCTCTGAACTCACTTCATTCTGATCACACTACAGGAGTTCAAGGTAGACTTGCGCTCGCTTCCTATTGCGATGTGACTTTTGGGCCCGAATGGGTCTGCTCGTTGAAGTGGAATTGACTGACCTTTTTCCTTTTTTTTTTTTCCTTTGTCAGGTTTTTGGAGGCATGACAACGGAAAACATGGAAGAACTGCTTCACAGTGGATTGAAGAACGACACAGAGGCAGAGACGTTGCTCTTGAAGCATTCAACCAACAATATCATCTTCCCGTGCCAATACATCAAAATTGGTAAACCGTCTACAAACCTGCCCCTGCGTCTGCGTCAACGTCCGCCACTCAAAGATCGTTGCCAACTCATTCTTTTCGTGCGTGCTTCATCTGGTAGTTCCCGTGATGGCATGGGGACCCAATTTCAACTTTAGCATCTGGTACGTCCAGCTCAAAGGCTTGCCTGCCACGCCGCGCATCGTCCAGGAATTTGACAATGTAAGAATTTGGGGGGGGGGAATTGTAGGTGCTTTTGGGATGATGCTGTTTGCTGCTGAGCGGTAGCCCTGGGGTTACTCACCATACGCTTGTCATAGTTTCGCGAGCGACAGGCAGTGCGACTTTGCCTCAAATATCTGCGTCAGAAAAACCACATGGAGGCCTTTGAATCTCTTCAACAGCGCACTTCCATTCGTCTGGAAGACCCCATGTTGACCGAGTTGCACGAGCTTGTTGTGAGTTTCCAAAAATTGTGTTGCGCTGGAACAAACGGTTTTTTGCTTGCTTCCAATTGTTCCCGCTCTTTAACGTGGATCGCTCATGATCCCCTCGACACTTTGTCTGGCTACCTCGTGCAAAGGTCATGCAAGGTGACTTTGACAAGGCGGAACAAACGATGCTCAACGCCATCGATCAAGACCTGTTCGCCGAGTACATTTTCGACTCGCCTTGGACTCCCATGTGGAAGCGACTCGTGCCTGTCACGCAAGGTCCGTCCTGATGCTTGATAATCTGACGAATGGTTGATGTCTGTCTGGAAAGAAAAGTTCCGCCGACTCGTTTTGTTTGTTGTTTTGGGCCCGAGTAGAAGGACACGTGGCAACTCGCATCCCTGGTCCCCGAGGAGGTCACCAGATGTGCCTTGATGAACGCGACGGTGAGTTTTTTGTTTTTTTTTTGGATATTCAGTGCGATGAGTTTTGTTTTTGGATTCGACTCACTTTTTGGGGGTGTTTTTGGCTGTGCGGTGCAGGTGTCATTTACTTGTTTGGAGGCTGGGATGGATCTCGCGAACTGGGCGACTTTTGGGCGTACAAGATTGCGCAAAACCAGTGGACATGCCTTGCAGACGATGCAAGCATGTTTGGCGGTCCGTCCGCACGCTCGTGCCACAAGATGTGTTTGAATACCAAGTCCCGTCAACTTTTCGTTCTGGGGCGCTACATGGAATCTGACATCTCGCCCGCCTCCGAGCTGACTGTAACGCCACTGACTCTTCGGTCATTTTTGTGATTCTTGAGTGGGTCGAAGAAGGATTCACCATCTCATTTTGGCGGGTGGTTTGAACTTTGGCTAGAGCGACTTTTACATGTACGACATTGACAGCGCGACATGGCAGCTGATTGCGGCGGATACATGGTCAGCCGGTGGTCCCAGCCTTGCCTACGACTTCCAAATGGCGTACGATCCGGTGACGGATTGTCTGTTCGCATACGGTGGTCGCGTTGTGTTGCCAACCACTGTTGGCAAGCCAGACATCGAGCAGACAATCACGAGTCAACGAACAAACACGCTGTTCATGTATGACTGCGCGAATGGCGCCTGGTCCTCGGTCCTGAACCTGGACGACGCTCCGCAGTTGAAGGCGCGGATAGAGCACTCGATGGTGCTCGACCCCGAGAAGCGCTTGCTGTATATTTTTGCGAATCGGAGGCTGAAAGAGCAATCAAGGTATTGCTGCTGTTGTTGTTCATAGTGTCGTTTTTTGTTGTTGGTGTTCATCGTGTTCTTGGATTGTTGCACTTTCTGTTGACTCATCCGCCTTCTGTGTGTCTCGATGCGCAGCGATCTGTTGACATTCAATCTGGACACTCACGAGGTTTCGGTCCTTCTGGATGAGATCATTGCCTCTGGAGGTCCTGAAACAGGCTTTGCCCATCGCTCCACCATTGATCCGGTGCTCGGGGAGATTTACATTGTTCCTGGGCCGCTGCGTGACCTTCGCAACAACCAAGAGGTTGTCAATCTTGCCTTTTGGCTCTACTCGACGACTCTTGGACGCTGGTATGTCGCTGTTGGCGGACTTGGGGGCGTGGTTTACAGGTTTGGTTTTTTTGTTTGTTTTTTGCTCAGTGGTTGGTGTGGCTTTCCATCTCGTTCTTCGTTCAGGCGCCGCGTGTATCGCACCGAAGTCACGGACGTCGATCATTGGCAACAGCCTCAACCGACTCCTCGCCCTCGCATTGCACACCAACTTGTTCACGATTCTGCAACAAAGGTATCACAAGTCGTTGCACGGAGCGTGTTGGACATCTTGCCGAACTGCATTCTCACTGATTTTGCGTCCTTTTTGTTTGTTTGCTTGATTGCTTTCCTTCAACGCAGACTCACTACCTCTTTGGTGGCAACCCTGGAGATAGAACACAACACGAGCTCCGTTTGGACGACCTGTGGTCGTTCAAGATTGAGCGCCTCTCACATGACACATTCCGAAAGCGCTGCATGTTCCTCATTCGTCAACAAAAGTATCGAGAGATGTGCGCATACGCGTCGAGCATGGAGGCGCTTCGGTACTTGCAGACCGATCTTGCCGCGACCGTCAATCACAACAATCCCGTCGAGAGCGCCAACTTCCGAGCCCTTTCGGCTGCATTGTTCCAGCGCCGTGCTGGCTCTGGGATGCAGGATGCCTCCTTTTCCGCTGCTGCTGCGGGTGGGATGGAGCCGTCCGATACCTTCGGGGCGCGCTCGAAATTGTTCGAAGAGCTCGCCTCCTTCTTCCCGTCGGATATGCGCCAACCAAGCATTAATATTGTCGATCTGCTTTCATTATAAATATTCCGTCGCTGTGCTTGTCAACAGAGTATACAGTAAAGTACAAATTTGTTCTGCTTCTTCTTGAACAGTCCTCCAAGATGGTGATGAGCGTTTGGGGTGGTTTCCAAAAGATGAAGCGAGCAACACGATCGGAATTCGTTCTTTTAAAATGTGAAAGCATACAAGGAAAGTGATCAAAAGCAATGCAAGGAAAAAAAAACCGCGCTTAGTTTGACAATCCGGTTGAAAAAAAATGAAAACGCGGCGGGAGGAGCGTGCATGTCTTTGAAACACGCCTCGAATCCCCCTAAAGTACAAAATCGCATGAAAAGATGATTGCATCACATAAAGTCATTGTTGTGATGCCGGCCGTATGCCCCAGCATTATTGATGGGTCGCCCTGCAGTCGTGGAGATTATCCGAGGCGGAGACGCGTAGCCACTGAGCCCACTGCCCTGTCGAGCCAGCCCAGGAGCAAAGCCCATGGCCTGTGCATTCGCAAGGGTAGCGTTGTGCAATTGCTGGTTGAGGTAGTTTTGCGAGTTGACCACGTCCAGCTGACCGAGCGAGTGCAGATTGCTGGCCGACCCATGATGCCGCAAGCCGGGAATAGAGGTCTGCGTGGTGTACTGCGGGGGTCCGCGGTTTGCTTGTGGCGGCATCATCATGCTGTCGCGCTGGGGAGACGCGGGTTGCGAAGAGTGGAGCGGCTGCTGCATGTTTCCGTAGGCCGGGTTGAGTTGCTGAAGATGCAAGTGACTTTGTAATTGATAGTTGAGATCGTGACTTTGCAAAGACTGCTGCGAAGAGTACAGGTTGGACAAGCCGCCGTGGTGAGACTGCTGCTGCTGGTGCTGTTGCTGCTGTTGGTGTTGTTGATGTACCTGCTGCTGTTGGTGCTGCTGCTGCTGGGTTTGCGGCTCGTTGAAATTGAAATTTGGTTGTTGCATGTGCATCTGTTGATGGTGCAGTTGGTGGGGGTGTGCGTGTTGCTGGTGGGGGAGCTGAAGATGAGACTGCTGTTCGTGCTGCTGGTGCTGCTGTGATTGCGGGGCAAATTGGGACTGGTTGTAGCTGGCCGCATTGCCTCCCCACTGCAAGTTGAAGGCCATCTGCGTGCCGTGCTGGCCAAAGCTCGCTGGGCCGAAGTGCGGGCTGGACGCCAAGGCATGGCTCCCGCCGCGCGCGACACGCGGAGAGCTGCTGTACATGCGGCGATTGTTGGAACGCATTGCTGATGTCAGGCTATCACGCAGCCCGCGCAGACTGCCGACGTTGGAGTGAGAATTCGGCGCGGCGGCCCCTTCTTGGGCAAATCCATCCTCGGCCATCATGGCATCCATCAGCGACGGCGCCACGTAAGTAAAGCCCGAGAAAATGTTGCTTGCGCTGGCACTCAGTTTGTAATCGACCGGCGAGTCCACCGGAGTCATGTTGGTGAATTGGGCGTCGAAATTGCGCGTGTCCTCCTCGTTTTCCTGTCAAAAAAGATCGTGTCGGTGAGCTGAGGAAATCGGGGCACCTCCCTTCCTAGCACAGACACGGACGAGGGACGAGGGGGAAAAAGTGCCAGCTTACAATGCGAGGCTGGATGGGCATCTCGATCTCTCGATTGAGCAGCTTTTGAAAATCAATGTGGGCAAAGAACGGGTGGGCGGTGATTTCGTACATGTCCATTTCGCCGCTGCCAAGACGAGTAGAAACGTTTCGTCGGAGAAGCTGGCAAGGCATCATGCGGACAGTGAGATGTCTGCAGTGTCGTGCACAGCAAGAATGGATGGGCAAGTCACAAATAGTTATTACCTTCTTGAGCAAGTCGCAGGCATTCGGAGAAAAGTAGGGTGGCAGCTTGAGCTTTCCCTTGACAATCTTTTCCATGGTCGCTTTTCGGTTGTTGCATACGAATGGAGGCTACGGTTCAAAGAGAAGTTGGGTGCCAGAACCGGGAGGGGCGTGGGAAATGAGAGCGCTGAACTAGACGAAAACGAACAGGAAATGCCAAACATTACCTGGCCTGCCAGCATGTCATACATGAGAGCTCCCAAGCTCCACCAATCAACCGCCTTTCCATGGCCTTGTTGTGTCAAGATCTCGGGTGCCCTACAGAACAAAAATCAGGTGCGTGAGGTGCCTGTTCATCCAATGTTGGAAGAATTCTGAAAGCTCGACCCTTCTTACATGTACTCGATGGTGCCACAGAATGTGTGTGTACGATCCGTGGGTTCATGAATGGACTCTTTGCTCAAGCCAAAATCGGTTAGAACGACGTGACCGTGAGAATCCAAGAGGACATTTTCTGGTTTCAAATCGCTGCAACAAAAAAAAAAAAAAAAAAAAAAACGTCCAACAATGAGCGCACAAACGTTGGCGAACCTCCAAACATGAAAGCAAATTGCAATGGAACATACCGGTAAATGATGCCGAGCTTGTGCAAATGACCCAGTGCCAGCACAATCTCCGCAAGATAGTAACTGGCAGCGTCTTCAAGGAAAATACCCTCGCGATCCATTTGGGCAAACAACTCGCCGCCGGCGACATAGTCGAGAATGAGATAGAGCTTGTCGTCTGTCTGGAAGGCGTACTGCAGCGACACGATGAAAGGGTGCTTGACTTCTTCCAGAATGCTCCGCTCGGCCTTGGTGTGTTCCGTGTCCTTCTTTTTGCGAATAATGTGTGCCTTGCGCAACACCTTCATGGCAAAGATCTTGCCCGCATCCGGACCCGAGACTTTCCGCACTTGAATGACCTGTCGCAGGTGATTACAACGCAGTCGGAAGCAAGTGAACACGACTTGAAAAACACGCAAAAGCGAGGAGGGGCGGGGTGCGGAAGGGGGGGAAAAAAAACAAAAATCTGGGTTGTGGTTTTGTTGGTTTCGGTCGGCTGCGGTTTAGAGAGTAAATCTGGGACTGCCGAAGAAGAGGAGGAGCGGCGTTGGTGTGTGTGTGCCGTTGCACGCCTCACTCAAGCACAAAACAAAGACAAACCAGCGAGACAGACACGCAGACACTCGTTCGCCCTCGTTGACGTAGACTCGCTCAACGTTCGCTCGTTCGCCTATTTTTTTTTTTTCCTTTTTTTCCGACTGTTTCAACCGCCAGACTCGCGTTCGATTATGTTTGAGCGGAAGCTGCAGTGTGCATTCGTGTGTACGTTACCTTGCCATAGCCGCCCTTGCCGAGGACCTTGAGCAGCTGAAAGTCTGCCGGACCAATCTTCTCGTTCTGGTGGCGGCTGTGGTTCATATGGTTGACGAGGTCCATGACTGGCAGCGACTCGGTTACCACGCCTTCCTCCAGCAGGCCCAGCCCGCCAGCGCCATTCAGAATGTCGATGCCCGCGCCGTCCACTGCGGCTGCGGCTCCAGCTCCGGCTCCGTTCAGCAGCAAATCCTAGCAAACGCAAACACGACACAATAAAAAAAAAAAAATCAGCCAAAAATACAATAAAAAAAATACAAGGTTTCCATTGAATTTGCATTGCCTTTTTTTTTTCTTTTTTTTTTCTTTTTTTTTTCTTTTTTTTTTTTTCACGTCAGCATCATCTTCTGTCGCTGTTTCAGTACCGTGTAACGAGGCTCTTGCTTGCTCTCCTTCTCCCGATCAACTCACTCACTCAGTTTCTCTCTCTCTCTCTCTCTTTCTCTCTCTCTCTCTCTCTCTCTCTCTCTCTCTCTCTCTCTTGTTCGCCGCTTTGCGCGAATGCTGGTTGGGTCAACAAATCCCCCCGCTTTTTTTTTTTTTTTACTTTGCTTTTGGTCGATTGTTCTGCTCGCTCTGGTTTGCTCGCTCGTGTGTGCATTGTTCAAACAACAAGTCCACCAGGTGCTCAGGGAGGTGGTTGTGCGCACCCCAGCTTCAATCGTTCTGAAACAAGTGACGCCTCTTCTTTTTCTCTTTTTTTTTTTTTTTTTTTTTTTTTTTTTTGCCGCTGTTTTTTTGGACGTGTTCGGTTTGCTTCCGTTGTTGCTCTGCTCTGTCGGGTGACAGCTCGACAATGGGGGCGCTTACAGGAATCTCTTCGTCAGTCTCCTCAAAGACGGAGCCGCCGGAATCGGTGCGCTGGCTGTCCGCGTCGTCGTGCTGCTGCTGCAACTGCTGCTGATGAAGCAATCGTTGCTGGAGCTGCTGCTGCTGCTGCTGTTGCTGTTGCTGCTGTTGCTGCTGGTGTTGAAGCTGCTGCTGTTGGTAGTAGTAATAGTCAGCCTGCTGCTGCTGCTGCTGGCCCTGCTGTTGCTGCTGTTGCTGCTGTTGCGACTGCGAATGGTGACCGACAACATTCTGGAGCCGACTGCCTCCGCTGACTCCGCCAACGCCGCCGTTCGACATCATCCCAGACATGTTGACATCGTCAATGTCGAAAATATCGTCGCTCATCTTCGAAATCGCAGAAGAAGAAAGAAAAAGAAAAAAAAAAAAAAGAAGAAAAAAAAAAGGACTGAAATTTTATCCGTTTTGGTGTCGCCATCTTTTGGCTTGTGGTGTTGTCGGTGATCATCCGTGTCTGGTGTCGCCGCCCTGGATGCAAAGTGTTGCAGTGTTGCTACATTCATGTTCAGCATAGTGATTAAAATATTTTGACAGGTCGACTGAAAGTTGTGCTTCTATTTTTTCACAAGTGGTGTTATCAAGTCTCGCCAACCCCGTTCGCCTTCTTCCCAAAAGCACAAATAACTCATGCAAGTACCTTAGAAGTGCAGCGGGGTCGAAGCAGCCAACAGGACGGTGCTGTATCATGGGCAACTGGTGATTGTGGAGTGGTTTTTGTTTTGTTTTTCGTTTTGGGTGCAAGGAAGAGCGCTCCCAATATGAAGCCGCCAAACCGCCTCCGTCACGAGAGGAAAAGCAAAACAACAAACTTCAAAAAAACAAAAACAGACCTCGCGAATGCAGCGTTTCAATTGAGAGTCCTCCCTTTGAGAACTGATGTGAAACTGCTCAGTCGCCATCTACCAACCCACAACCCCGACCGAAAGCCGCTCCGACAGAAAAACTTTCAAAAACCACACATTCACAAAAAAAAATCAACTCATCATGCTGAACGGACGAAGCAAGCAAGGCCCGGCCGAGTTTGACTGGCGGGCAATGGCGCTCGGCAAGAAGCACCAGCGCAAGTCGATTGGGTTTGGCGCCTACGACAAGAAGAACAAGAGCCATGCGCACGAAATCCACATCCGTGAGCTCTGCGTGGCCACAGGCGCGCTTGGCTGTGCACTGTGGGACGGCGGCGTTGTGCTTGCCCGCTGGATTTACGAGAACGGCGCGGCCTTCCGCGGGCAGACGGTGCTCGAGCTTGGCAGCGGCTGCGGCTTGCCGGGCGTCCTGGCCGCGCACTACGCCGCGCACGTCACGCTCACAGACTACATTGACCCGGTGCTGGACAACCTGCGCTACAATGTGCGTCTGAACAGCGAGGACGCCGACGCAGACCGCGGCGTTGACGCAGAAGCTGCTGCCACGAGCACCACCACGAGCGCCACGAGGACTGGGCTGGACGGTGACCAGCCATCATCGTCATCACCACCATCCAGTGATCCGCAAGAAAAGACCACCAACGCCGATCCAGAGAACACGAGTGCATCGTGGGCACCCGTGGCTGACTCCGTCACTGGTGAAATGCAGCCGTGGAGGCGAAATCTCACTCCGCTCGTCACCGTTGGCTACTTGGATTGGGATGCAGTCGCCGCTGCCAGCGCCTCGCTTGCTGGGTTGAGTCTGGAGGAGCGGCGAAAGTGCGCCCTTGAAAATGAAAAGGCGCAACGGGCCGAGCAAGAGCAGCGAAAGCTGGAACATACCAAGGGTCTGCGGTGCACCATCGAGTCCCTTGGTCGTGAGTTTACGCCTCAGGACTGGTACCATTGCACAGACTGCCATGGCTCGGACATGACGCTAGGCTGTTGTGCGTCGTGCGTCAAAGTGTGTCACGCTCAACACAACACCAAGTTTGTCGAGCACTCCCGATTCAAGTGCGACTGCTACTCGTCGGAGGCTTGTGTCTTTGAGCAGCAAAGCCATGCTCAGGGCATCAATCTGCACATCGAACCTGTAGACGTCATTATTGGAGCAGAGCTCACGTACAGCCTTTTGAGTGTGGACTCGCTGATTCAAGTTGTCGACACCTTTTTGAAGCCGGACGGTGTGTTTTACGAAGTGCTGTCTGAAGATCGTGACGGCGTGTCCGAGTTTGTTGATCGCATCCAGAAGCGAGGGTTTATTGTGAAAAGGTGAGTGAATTTGTTTTTTCGGGTGGTGTTTGATTTGTGTTTGTCGGTGCTCATCATCTCTCCCCTCTCTTTCGTTCACATCCCAAGTGTTCCTGTTCCCGCAAGGTTTATGGGCAACTATGCCACAAGACAATGGACGTATCAAGACACGGAAACGTATCGGTGAGTCGTCGGGAGCGCATTTGTTCTTGTGTTGATGTCTGCGTTCCAGCCAATCACTATGCTCATGTTGAATCCGGCATACTCAGATTCTTTTCATTCCATCGACCAGGCTCCAAGCACCGCGATATGCAATAATGTTCCGATAGTTGGTTGCTGAATGGGCTTTGTTGAACAAGACAACAAAATAGAAAAATACAAACGGTCGCGTTTCTAATTATTATGAATGAATGGGTACAAGAGTTGAAGCTACGGTCGTCGAGTGACAATGCGACGGCCATCACCATCGCGCTCAGACGGCAGGTTGCGGGCAAATCCATCAACAACGTCAACGACGGGCGGAGGCCGCTTAAAGTTGTCCATGAAATCCGCAATGAAGGGACTCGACGAAAGGCCTGCATAGGCGTCACAACCCTGCGTTCGTGCTTGCTTGTCGGATGGATGAGGATGTGGCAAACGATACACCTTGGGGATATGGACGCGCATGATACTTTGTCCAGCCTGCTCGTGGAAGAGCTGGAAGAGGCGTCGTCCAATCATCGATTGGCAATTGGTATTGAGCAATGCGGTTTGCTGTGTCTTTGTGAGATTTCCATCTGACGAGTTGCAGCATGTAGTCAATGCGGTTCACGTCGCCAGTGATGCAACAGTTGTGGCAAAAAGCGTGAGTAAAAGCGACAACATCCATCACCACCTTAGGGACCACCTTACACGCCTGGGTAAACCGCTGGATGGTAAAAACGGGGTAATCGGCCTGCAACTCTTCAAAAAAGCCTGCGTCGGACATGAGCTGAAGGGGTGCATTGGGTCGGAGACGGAACGGAATCAGCGCCAACACCGTGTCACCCATGGCGAGCTGGCGAAGGTTGGAGGGAATACCGACGCCCGGTAAGACCAGCTGGAAGTCACACAAGACAACAATGGTCTTTGGGTCGAACGCGGACAGCACAGAGTGAATGGCCTGCAGAGTAAGATTTGTCTTCTGTTACCGCAGCAATCATACAAAAAAACGTTTCCAAAGGTTAGATGTCCCGCACGGCCAACATCCTGTCAATGCAAAGCGAATAGCAAACCTTTTTGGACACGTAGCTGGAACCGGCACCCAGTTTGGTAATTGCAGACGGCAAGTCCGGATGAGGTGAATCAGAAAAGTCAAGCACCACCCCTCGAACGCGATTGTCCTTGTTCATGTCGGCAATGTATCGAACCATCAACATGGCATCGGTAATGTTGTTTGGCAGCTGATGAATGGAGAAGGAGGGGCGGCGGTCAATGCGAGAGGGTAGGTTTTCAAACGCACAACAAAAGCAAAAGGTTGGCGCGAGCTTGTGATAACAGTTGTCTGCCCTCTCCCCCCTCCCCCGCAGTTTAAACAGGTAGTGTGTTCCGTACAGCATCTCGCACAATGTACAGCAGCACGATGGGCGTTGGACGGACTGGTTCGCTCTTGTATTGCAGCTGCTGGATCATTCCACACTCGCTCATCACAGTTGCTTGTTCGGTTCGAGTATAAGTCTACAAACGTGTCGAACTGAATGAGTAAAGTAATAGTTGCATTGATACCGAAATGGTTTGAAGGTGCGATGTACCAATGGGGCCCCAAAGTATCGAGCGTCCATTGTAAAAGTGCTCAAACGAAGGCGATCTGAAGTCAGGTAGAAGACTTGGCTGATCGTGGAACCGTTGGTATGGTCCACAGCAACCAATCGCTTGTTGCAATAGAAAGCCTGCTGGACATGGTATGGTCTAAACCCGAAAAAAAATAAAAGGCAAAGTCAGTGTTTGAAAAATCCGACGTCGCACAGCGAGCGACGCCGCGCGAAACAAACTTGGACGGGAAAAAAAACCTGACGACGAACTTACATGGTTGGAACCACAAACGGCTCAAATGCAAGGTCAATATCCTCGGCAACAGCGGTGGTGATTGGCCAGCGCAAAAGGGAATCGATGTGCTCGAAGATTTCGAGCGGCACAGCATGGACGGGAAGGGCCAGATCGTACGCAGTGCGCGGATGCCAAGGCAGTTTCGCCGCGTTGGGCATTGCATGTACCCCGTCGCACATCATGTCGCCAGACGATAAACTCAGACGGGAGGAGACACAGACAGACGAACTGAGCGTAATGGGATCCAAAAACGAAAAGCCCATCAGGTAGTTCTTGAATCCTAGCTGGATGTCAAACTGGCCCGGTGGACGCTGAACAGGCGGACGGACTGGAATGTCGCTTTCGTAAATCATGCGGTAAATGGCCGCTTCGGCCAGTCGCTGACGCGGCTCGGCAAACCGTCGCACTGTTCGAGGTCCGTTGATTTTCATCTTGTCGCGGAAGGCGGCATTGGTGGCGGCGTACTCGAGGGCGGAAGCCAGCGCCTGTGGATTTGTATAGTCGCGCACCAGATAGCCGTTTTCCTCGTGTTTGATGATTTCGTTGACCGGAGACATGTCCGAGGTGACGACCACCGCGCCCGCGGCGAGCGCCTCGACAAACACCACCCCAAAGCCTTCCCATCGGCTAGGCGTGCAAAAGACGTCCGTAAACGAGTAGAAATTGACAAGCTCAGAGTTCTCCACGCCGTCAAGCATCACGACGCGTTTTTGGAGGCCTTCTTGCGCAACCAGGTCCTGCAGACTGGCGAAAAAGTTGGCATCGCTTGTGCTGGATCCAATCATAATCAGCATGTAGTCGGGTCCAAGGATTTGCATCGCTTTCAGCAGAGTGTCGCCGTTCTTTTGGGCTGTTTTGCGACCGACATGCAGGATGCGATACTTGAATCCAGGGTACTTTGCTTCAAAAGCCGCCCGTCCAGATTCGGGCTGCGGGTTGAACACGGCCAGATCGACAGAGTTGGAGTACGGGAAGATTCGGTCGGGGTTGACCCCTCGCTGGGTCAGGATGGAATCCAGCGCTCGACTGACAGTCATGACATAGTCGGCTTGCGCGATGGAGCTGTGCAGCAGACGCGGGTTTGAATCGTGGATTGAGACGACCACTTTGACGCCTGGAAGGCTGTTGTAGACGGCGGCGTCGGAGGCCCAGTAGCCCCCGTAGGCTCGCACAATGTCCACCTTGTACTGGATCAGACGCGAAGGGATGTCGTGCGGCAAGGTTGGAATAATGTGCATGCCGTACTGATACCGCTCGACCGTCTCGAGAGGCGAGAGCAAGTACACTTCGTCGAAAAACCCGGCGGGATTGTAGTAGTTTTCCAAGAGTGCAGCGCGTCCTTTGTCCTCGTACGCGCGCAGAGGGTCAGAAGGTATGACTGCGAGGACGCGCTTGCGAGGAGGAGCCAGAATCTCGGTTGGTGGACGAACATAACTCATGGCATACAGACGGTTTCGGCGCGACAGCTCAGTCGAGCGCAGCGCACTTTCAATCGATGAAACAGCGGCAAGCACCGCAGCGACAGCGTCGGCGGGCGTCGATGAGGACGCTTGCCGCCCTGCTGCAACGGGTACTCCGAATGCAGCGGCATCTCCAGGCGTCATGGCAGCCACGGAAACAGCCATAGCGACTGCCGTTTGGGCCAGATCAAACGGCACCCAGTCCAGACCGGATCCGCTGTGCAGTACAGAACTCTCGACCAAAGAGAGGGTGCTCTTGGCCAGCAGCGGCGCCTTGTTATCAGCCTGACACAAGGCCAGTGCCATTCCGCACAGGTTGGAGACAAAGCGACGAGCATCCGTTGCAGATTTTTGCGCGGCTGTTTGGCCCGCTGGACTGTCGTCAATCACCTGATCTCCGACATAGCAGTCACGGAAGCGCCAGCACACGTCATCAACAGCATTATTATTGTTGTTGTTGTTGTTGTTGCTGCTGCTGCTGCCAGAGTCAGCAGTCGTACCGGGAGCTGACGACGTCACCGAAGCTGCCACGCCGGAATTCCAGAGGCGCAGACCCGTCTCGAGCTGGATTTGCATTTCAGCTGCGGCGCGATCGATGGTAAATCCCAGTGCGGGGCTCAAGAACGCAGACATGTCGCCCCAGACGTGGTACATGTCATCGTTGAGCGGGATGAGTGCCTTGCGCATTGCAATTGCAATCACATTGCGCGTAAACTCGGCCTGCTTGGCTACCAGCTGTGCGAGTCGAGCCTGTTTCTCTGGCGGTTTGATCGAAGGGTCGTCCACCTGGATGCTCTGCAGCAACTCGTCCGTCCGTTGTTGATCAGTGCGCTGCGTCATGACGGTGCCAGGTACGTGCACCAAGGGGCGACACAGCTCCCGAACACGCTGCCATACAAACACCTCGCCATGCCAAGAACTCTGCATGTCTCCCGTAGCTTGATCTGCAATCACGGCGCGAGCGCACGTGGTGTTCATGGCGAACGCTACTTGATCGGTTGTGCGGCAGGTGGCAAACGGAAAGCACGAGATCGAGGTCATGGTCGACTCTTCAAAGCCTTCACGTCCACCCGCATCGTCTTCTTGAGGGACACCGAAAGCGTAGGCGACATCTGCCTCGCTATACTCGACAAGAGTTGATGTGAGGATGGATGAAAAGTTGAAAAACAAGAGTTGGTTGCTGTTCACCCAGGTCACATAGTTGGCGGTTGTGACGGGCAGCGCCGCTTCAAGTGCGTCGCGGACATCGACCTGCGGCAGTTGCGATAAAAGTCGCCATTCTGGAGATGCGGTGGCAGCCGACCCTCGATTGGATGAATGCCAGTGCATAAATTCACGCGCTTTGCGCTGCAACTCGAGACGCTTGGATGTTGCTGGCATTTTGACGATTCGCAAGGTGACGGGGACGCGATCCAACGGGTCGAGATCCTTGGCTGTCACCGGACCGAGTGCCCGAGCTGCTTCTGCGCCAGCCTTGGTGGAATCGGACACGCTTTTTCCGGATGCGCGCGCTGCAGCAGAGGCAGCCGCCGCGGCTTGGCCACGCGCTCTGGCTTTGTCGTCACCAGCCAAACTCTGCGCCATCGCTGGCTCGGCTTCCAGATAGGCAGCCGTGAATGTGTCTTGAAGCTCCATGGCGTCAATTGGGCTGTCGTGCGGCACAAGGCCAATAAACTGGATGGAAAGCGGCCCGAGCGATTTGCGCATCTCGGCGCGAATGCCGTCCGCCAGGACTTGCACAAACGCATCGCGCTTGTCCTTGACGCGGTTGTTGAGCTGTTGTTTTGACGGTCTTGGCAAGTACAGTGGATATGGCAGCTGTTCGCCGAGCTCAAACCCCAAGAGGGTGAACGGCAGCAGCTGCAGATCATCGCTGCTGGTGCTTTGCGGTGGCACTGGGATGACATCCGCCGAGCTGTTTGCTCGCATCATCCCAGACGTCGCCAATTCTTTCTGCTTGTTTCTCGAGTGGACTTGTGCCAACTTGCGATGCCGCCGCAGCTCGTCGACGGACTCGAATGCCTTGCTGAATCCAGGTGGGCGGGACTGGAGGGAGCTGCCCGCTGAGGATGAGGATGACGATGCTCGGGTGGCCAGCTCCTCGCTCGACGAGACTGCAGCCAGCGCTGTGGCCATGTCTGCAAATGCCTCTGGCAGCAGGATGATGGCGAGCGAGCGCGCTGGCCGTGGCTTTGGGCCGGTGCTCACTGGCTTGGGACACATTGCGGCCTCAAATGCAACGTCGCTCGAGTCTGCCGTCGCGCCCACCGGCAGCTGCTGCTGCTGCTGCATCTGAAGATGGCTGCTGCATGGCAAGCAGTTGTTTGCATTGGATGCATCGCCTGCGCTCCCTCCGCTCGAAGTGGTCATCAGCAGGTGCAGCTGGACCATCCCAACGCACACGATCGTTGCTCCCATGACAGCCAGCAGCATGGCCACCCGCCGACGGCCCATCCGCCGAAGCAACTGCAGCATCCGTTGTGGGTATTGGACAGTGTTGCGCTTTTGTGGATGGGTGATGTATGGGGCAAGGGGTAGCGGCGTTGATGTTGCAAAGTCAAAAAGTCAAAAAGCTGCCACCGCTCAGAAATGGACTTGAACGCTCAGAATTGAAGACTGAGGTTTGTTTTGGGCAAATCCAAAAAACAAACAACAGGATGGGAATTTGAACATCAACCTCTGAGAATGCACAGGTGCAGTGCTGCAGCATGGCATTCAGATTGAATTGAGCTCCACTCTGATCCACTAAGACGGGCTGAGCGAGCGAGCAAGCGAGCAAACACCCAAAGCCAGGTTGCACAGCGTATGAACTCGGTCGCTGTTTGGTTGGTTGAGCTCTCGAAAATCCAAAAACCCATTCTCATTCATCTCAGTCAATCTCAGTCTTCATTTCCATACAACAGCTCACCGCGATCACCTCAGTCTTATTCCGTTCCTTCCCATTCGTTTTGTTAACTCTTTTGCAGTCTCCTCCAATCGACAACAAAAAGTCGACCCACATCACAATGGAGGTTGAGGCGCTGCCATTGCTGCTGGAGGGCGTCACTTTCCTGCTCTCCAAGCACGACCTCAATCCAGATGTGAGAGCTTTCGTTCCCACCCACCACTGCGCAGTTCCATTACTACTTTGGGCAAGGCTATTTCCAGAGCTGATATGGAGCAAATCATCTGTCCGATAGTAGCGGGAGGGGGGCTTCGTTGAGGTGGATGAGTAGACCTGTCAAAACAGAGTGACGTTGAGATCAAGTCGCCATCACCACCAGCACGGAGACCGACTCGAAACTCACTCTCGATTTGTTGTTGCTTGTTGGGGTGGTCGGGGGTTTCTGGCTGATGGACTTTGGGCTTCGTCTTTGCTTTTTGGCAGGAGCCGCCGTTGCTGCGAAACTTGCTCAAGTCGCTCGGCGCCAAGCAGTGCTTTGCTGCGAGCGCGGCCACGCACATCGTCACACGCAATGTGGATGCCGTTGCATCGCACAATGCTGTGGTTGTCACGGTAAGCTTGCAGCGTGCGATCGGGCGATTGTGGGCCTTGCAGCCTCAGTCAGTTCGGTCAAGTGGATCAGCCGAGCTCGGGACCTGTCGATAGCTTCACTCATTCTATGCTGCATGATGTGTTGATCTATGGGATTTGGAACCATCCGTTTGATTTTGGTTTTTGGCGGGAAATACAGCCGCTGTGGGTCGTCAACTGCGCCAAACTCAATCTTCACCTGCCGTAAGTTCCACTCTGTGCTGCATGATTGGAGGCTGTGACAAGAGTCACTGTGGTTGACAAACAATGCATACGAATGTTGCTCTTTTTTTGGATTGCGGAGGTTGAGATTTCTCATTCGAACGCGATTGTGTTTGGCAGTGAACAGTACTTTTCTCCAAATCTCGCGTCCGCACCTTTTGGTGGAGCTGTCGTGGCGTTTCACCAAGTGCGAGCTCGTGACGAATGCATGAACTCGGCGCGTGAGAATTACGAGACTCACCGCAACTCACTTCTGTAATTTGTACAACGGCATCTTGACAGATTGCTTTCGAAGATGTTCCTCAGCTGTGGGGAATAGTCGAGTACTTTGGTGGAACATGCTCTGCCGAACTTGATTCGAGCTGCACGCATCTGGTCGTTGCTTACGAAGATGTAAATTTGCATGCTCTATTCCCCCCAATGCCCAAACCTGTTTGATTGCTGACGCTTTGGACCCTCCCTGCTTTGTCTCGTAGGATACACTCATCGGACTCAGGGCGTGGCATTCCAAGCTTGAAATCGTGACAAAGCAATGGATTACCGATTGCGCCCGTGCACGACGAAGATTGAATTGCGACTATTATCGACCGACACCAAGAGCTGCAGAGTTGGACGAGACCGCCACTTCGGGGTTGAAGAGTCCAGTCTTGTTTGTTGGGTCCAACCACTCTCTGCTGCAGGATGCATCCGGGGCGTCCTTCACGCCAATTCCTGCCAATCAACTCATCGAGGTGGATCCCGACGTCGTCACGATGGATGTGGCACAGTCGCCGCCAATATGCCGCTCCGATGACCTTCCCAATCCTCACACAACCCCTTTGGAGCATCCGATTGCTACCGCGGCGGTTGTATCGGAACAGCCAAAGTTGTCTCAAGTATCGTCCAGCATTGAATCTTTGCAGGATTCCCGAGAGCTGCCTCTCCTTTTAAATACGGATGTCCTGTCGCTTCACATTTGCTCGGTTGACGAGTCAAAGCAAAAGAACATTCTTAAACTCTGGGCTGCCTGTATTGAGCGATTTGGTGGTGTTATCGAGGTACGGACTTGGAGCGTTTTACGTTCTTTTGCTTTGTTTGCTTGATTTGTTTGTTGTGTTTCTGGGTCGCCATCACCAACCACCATGTGTTTTTGTTGACCTATTCTTCTGCATCAGCCTCTGTCCGACCGAACAACACTTGCAGTCACTGATTCGCGAGCAACCGAGTTTTACGGCGAGGCGTTTCGGCATCATGCAGTGGTTGTTTCGCCACATTGGCTGAATGACCTCTATCGTGATGTGAGTACCTTTTTTGTCGCCAAATGGTAGTTGAGGGAGCGCCCTCCTAGTCTGACTGCTTGCTCTATGACTTGACGACGCCTGACAGGCGAAACGACCAGGCTTTGCAGACAAGGCCGTCTACGTTCCGCCCGTGCACAACGCGACCATTCCGGACATGTCCTCGCTCGTCGTTGGTGTGTCGGGCTTTCGGGGATTGGACCGCGTCTATTTGACCGACATGCTTCGCTTTATTGGATGCCAATACTCGACCGGACTTACCTCCTCTGCGGACATTCTCGTGTGCAAGCACGCCGGCACGCAGAAGGAGGTGTTTGCTCGGCGATGGGGCTTGACCGTGGTGAATGCGGGGTGGATCGAAGACTGTTACTTGCGATGGCAGCGCGTGCCTATCTCTGCAAGACATCGACAGCTTGATGACGACCCCCAGAGCGAAGGAGAAGGGTCACACGCTCGAGCTGCTATTCACTCGTCCACCGACCCGGGAGATGGACCCATTTTGCCGTCCTTTTCGACAACAGCTTCAGCCGCTCATGCTCCTTCATTCTCGCCTGCGCCATCACTCTCGCCCGTTGCCGAGCTGTCATCGATGGAGCTGCTCCACGGCTCCAACTCTCCGACAAACGCGGGTCTTTCGTCACCGCCCGTCCAGTTCGCAGCCGCTGAACCTGTCGCCCCTGCTGGGGCATGGCGGTTCCGCAACTCGTCCCCGACGAACAGAACTGTTCAATTCGACCGCTCAAGGATGGGTCTACAGGCGCCTTCTTCGTCTGCGCAACTGCAATCGCACCGACCGCACCTTCCGAGACTGGTCCAGGCGGCGTCGTTGCAACAGCCTTCTCGACCGCAGTCCCCTCCGCCGCCTCGAGAACAACCGTCACCCAAGATTCCCGAGCCAGATCCAGCTACGCCTTCCAAGCAGTCTCAGCTGCTGCAGCCGTCCTCTGCTGTCGCCAACGCCTCCAATTCAGCCGCCAGTGGAAAGGGTCGAGCCCGCACTCCCCAGTCGCGTCCAGTCCCGGTCGCAGAGCTCATGACCTCCGATCCCGAGACCGCGGCTGCTGTCATGTCCGCGGCGGCAAAGCCGATTCGGCGGCCAGTTATTGCCATTAGCAGAGCAGAAGCCTTGCGGAATGTGGATCAAGCGGGCTTGGACGCGCTGGTGGCTCGAGTCGCTGCAATGGGAGGCAAACTCTTGCTTGATTTCGGCGAGAACATTCGCGATTGCACCCATCTCGTTGCTTCATCCCCAGTGCCCCGCACGGTCAAGTGCGCCGCCGCGCTTGTCTTTTGCCATCATGTCGTTACAATGGCGTGGCTGGAGGCGTGTCTCCAAGCTCGCTCGTTCGCCAGCGTTGATCCAGAGCAATATGCCATCACCGAGACGCTGTTCTCTGCCACAACACCCGTCATCCGTGCACGGGCGCTTGCTCGACGCGCAGTGCCAGTCTTCCACGGCATTGACTTTTACTTTATCACCCCAATCAACCCGAGCACTGACACTCTCGCCATTCTGGTGAATGTCGGTGGCGGCAATTTACTCGAGAAGCTTCCCCAGGTCTCGACGCTGGTTCGACGCACTGCTCATCTGCAGCCGGACTCGTGGCAACAGGGCACCACCAAGCCGCTCGTCATCATTACCCAAGTGGATGACGACAAGCGGGCGACCGGAGACTTTGCCCGAACGCTGCTCAATCAGAAAGTCAAGCTCTTCGACGTGCGGTTTCTCGTGCAAGCCCTCGGGAGTCAGGAGATTGACTGGTCGTGCCAGGCGCGATGAGCTTTGGGTTGCAGGCTCGAGTAATATGTCGTTGAATGTTACGCCCAAACAAAATAATAATCATTAAGAAAAAGTGGACGTTGCAACCATTAAACCTTTTTTTTTTTGGTACTGGGAACAACGACATGCGCGGCAACAGAGATACACACCAAAAAATCATGGTTGTGTTGATGGTGGTGGTGCCTGGGATGTGGTTTCAGTGGTAGTGTCAGAAGTAGGGCTGGAAGCAGGCGCTGACGCTGGAACGCCCGTAACATGCTGCAGCGTCGCGATAGCTGCACCACGGAGCAATGCTTGTCGCAACGACAGTTTTCGGCCGTGGGCACCGAGTGCTGCACGGATGGTTTCGAGATGTGACATTGTTTTCTCGGTGGCCTCTTCCAAGTGAGCCATCGATGGTTTGTCCTTGACTTGCCAAGCCTTAATGCGAGTGCGCTCCTCGATCAAAGGCTGGAACCGGACCTTCTCGTCGTCGCGCTCGGGTGCTGCCGCTGCAATCCTTGTGCGCTTGAATGCAAGACCGTGTGCTGACTTTGCCTGTTCGTGCATAAACGTTTAGCTGTGGTTGTGACAACAGCAAGTGTGGCCCCAACAACCAATTAAGCCCGTACCATGTTCAATGCAATTTCGCGCTCAGAGATGACACGCTTGATTCCACCCATGGACTTTTTGACCTGATGAGACAGACACCAGCAAAACAATGGTGGGATGTGAGTTGAACGTGTTTTTACGTTGATTCTCCGTTCCCGTCTGCTGCATCTCTTACCATTTGCATGCGACGAGTATAACTGGGCACTGCGCGGTTTTGCGAGCGCTCGTAGTGCATGTGAGTGAGGAGGAGGTTGCGCTCCTTGAGCAGCACAAACCAGAGCTTGTGGAGGTCCTCAAAGCTCTTCAGACGCAGCTCCTGCGTTGACCACCTGCGACCTGCACAAGACCAAACGAAATTTCACCATCAATGTCAATGTTCAATAGTGAGAGATCAGATTGAGGTGGTGAAGGGCCGCGAGAGGGGTTCACAAGCTGGCAGCCAGAGCGAGACCACTGCAGAGCTACTGCATGGATGGGGGAAACTGCAACAGCCATCAGGAGTAGAGTAGCACGATGCCGATGCACTCAGAGTCTCATGCACGGAAACCCCCAACCCCCACCTCCCCTTTCAACAGGCGTCGAACAGGCTGCAACGGGGAAAGGGGAGCGCATGGCTTTGAGATCTCGCCATTGCCCCCACTATGACTAGCGACCCGCCGCCACCACGCCCCTCAAACAAGTCACTCGAGCTGGGACATCTGCGTCTTGCTTCCACCGTTTCAGTGAGGGCCGAGGCGGGGGGACGCACTCACCGTCAAAGGGGACGTCGCGCGCAGCCTGGCTCTCAAAGAACTCGGCCATGCCAGGCGTCTTTGGCACTGCCGCTGCGATCGCCGCTGCCGTCGTCTGCTGCTGGGTCTGTGCTGAGCTGGCTGGCTTTGCATTGGATGTGCTGGCGGAGGATGCAGCAGCGCGCTGGGACTGCCGAGCGAGGAGCGCTGGGGCTGAGCGTTGCTGCACCAATCGCAGCAGAACAAGCGACATGAATGGACCAAAAAAAAAAAAAAAAAACTGAGACTGGCTTGACAGACAGTCCAAGTCGAGACAGGACAAGACAAGGGATAAAATGGCACCAGAGCAAGGAGAAGAGAATGGAGGAAGGGGAGAATGTTCAATGATCGGTGCTAAACCCATCCTGGGCTTACTGTGCTGACCATCCAACAACACCTACAGGTGCTCCAGTCCATGCTTGGAGAGGTGATTCTGGTCAATGGAAGGACTTGTGGATTTCCTGTACATCTACGTTGCAAAAGCTTAACCATTTTTTGTTTTCTCAGTCAACTTTTTTTTTTTGTTTTGTTTTCTTTGCTCTTATTCTTAGATCTATTTTTCCGTCCTTGTGTTTCCTTTTGGGTGTGTGTTCTTAGATCATTTTTTTCCTTGTTCTTCCTTCTTCTTCTTCTTGTTCTTCCTCTTCTTCTGAGGCTGGATTGTTTTGTTCATGTTGCGACGCAATGCAAGCACGGCGCCGTCCGCTGCGTTGGCTGAGCTTGCAATCAATTGCTCGTCAGCGCCGCCGTTCCCAAAGCGCATCAGCGAGCGCTCGCTGTTGTGGGCGCAGCAGGCAGACAACTCGAGCACAGACGACGACGACGACGACGACGACAACAACGATGACGATAATGACGATGACGATGACGATGGGAGCGGACTGGTCTTTGGACGGAGACGACGACGCATGGGGATTGATGACGAGGACGCAGGACAAGACTGGCGGGGCAGCAGCAACAGCTCAGTCCGCGCCATGATGCATCAGCAGCAACAACAACAACAACAACAACAACAACAACAACAACAAGGCGCTGCACATTCTACGGCCATGAAGATGGCGATGCATGGTCACAGCGCGCACAGGAGTAGCAGCGGCGAACCCTCTGCGCATCACAACAACAACGACTCGTCCATGATGCAGACCGACGAGATGGCGCACACATCCATGCATCACCATGCTGGTGGAGCAACGCGGGATGCCTTCCACACTACGAGCACTGCTGGCCGGTTGTCGCTGGCGACATCCAATCCCAACCCAAGCTCTTCCGCAGCCGATGAAGAAGAGAAATCATCATCCTGGTGGACTGGCTCGCCTCAAGCGCAAGCATCATCAATACACACTTCAAGCTTTGGCACACGAGGGCGACAAGACCACCACCAGCACGCTGACATGTCTCTAATGATGCCGATGGGTGATCGAGCTGCCGCGAACAAATCGCTGACTCGCCACGATACCGTTCCACTGTCAAACCCGCTGCTCCAACCTGTGCCCAAGCAGCTGACATCACGGAGAGTGGCTCTCGACGAACAACTGGGAGTTGCTGACGGGCAGGCCAAGCCTGGCGTTCCTCGTTTGATGAGTTTTCGCAATAGCTTCGACCTCCAGCCACGGCCCCGCCTGCCTGCGCCTGACAACGACTGTGACGACGACGAAGAGAACGACAACACAGACTCTCGCCAACGCGCTGGGACAGACCGCTCCTCCTCGGCGCCCGCAATTCAAATTCCCTCGCTTTTACCAGCCCCGCCAACATTTGGAGTGTTTCGCCCCATCAGCGGCGACTTTACTCTATCACGCACTGCTGCTGCGCGCCCGGCCTCGTTGATTATTCTTGGGACGAGCAACGCGAGCAACGCTGGCTGTTCTTCTTCTGCGTCTGTCGGTGATGGCCGCCAAACGGCACGCTCGCTGTCGCGGTCGGACTCGCTCGTTTGTCTGCCGGCATCATCACCTCGCACCTCCCCTCGAGGCCTCTCTGCCTCTTCCAGTGTGTCCAATCTGAGCGCCGGCGATGTCGCTGCCGCAGTCTCTATGGCGCCAACCCCCGGACACGACAACTGCATCCAGCGGCTTTGCCTACACCTCCTCCTCCTCGTCATCGCTGACGCCAGTGATTGGATCGAGTCTGGTTTTGAGTCCTCTGAGCGCCGTTGATCGAAGTGGCATTGGATTTTATAGCAACGGCACTCATAGTGGCAACAATAGCACTGGAGTCAAGTTTGGCGGTTTGAACGGCGGTTTCGGCACTCATGACTCTGGCCACGCTGCCGCTTCTTCGGTTCGTCGCAGTAGCAGTCCTTCGTTGGCGGCAACGCGAGCCAATCCAGCTGGAGCGTTTCCCTCTGGATCGTACGTGCTACTCGCGGGCGAGCCAGACGCAGCGCAGCGCCTGCTGCAGGCAAAGCAAGATTTCCACGACCAGTTGCTTGCCCACCAACGGCGCATGAACCAGGCCCATGCCCAGATTGCTGCCAGTGCCGATGAGCTTCCGCCTGCTGCGCGTAGCAAGCGAGCTGCCGTTTTTGGCCAGTCTGGTCGATTGGAGCAGGAAGACATGATGACTGCTGCCGATGATGCTGCTGGCGACAACACAGTGCTGTTGGGTGAAAGCTCCAAGGACCTGGACAACGACCTGCTGGCCGGGTTGTCTCTTACGACCGCCCCACGTTGCGCTGTATGGATTCGGCACGAATTGCAACTGCCGCTCGACCACGTCCGCAATTCCATCGAAGACATCTTCTCCGCTCTCGGTGACATTGTTGACATGTACGTTCCTCTCGCCATCTCGGCCGATGCATTCGTCTCGTTTCAAACAGCCGAACAGGCTGAACTGGCCGTGGCGACTTTTGCCAATCCCGACCATGCTCAGCAGGCCGTGTTTGACATTCTCAGCGGACGCATCCAGCGTGGAGAGGTCCATGGAGATCACATTTACAGCCAAGGGCTTGCTTCCATTTCGGCGATTCGCCGCGTCTTCCTCGCGACTCCGACCGGTCTGGTTCGCACAAAGCGGCCGCGTATTTCCTCGACAGCGGATGAACACCTTCCGTCAAGCTCGACCGAGACCGGCTCGGGTGAATCGGCCGACAACAACAGACACACGGGTGGGCTATACGACAGCGTGAGCGCGTGGATGAATGCGACGAATGCTGCTCCCGATGCCGCCGGCCACTCTTCTGCGCACGCGCACACACGCGAGGCGCTTATTTCTGTTCAACAGCTTTCGCGCTGGGAGAATGAAGGCGCTACCATTGATGCCTTTCAAGCAGTGATTGAGTAACCAGCGAAAAATTGCGGAAAATACATTGCTCTATTCGTTTTGTGTACAATAATACATTACGTGCAAAACCACATCAAGACATTTTGTTTTTGAACAGCAATAGAGCATAGTGGGTGGGGGCAATTAATTGGCCGAATATTCCATCTCGTCCTTGATGTAAAACAGGAGGTAGCCTTGACTTTCGCGCACTTCTTCGATATCCACTTGGGTGATCCAGGCATCGTCGCACAAAAACCACTGCCAACAACGTTCCCATGCCAGGAGAATTTGTTAGACCAAAGATGTGCGACGAACTGACTGCGCTCGGAAGCAAAAGCAGAGATGGCGGAGACTTACGCGTGAGTTGTGACGAACGTAGCATGTGTAGTGGCCGTGATCGATCGAGCCGCGATGGTTGACCACAGCAAACAGGGAGTACATCGCATTGCCTCCAAAGTCGGGCGATGCATTGAGAATGGGCGCTTCTTCTCGAGGGGACGGTGGTACGACAGGGATGCTAGTGCAATGAACCGGGATATGAGAAAATCAGAAGCCAAGCATGACGAGAAAAAAAAAACTTGAAAACTGTAGAATGAGCTGGTTTCACTTACTTGCCGTTCTGGCGTTGCAAACTGGCTGACAAGTAGGGCGACATGTCAAGATGTGCGGGAAATTCAATATACGAGTCGATCTTGAACGAGCGTGTCGCGTGCTCAAAGCGCTATTGCGCACAAATCCAGGGGGGGGGGAAAAAAAAGACGAATGGTGACTTTCTTCATGGGTAACGCTCAAAAAGCGAATCGGTTCGTACCTTGAGGTGACAGCAGACAACGACAGGAAGGGACTTGATGGTCAGCTGCTTGATGCAGTCTTGGTGCGTCTTGCAATTTCCGCACGAGATTTGCTCTGTGAGTCGCTCGGGCCTGATGAAACGGTGCAGGCATTGCTCCAGACTGTTGGGCTGAAGTTCCTCTGGTGTTCCGGTCGCACCTGCACAGAGATCAACATGACATTGCATGATGAGTGCGCATGCAACCCAGACAAATTCAAAACAGGTGAAAACAACAACAAAAACTCACCTTTGTGATGGCGCAAATCCAGCGAAATGTCCCAAAACGGATCAACAGTACTGGAGACGGATCCGCAGCGGAGACAGGTCAGATCAGATTGAAGAGCTCCGGTAAAAACGCGGTGAATGATGCAGTGACAGTTCAGCAAAGTGCCTGCAAAAAGCGAAGCGGATGAGAACATTGTTCAAACAACCCACTTGCCAGCAAACACAGCGTTCAGGCAGATGTCGACAAACGCGGTACCTCGACAATGAGTGTGCATGGCATCCAAGGTGGCAATGAAAAACTCGTGAGCGTCTTGCTGCTCGTAACCCGCCAGATGTTTGGCGTGTTTCCAGACCGAGTGTAGGAACTGGTACGGAGTGTGCGGCTGGGTTTCACCAGAGAAGAACTGTGCACAACCAGAGTTGAACGTTGGTGATTATTGTGTTGTTTCACGATCACAAACCGTTAAAGTGCCAAACAATAAACACAACAAATGGAGCACGTACCCGATGTAGCAACTGGTCCATTTCGCATGCCATGCAGAGACTATCGCTGCCGCTTTGATGGTGGTGATGGTGGTGGTGATTGTGAGGCTGGACACCCTTGGCCGTGTCGACAGGAGGCAATCCCTTGCCCAGCTGAATGTGGCAGGTTTCTTCCGTGTGCTGGTCGGCCAAAAAGTAATTACGAAGCAGTGGGTTGTGGATGAAGCTCTGCAAGATGCAATTCATAAAGCAAGTGTTGCCGAGGTTGTTCAACCCGCGAAGTCCTGGACGAAGAAGCAACACGATGAACAAAGACCATACAAGCAGTTGAGCGGTGAGTCACCAAGAACAGGAAAAGCGGTGCGAGTGCAGGGAACAATTCGTCCACTAACCTAGGGTGGAGTCTTCCGGGTCGGTAACGTTGGCGACAGAGTGAGCCGATATCAACCTTGCCTCCTCGGCCTTTGGCACCCAGGGTAGATACGGCAGGCGGTTGGTCTCTGCGAAGGATTGAAAACAAACCACAATCAAGGCCAAGCACAAGTCATGTTAACGACCAAAGCCGAGTCTACGAAAAACGAAGAAAAAAAGTGTAACAGACCTGCGTAAGCGGCTCGCTCAGCCTCGACTCGTTGGTGTTCAATGATATCGTCCATCTCGTGGTCGTACACGTAGTCTTGGCACTCAAAGCAGTAGATTTGATCATGAACGACATCGCAGGCTGCAAAAGAGAACAGTGAGTCAAAGCGTAGTCTCCACACAAGCCAAAGAACCACGCGAATCGGCATACCAAGTGGATGACCACACTGTCTAGCATGTGCCTCTGCATGGCTGAGCGGCAATGCGGTGGTGCTTGTCATGCTCGTGTCCATCATCGTGGCAGTGGTGCCATTCGACGCGTTGTGGTTCAATTTCGCCCTGCAGCCAAAGAACGTGCAGGACAGACATGCGTGCAACTTGCGACCTGGCGCACGACACACTGAGCAAGCTGGCGTTGGAATCTGAGATTCGAATGCATCATCATCGAGTGGACGTGAGATAAGCAATCGTTCTTAGAATCTTTGGTGTGCCAGTCTCAGCGACCGATTTTGAGCCCTAAAGCGTTGCGCACACACACACACACAAACACACACAAACACACACAAACACACACGCACACACACACCTTGGAGGCAACTGCTGCGGGGCTCAGCTGAACCTCTGTTGGCGAGGCAGCGGAGGCTGTGGCTGGCGGACCAGACCGGAGCGAGCGCTGCCTGCCACTGGTGCCACTGGTGCCACTGGTGGTGGTGGCGGCGGCTGCAACTGGCGGTGTTGCCAAGGACGCCGCAGACGACGTGGCTGAGGCTGCGTGCTTGCTCGTCAGCTGGAGCGACGCACGCCAGGCCTGCAGGTAACGCTGCATGGCGGTGAAGAGGTCGCGGCCCGTCGTCTCGCCCGTGCTGCCGCCGTCTGCCTGCTGATCGTGCTGCTGGCTGTGCTGCGAGTGATTGCGCAATGTCGGCTGCGGTCGCGGCTGGAAGAGCGCTTGCTTGAACACAGCCAGATGCTCGCACCCTCCAGCAGCTGCTGCCATTTTCGCCGTGTGTGTGTGTGCGGTCGAGTAGAACAACAGGGAGGACTGAGCTATCTATCGTATTTATTATAGTAGCAAGTACCAATGTATAGCATTGTAAACATGGAACAGGGTCAGAACAAGCAGGATAATGCAGCACGTTCGAGCGTTCCTCCATCCGTCAATGCGACTGGGCACAAGAGAGAGAGATCGGTGGGTATCAGATGGTACAGTATGCTACTTTCAAATGCACGCCTTTGGAGGTTGAATGTGACACCTTCAGTTCCAGTCTCACTTTCTCAGAAACGCTGGCTTTGAATGGCTCACGCTGAATGAACTCTGCGACGAGGACTCCGCCTGCCATTGCACTCGTGGTCTGCTGCGGCTTGCCAGGGTCGGGCAAGTCCACCGTGACTTCCCGCCTGCGCCGAGACTGGCCGGCGACCCAGACCGAGGCGAATCCATTGCTGTGGTGGCTGGTCAATGTCGACCAAGCGGTGGAGCGACGCTGGCCGGGATCCGAGCCGGGCTCTCCGCGCCATGCGACCGAGTCGTACGCTGAAGGTCATGCCTCCAATGCGCTCGGTGCATCGACCGGGACTGATCCAGCTGACGAACCCGAGACGGCTGCAACTTGGCGCCAAAAGCGCGCGCGCTTGATTCAAGACGTGGGTGCCTTCGTTGCACAGCTCTCGTCAAGCTCTGACAAGGATTATCCATTCGCATTGGACTCGTTGCAGACCAAGGGTCAAGAGGACGGCGTCGAGTCGCGGCTTCAAAGCTTTGCTTGGCTGTTCAGTCCGGACGACCAAACTGGAAATCTCGCGCGAATGCAGTCTCAGACAGGTTGCACACATGTGGTTGTGGTTGATGACAACAACTACTATACCAGCATGCGGTATTCGTACTATCGTATTGCCCGGCAATGTAAGGCACTGGGCGAAAAAATAGCTATCGAACGTTTTGTTCGCGCTTCGTTGATTGCTATTCAATGTTTGCTGTGACCAACAGATCGTTGTGCCTTCGGGATTGTACTGTTTGAGTGTGAGACGAGCACCTGTGTGGCACGCAACGATCTGCGCCATGGTGGTCGGATTGCTTCCGAGATCATTCACGACATGAGCAACCGCTTCGAAAAGCCTCCCGCTCGAGCTGTGCTGGAGCCAAGTACAATCTCCAATAATTCGGACTGGCAGATCAATTGTCTTGTGTGCAGCACGGAGAGCCAGCCATTGGACTCTTGTTGGTGAGCATGTTGTGCTTTTTTTTGTTTGTTTGTTTGTTTTGTTTTGTTTGTTGGTTTGGTTTGTTTTGTTTGTTTTGTTTGTTTTTGGTTTGGTTGGGTTTGGCGCGCCTCGTTCCACTCACAATCTGTTGATTTGATCATCCGAATAGTGAGGCGGTGACAACCTTCATCCGACAGTTGCAGAGCACTGTTGTTGAAGCAGCGGTGTCGAGCGAAGATGATCGAGTCGCTGCGCAAGCGGCACAGGTCAGTAGACGACAGATTGCACATGCCTCGTCCATTCTTTGACTGATGTCTTGGTTGACTGCATGGGCAGAGTCGTGAGCAGACGGCTTCGAGTGCGCTGCACCAAACCGAGCTCGCGCTGCGCAAGCGGACGTCCCTCGCTATTGCCAGAGCTCGAGCGAACGGCTCAGTTGCGCCGGCCACACTATCCCGCATTCTTCAGCTCAAGCAGACCTATTCAGAGCGCATTCGCGGCTGTGACAATGTGGAAGCGCTTTTGCTTTCGTTTGAGGCTGACGTCGCCTCGCTCTCACAGAACTGAGCTGAGCTGGTGGCGACCAAGAAGAGACGTCGGTTGAATAACGCGACCAAGCGGCTTCTAGCAAGGCCATTGGCAAGCTTCTGAACTTTGTGGCATCATTGTTTGGCTTTTGTTCCGATGCATTTTGAGTCAGGTTGTGCGTACATTTGGTGTGCTTGCATCATTCTTTGTTGTTGTTGTCCTGTTCTTGTTTTCCTTGCGTTATGACAATCTCAGATGCAGTTCTTTCCTCACTCTTTGATTTTTCGTTTTTTGCTTTATTCTTTGTCATAAAGCAAGGAAAAGAACAGGACACCAAAACGAAAAAAAAGAACGATGCACAACTCACAATCTCAGATGCAGTTCTTTCCTCACTCTTTGATTTTTGTTCTTGTGAGTCAAAAAGTCAAAAAAATCCGAATCATCCGATTTTTTTGATTTTTTTTTTTTTTTTTGGCGTTTTTCCTTTTCTTTTTTCCACCTCCGTTCTTTGTTCTCCGTTTCATTCGTCGTCGCTCCATTTCCATCCACTTTCTCGCACACTTTTCTTTTATTTTTAAGCATTACCAGCACGAGATGCGACGACGAGGCGAGACACGCGGTCGCAGCAGCGGGAAGTGAGAGCAGTAAAGTCACGCCACAGTGTTTCAACGCGTTTTCCCCGCTCTCTCTCTCTCACTGTCTCTCACTGTCTCTCTCTCTCCACCATCCAAAGTCTCCCACTTGTTGGAAGCTCTTCCGATCTGAGTTTTTCCAGCATTCATCGCTTTTCCTTGCTTTTTTTTTTTTCGTCTCGCTCTTCAGCGTTCGAGTGAGTGCGTCTCTATTGTCGGCGAACGCGCTCCGCTCACGCCACAATCCATCCACATGCGTTTTGTCGTACCTACCTCAGTTCACTCGCTCCCTCCTCATTCGCTTCAATGTCAAGCAACATTGCTATCGATCGTGTTTGTCACTCTTCTTTTCTTGTTTCCCTTGTCGTTGTTGATGTTTGTGCTTGAGCTCTGTTGAGAAGGCATGACAATCATCCAACTGTGGCGAAACCAAATCTGCAACTACTACTGTCTCGCTCACTCCACCTCTGTCAATCATCTTTGCGACGGACTTTTGATAGAGAAACTTCGAAACACTACCAATGACCATGTCCGAGCAGTTGAAGCAATTCCTGGCTGTCTTTGACACGCTTGTTGCTGACGTGATGGACGTCGCCGTCAACCAGTACGAAACCCCCAAGGAATCCCAGCAATGGATGTCAGAGGTAAGCATGCCTGCTGGATGCAGCTACGTTGCATGGTTTTGCTTGTAGAGTCGATTGAGCACTGACATGTCGGCTCTGCGTGCGCTGCTGTATTGGTGCTTGTCCACTTCAGAACCTCAAGTACAACGTTCCCGGCGGTATGCGCAGCTTCCCCCTTGCCTCTGTGGTGACTACGTGTGGTCGTGCTGCTGGTTGCTCACGTGTGTCGACTCTCGACTCTTGGTAGGCAAGATGAACCGTGGCTTGAGCGTCGTCTCGACTTATGAAATTCTGCTCGGCCGTCCGTTGACCAAGGACGAGCTTTTCAAGGCTCAAGTTTTGGGCTGGAGTGTTGAATGGGTAAGCATTGTGATTCTGTTGGCTTTCGTGGATGCCCTCTTCCCTCCTTGCCTGGAAGGACGAAATCGCTCATGGCATCTCTGTTTCACCATCTCATCCCAGCTCCAAGCCTTCTTCCTGGTCGCTGACGACATGATGGACCAATCTCAAACCCGCCGTGGTCAACCGTGCTGGTACAAGAAGGTAAATGTAGTTTGGTTTTTTTCAAAGAGCTTGAACACTGGACACGCTACGCTGTTTCTGACTCTGCTTCTTTTTGGTTTTGAATCTCACAGCCCGAGGTTTCCAACATTGCCATCAACGACTCGTTCGTCATCGAGGGCAGCATTTACATTCTTTTGAAAAAGTACTTCCGCTCGGAGCCCTACTACGTCGACCTGCTCGACCTGCTGCACGAAGTTACCTTCCAAACAGAGCTGGGCCAGATGCTCGACCTGATCACTGCCCCCGAGGACCACGTTGACCTCACCCGGTTCACCCTGAGCAAGTACAAGACCATTGTCAAGTACAAGACTGCCGTGTACTCGTTCTACCTGCCCGTCGCAATGGCCATGCACATGGCTGGCGTCAAAAACCCCGCAGCGTTCGCGGCCGCACACTCCATTCTCATGGAGATGGGCGAGTTTTTCCAGATCCAAGACGACTACCTCGACTGCTACGGCGACCCAGCGGTCATTGGCAAGATTGGCACCGACATTCAAGACAACAAGTGCTCGTGGCTCGTCATCCAGGCCCTCGACCTCGCCAACGCCGACCAACGCAAGATTCTGGAGCAACACTATGCACGCAAGGACGAGGCATCCGTCGCCGCCGTGAAGGCTCTGTACAAGGAGCTCGAGCTCCAGCGCGTCTTCACCGAGTACGAGGAGAAGAGCTTTGCCAAGCTCACACAGCTCATCAACGAGTTGGACACTGCCACTATTCCCCGGGAAGTGTTTACCGAGTTTGCCAAGAAGATTTACAAGCGTCAAAAGTAAAATGGCCTGATGGTGTTGATGGTGTTGTTGTTGTTGTTGTTGTTGCTGTTGCATACGAAAAAACAAGATATTGCTCAAAATATTGCTCGAAACCTCCTCACACAATCTTATACGATAACGAGGGGGTCGGCGTCCTGCTGAGAAACTGTCACTTGAACTCCGGCAGTGCCAAACAGCTCGGCAAGACTCTCGCGGAGCTTTGCGAGGTAGCCACGCTCAGTGTTGGTGTGCTCGCAGAGGACGACGGCGGCGCCACTGCTCACCGCGTCAAGGACGTCATGATGCCCCATCTCACCGGTCAGGTAGACGTCGGCACGCACTCCGCGCATCACGGACGAGCCCGAACCGGCGCACAACGCAATCTTTTGAACGAGCACGTTCTTGGCATGCTCCAATGCAGCAGCTTGCGTTTTCGGAGGCACTTGGGCGGCTGGTACCGCCGCCGATGGGAGAGCGATGCGGACATGCTCCACCTGCAGGTGCGCCTTGATTTTGGTCAGCAGCTGGGGAAGCGGCGTTGGCTGGGCCAAGGTGACGAGTCGGCCCTGACCCGTGCCAGGCTGTGGCAGCTTTTCGAGCGAGTGTGTCTCCCAGGTCACGCCGTTGCCAGCATGCTTGGCAAGCAGAGCGGCAAGCGACCCGAGGTGCGATTGCTGGCACTTGAACTCGAGCTTGCTTCTGGAGGCGCTGTCGTTGGACGAACTGTAAAAAAAAAAAAAAGAAGAACAAAAAAATGGTCAGTGATCTGACCAAACAAGGGATGTGTCGTTGTTCTTTGTTGCTATTGTTGTGGTTGTGGTTGTTGTTGTCGTGTCCGTAACTTACAATGTTGCAAAGGAGCTCTCAGAACCGAGAATCGAGGCAATGGCCGTCCTGAGCTCGGCAAGCTGGCCTGCCAGGCCGTAGACACTTGCGCGATGCGTACCGCTCGAGGTTTGCGAGTCGCCGTCGTGATGGAACGTGTGCGGCTGCAGCACGCTGATGGCGGAGGCCTCGCCGAGCCCGGACGCGAGCCAGTCGTTGATGCCGCCCTGCACCGAGTCGTAGCTCGTGTGCGGGCTGTAGATGGCAATGCCATGCTCGATCGCCTTGACTGCAATGCGTTCCTTGGTTGCTCCGGCTGTGAGCTTCTTGAGCGCGGCAAAGATTGGCGGGTGGTACGCAATGATGAGCGGGATGCTGTGCTGCGCGGCTTCGTCGACAACGCGCTCGGTCAGGTCGATGGTCAGCAGAATCTTGTCGATCGGCCGGCGCTTGGTCACCGGCTCGACCAGCAGGCCCACGTTGTCCCACGACTCGGCGAGGCGCAAGGGCGCAAAGGTCTTGAGGGTTTGCAGGACTTTGGAGAGTTCCATCTGCTGAGCGAGTGCAAGATGATGAGTGGTGGAGTGTCGAGGTCTGATCCAGTCATGGACTACGATAATGTGTCGTGTTGTGGTGTTTGTTTGTGTTGGGTGTGGTTTGGAAGAGAGTTGTGAGGAAATCAATTGTCGATGTTTTTGGTTGGTTTTGGAAAACGCTGGATGTGTATCGTATCGCGTGTGCCCAGTCATGATCTCAACAAGCAATCCGACCTTAGCTCAGTTGGTAGAGCGTCTGACTGTAGATGAAAGCAAATATCAGACGGCCTCTGGTTCGAATCCGGAAGGTCGGATTTCTCTTTTTGTCCTTTTTTTTTTTTTTTTGTTTTTTTTGGTTTGTTTGAACGCAGTCCACTCATCTCTCCCGTGACTCTTTTCTTTTTCCTTGATTCGTTTTTGTTTCGTCCTGGTATGAGTTTTGACGATACTAGGCCGGGCGTACAGCTCAACAGACTCAAAGGCAAAAAGTTGACCAAAATCCGACGCTCAAATGGTCCACTTTGCCGCTCCGACCCCAGCGCCCACAATCTGCAAACGCCTCGAAAGCTCCACAAATGGCGAGAAAAATTATTTGTCTACTCATTTTATTTGCTTTGGCTTTGCTGGGAGGATGTTTGAAAGGGTTCAGCATGGAAAAAACAAAGTCGATTTTGAGTTGAGCATTTCCCAGTGCTTCCCGAGTCGCGTGTGTGCTCTGTGATGGATTAAAAGTTGTGGCATGATTGGTATTCTCCGATGTCGTCGTTTGTGGTTGTTGGAAAGGGCTAAAAGGGATGGTAATAAGGCTTTTGCAAAATCGGACGAAAAACTTGAACACGACCAGTTTAGTGCGCTGCAAAGTAATGCTTTACGATCAATTCGATCGCCCCCGTGTAGCACAAGTCTGATTTTGTCCAATCCAAATCTGTATTATGAATTTACATATACAATATAGTATTTTCAATCCTGCTAGGAAGAGTGTACACGAATGGGGGACAGGTGACGAGCACTTTGCCAAATCGGCATCTCAGCTTTCGGTTTCTACCCATTCTTCCGACCATTCACAGCCCCCAATTTCTTATTCCAAAACTCGAAACTATGCTGTCGACTCACGGCACTGCATACCTTGTTGCCAAAGTCCGACCGTTGGACCTACGCTGTTTCTCTTTTCGGCGATCGTCGTCTGAAACAGTCTTTTCATATTATTTTGGTTTTTTGACTGTACAACAAATGCTAGTGAAGGAGTTCCGCGTTCCCCTCCCGATTTCCGTTGAGGAGTACCAAGTTGCCCAGCTGTACGCTGTCGCCGAGGCCAGCAAGAACGAGACCGGTACGTTCTCGCTCTCTCTCCACCACCGCTGACATAGCCCCCCTTCGTCGAGTGGCTGCTGCGTTGACATGTTTCCGTTCGGTGATGGCTTCCTTTTTTTTTTTTTTTTTTTTTTTCGGTTCGCTGTTTCTGCTTCCTTTTCAATACTCTCTCCCTTGCCACACCTCTGCCATCGCATTGCAAAAGCCACCTCGCTCACAAGCAAACGCGCGCTCCATCTCCCAGTGCCGAGACTGCATCACCTCGGTCGCGGTCGAACTCGACTGCCTTTTTTTTTTTTTTTTTTTTCCTCGTGCAAAACCGCATCTCGTTCGCTCATCCTCTTCCTCTTCTTCTTTGTCATCTTGAACGTGCTCAGTCGCACCCCGCCTTCCATCTCTTTCTACACCCTCACCTCAATGTCTCCACAATTCCAACCAGCTCCACCAACGCTTGGCTCGTCTTGCTTCGTTTATTCAACTTTGCTCGGTCGAACGCAGCGGTTTTTTTTTTGGGCTGATCTCTTTTTTTTTTTTTTTTTTTTTCCCCAAATACAATCCACACTCGTTTGCACTCTCTCGCCATTCCAAACGGACTCAACATTGCCGCTCACACACGCCCGTCACATCACTATCACTGCTATCGAAGCTGTTGCATTGTGCTCTGCCGCGATTGCCGGTCGTCTCTGTGATGCGTTTTCACTGTTCGTCATCGAAGCATTTTCCTTTTTTTTTTTTTTTTTTTTTTTTTCGTTTTTTCCTCCTTTTCTCAATTGTTCGCTCCATTGCGCTTTCCGGCTCTCGTGGAGCCTTCCCTGCCCCTCCTCACGACACTCTGACGCTGCTTGCAGTACTTGCTTATCACGAGTGCGACACCCAATCCACTAACGTCACAGCTTCACGTTTGGACGAGCAGCTCGAGCGGTTCATACAGCCACTTCAGAACCAAAAAAAAAAAAAAAAAAAAAAATCCAATGTAAAAGTCGAACGTCAGCGAAGCAGCACTTTGGGTGTGACCCCACACTGCCATGCCACGAACGCACGTCACTTGTCGAAGCACATAGACGATGTACCACTCGTCCTATTGCCTCCCCCCTTTTTGGAAGAGGAGACGCTCGTTGCGAGTTGCACGAGCGCTCGACAACGCAGTTCTGCTTCTCTTCCTCCTCCTTCCCACCGGAACACTCGACTCGACTCAATTCCACTTGACTCGTGCACACTGGACTCACTTCTGACCCAACCCCCTTGAATCAATCGCCCCCCCCCCACAAACACAAATAGGCGGTGGTGACGGTATCGAGGTGCTCAAGAACGAGCCGTACGACGATCCCTCCCTGCCCGGCGGCAAGGGCCAGTACACTCACAAGATTTACCACTTGGCAAGCAAGGTTCCCCGATTCATCAAGGCGATCGCGCCAAAGGGCTCGCTCGAAATCCACGAGAAGGCCTGGAATGCCTACCCGTACTGCAAAACCGTCTTGAGCAACCCGGACTACATGAAGGACAACTTTTCCCTCACCATCGAGACCTGGCACAAGCCTGGCCAGCCCACCATCGACAATGTATGTTTTTTTTTTTGCTGAGATATGGGTGCACTTTGTGACATTGTGCCACTGTGCCACTTGGTGCTGAAATCCCATCGCTTATTCTGCACTCTCGCCAGGTTCACCAACTGCCACTGGACCAGTGGAAGAAGGTCGAGGTTGTTCAGATTGACATTGTGAACGACCCCGTCGAGCGCAAGGATTACAAGGAGTCGGAAGACCCTGCCCTTTTCAAGTCGACCAAGACTGGCCGCGGCCAGCTTGCTGCCAACTGGAAGTCAACCGCCGAGCCTCTCATGACCGCCTACAAGCTTGTCTCCATGGAGTTCAAGTGGTGGGGCTTGCAATCTCGAGTGGAGAGCATGACCATGAAGACTGAGCGCAAAATTTTCCACAACTTCCACCGACAGCTTTTCTGCTGGATGGATCACTGGTACGGCTTGACGATGGCCGACATCCGAGCTCTCGAGGACAAGACCAAGCACGACCTCGACGAGGCACGCCAACACGGCGAGGTTAAAGGCACCGCCATGCACGACGAGTAAAACCCCCCCAAAAAAACTCGACAGTGTTTTGTTGTCTGCCTGTACTTTTTCTGATAACGCCCTAAAGTGTCGAGTCTCCAAGACTCCACTCTATTCTCCCCCCCCCCGCTCCCCACTTCCACGTCCCTCTGCCTTGTTTGTACCTGTTCATTCGCTTTCTGTTGACAAAAACAAAATAATACGTTTTTCCTGAACAACCCAATAGCGACCCAATAGCAACCTAGCCTATTGTTTTCCAACACCATTCACAGCCAAAATTCGTGAAAAAACAAAACAAAAAAAAAAACAACAGTGGATGAACATTTGTTTAACGAACGACAACGAAAACTACAAACAACATAACACTATTTGATTAATCCCTTCTTTTTAAGCTCAGTACACTGTGGGCAGTACCACTTGCCCTTGGGCTTGGCTGTGAGATTGACGCATTGGAAATGGAACCACTCGGTGATACACTAAACAAAAATAGTCAGGGGGAGCGGTGAGTTGAGCCGCAAAAACCATGAACGACGACTCATCCGCTTCCAACTGGCAACTGGCAAAAAGCTTTCCAACAGCATTTCCCCCATCCAATGACATACATCGGGATTGTCGCAGCCAATCATTTCGCCGTAAGAAACTTGGTGACACACGCAATACACGGGCTCGTTCGGGTCGACTGGCATGTCCACGTCAACGCCTGGCGAACGAGCTGTGCCACGATTATTGTTACCGAGTTGGCGTGCACCACCAGCACGGGCAGCCAGTGCCGCGGCGTGAGCTCCAACTGTCAATGGCGGCGCTTGGTCCTTGGCGTTTGCTTTGCTGCCTTGCGCGGCTCGATTAAGCTTTTTGCCATATCCTGAGCTGCGGTCATCTTCGACGGACATACGGCTTTCTGCAGATTGGGCGGAGAGGGGCGGTGCGGGGAAAAAAAAAGACAGAGGGAGAAAACAACATGAGAAACACAGAGCAAAGGAAACCCGATCGATGAATCATCCATGCATACTTTTGCGTGCGTTGCCGTCGTCGTGGTCAATGTCAGCAACTTGGCGGACATGCTCCACGTCAGCGTCCAGTCGTTGGATGTGTTTATCGACCTGTGTGACAGTGAAAAGGTGAGATGTGGAAGCCGGAACTTTGAGCCAAGCACAAGCTTTTGACGTACCAGCTCGTAGCTCTGAGCAGCAATCTGGATCTTGTCGTCGCCAAACTCCAGGCATCGGCGGAAGTGCTCTTGGATGCCGCGGATCTTTTGGATGATTTCGTCCTGCGGCAGCGACTTGTCTGCAAGCGCCGGGCACAGCTGCTCGACCATCCTCAACGCCTCTATTCATGCATACAAAATTCACACTCTGAGTCAAACGAGCAATAACCGCAAACTGAAGCTGTCAAAATCAAAAACTGTCAAACATTCAACGTTTTTCAAAGCTATGAAACGAAAGCCAAACGAAAGCCATTGAAAAAAAAAAAAAATAAATAAAAAAATTGGCGCCTTTTTTTTTTTTTTTTTTTTTTTTTGTGAGCAATGCGCAAGGGGCGACCTCGACTTCTGCGCGCTGGCTGCCCCCCCCCCTCCGCCGAGTGCAAGTGCGGCGCATGCAAGAGCAAGACCCTCCTCCCACCCAGTAGATGGAGTGCCTGGCTTGTTCGAGCACTCGAGCGGACTGCTAGGAGCGTGGAGGACTGAGCAGAACCTGTTCGGCTTGCCTCCTGCCACATACAGACGCAGACACACAGACACACAGACAGAGACACACAGGAATCATCATGACGGTACCATGGGTGCGCGCGTCAAGCTCGCGGATGAGGGTAAAGTTGCGCTGAAGATCGTATGGCAGCGACTCGATCGTGGTTAGAAACTGCTGCAGGTACTGCGCTGTGACTGCGGGCCGAGCCATGTCGATGCAGAGTAATATGACTGAGGGGTCAACTAGAAAGAATAAGATAAATAAAAAAAATAGAGTACGCGAGAACGAGTGAGAGAACGAGAGAATGACTTTGCGCAATCATCTGCAGAAGCAGCGTTTTTACGAAAGAGCCGTTCGTTCCGCCGTTCTGTCGTCTCGCTTGGATCTGTTGTTGATAATACGAGACCGATACAGTATTATTATAATTTCAAGCAGGAGGAGCGGATCGGAGAGTTTGAGTGTGTTGCAAAACCGACGCTTGTCGATTCGACCATTGGCGATACTCCCATCCTCCGACAAGTGCGCGAGGGTTGGCAAGTTGTTCAAGTTCGACCCCGCCGGTCTCTCTTTGATGTGATGTTCGATTTGCTTTATGTTGGATACGTCTGATGACACTCATTGGAATAGAATTGTGCATGGCAGTTTGTCTTCAGTTGGAATACAGTTTGCAATTTCTCGACAATGTTGAGGCAAGTTTCAGCCTCAACCGACCAAGGTGTGTAAACATAGGCACTGAAAGAGTGCAACACTGGCTTCCAACTCGGGATTACCAGCGGACTGCCATCGAGCTTGTGCCAAACTTGATTCTTGAGTTAAATTGGCTTTGAACACAAAACTGTGTACCACCAGATACCCTTCAATGACCTAGTGTGCCCAGTAGCATCGATCCATCACCACGGAGGGCAATCGAAAGCCTCAGAGCAGGAACACAGGAGGACCACTCCGTGAGGCCAGCAACCAACTGGCATTCCGGAGCCGCATTGCTGGTACAAACAATCCCAATCCCAATGTACTGTATATCCTGCAGCCTTCTTGTTGTCCATGCACGCCTATCGATCAGCATGCGATTTGGCGCGCCAAGACTTTTTGGCTTGTGGATTACTGCATGGGCGTGGTCTCGTTTGGGCGGCCTTGGTCTGGCTGCTTGAACGCCGGGGCTGACGACGCCGCACTCGCAGATCCAAGCACATTCTCTGCATAGAACAGCTGCAGGATGGTCTCTGGCTTGGCGGTGAAGACGAGGTAGAAGCTTTCCATGTGGTCGACGCCTTCGCGCACGAGCCGCGGGACGTCCTGCGGCCTGGCGTGCCGTCCGTTGATGACAATCATATCGCGCACAATAGCTCTATTCCACAAGATGGGCAAAGCGCGTTGCAGCCGTTGAGAAATTTTGACGACGATCGCCTCAATGGTTTGTGTTTCGTTTTGTTGGCTCACCTTGTGCGACGCTGGAACACTGGCGGCATGTGTCGAATCAAGCCCAAGCAAAACCGATACAGCTGAATGGGCGTCTGCGGCATGACCCGCGGTCGAATCGACGGAAGCGGCATTTTGCACCGTCCTGGTAACTGTAAGAAGAAGAAGAGAGACTGAGCAAACACGAGATGCTCACTCGCTCAGACTTGAGTACTGCTGCTGTCGAGATAGGATTCCGCTTTCTGATAGAGACGTGCTACTGCTCTTGCTAATTCTGAATGCGAACGAAACCAGTTCTCATTCACTCTACCCACAGCAGCAAATGGACGGCGCATCGCATCGGCCGGGCAAGCTCAAGCAGCAGAACAAGTCGCACAAGACGGGTCGCCATCGCGCGAAGGGCGTCCTCGACACCGCCAACAAAGGTACGGGAAATCAGTCAACCCGACCATCTCGAGGACTGCTTCGTCGTCGGGGCAAGGGGAGAGGGGGTGGGAGAGAGAGAGAGAGAGGGGGCTTTGGTCTGCAGTGAGGCCGCGTTGCGCCATCCCCGACGATCGCACTGCTCCTGGCGGCGACTTCCTGCCATTTCTTGCATTGGGCGATTCTTGCTGTCTTTCCCTGACCACATCGCATCGACGAGGCGAGCTCAGAAGCGGCTCCACCAAGTGGCTTGTGAGTGTGCAAGCGAACCATGTGGACCTTTGCCATTCACACATGGTCTCTCTGACCCGACATCTGGATGTTCGGCTCCGGACTGTTTCAGCAGACTCACAACGAACAACTCTACATGTGCGAAAGAACACCACTCCCCACCACCTCCCCCAGTCTGCTTCCAAGGGGGGAACAGAAACGCACTGCACGACGGGAAAAACAAAAACAAAACCCCTTCACTCACTTGCTCCGTTTCGCCTTGCTCCGTTTGTAGGCCGCATGATTGACGACAACTCGTCAAGAACGAGCAAGCGATCGACCAGCTCGTCGGACGCAAAGCGCCAGGACAGACGCAACCACCTGAAGCAGCAAATGAAGGCTAAGCGCATCGAGGCGCTCGCCCAGCGGAGAGGTATTGGGCAGGGCGACGGCGCTCCAGTCACTGTGGCAATCCTGCCGCTGTGCGCAGACGTCGATGCGCGTCAGGTGCGCGCTGCCTTGATCAAGCACATCCAGGGCAACGACGCCGCCGCGGCCTCAGTGTCCGACTCGGGCATGGTTGTGTCTGCACAGGAGGATGCGATCGATTCGCGCGCTGTCGTGACAGTGGCCGTTCCCAAATTCAAGTCTCGCCTCACCCTCGTCACCTCGCCGAACGACCTGTTTGCGCAGTGCGACGCTGCGATCGGTGCTGACGTGGTGCTGTTCGTGCTGTCTCACTCTGTACCCGTGAGCGAGGCTGGCGAGCTGCTCATCAGCAACGTGCGCTCGCAGGGCGTCCCTTCCGTTAGCTTTGCCGTCAACAATCTGGAAGAGGTTCCGCCGCGCCGACGCGCCGATCTGCGCAAATTCTTGCTCAGCTACGCCTCGTCGCGGTTTAGCAAGCAGCAAAAGCTGTTTGCTTTCGACTCTGACTCGGAAGCCAGCTTGCTCGTTCGCCACCTCTGCGACAGCAGAATCGAGACGATTCACTGGCGCGATCGTCATCCGTACATGCTTGCCGACCACGTCGGATTCTCCGTCACCGACAGCACCGCCGGCACGGGCATTCTCAGCGTCACGGGCTTCCTTCGCGGCCGCTCGCTCGATGTGAACGGCCTGGTGCACTTGCGCAACTTTGGCGACTTTCAGATCGGACGCATCGATGGTCCGAACGACCCTTACTCGCTCAACCGACGCAACGCGACGGGCAAGAAGCAATCACAGCAGAACGTTGCCCAGATGGACACTGAAGGCGAGACGGAGGAGGTGGACGAGCATGGCAATCGCATTCTGGCCCGTCCTTCGGCCGAGCAGCAGCAGTCGCTCGTTTCAGAGATTGAGCCCGACCCAATGAGTCAACACCAGACCTGGCCCACTGTCGAAGAGATGAAAGCCGCGCTCCGCCAACAGCGCGCCCCCCGTGTGCTTCGTGTCCCGAAGGGAACATCCGAGTACCAAGCCGCCTGGATTGTCGAAGACGGCGATCGCGACGAAGACGACAACGGCGACGAAGACAGCGGCGATGAGGACGACGAAAACGCCATGGCCATGGCCACAGAGTTTGATGACGACGCCATGGATGGTGGCGACGCAATGCAGGATGGTGGCAATGACGAGGACGAGGAAGAGTACGAAGACCTTGTTGAAGAAACTGCCGATGCCAAGTACGATGCCGAGATGAACTTTGACGACGAAGAGCAGCAGTAAGTCATGTGTCGTCATGTTTGTAGTTAACCTTGTTTCGGCTCGTTGTTTGCCGTTTCCTTTGTCCTAGCTTGTACGCTGGGAATTCATCGAATCTTTCTGACTTGTTGCCTGATGACTGCCAGACTTGAGCACCGCCGACGCTTGAAGGAGCAAGCTGCGGATGAAGACACCAACTTCCCCGACGAAATTGATACACCACGAGATGTTCAAGCGTATATTCGTTTCCAAAAGTATGACCCCCGCCTCTAGATGTCTACAGCGTTGCTGGTGCGGTCTGGCAGCATTCTAACCCGCTGCTCTTGCGTTTGTCAGGTACCGTGGCCTCGAGAGCTTCCGAGCATCGCCCTGGGACCCGAAGGAAAACCTTCCTTTGGAGTATGCACGCATCTTCCAATTTGAAGACTTTGAACGAACCAAGAAGCGCGTGTTGCAGTCATACGAGGGCGTCGAGGTGAGTTTTGGGTTTGTGCTTATTTGGGCTCATCTGGCTCAATGCTCATTTTGGCACAATGCTCATTTGGTAACTGTCACTTGTAGTCTGGATCGTACATTACTGTCCACATTCAAAACGTGCCTGTCGCGGCATTTGGTATGTCATGAGCGGCACTCAAACTTGTTTCCCTTCGCCAGTCCTCACTATTGCCCAATTCCGATTTTTGTTTTGTGATGCAGAGGACTACCGCCCAGAAATCCCATTCCTGCTCTTTGGCCTCCTCGAGCATGAAAACAAAATGTCAGTGTGCAACATTGCCATCCAGCGCACCGGCTCGTTCGAGGCTCCCATCCGAGCGAAGGTTTGTGATTGATTCTCTCATCTCCAAGTGTGCTCTCTACGTTTGCCTTTCATCTCATTCTTGAACTTGCTCGTTGTTCATTGTTACTTTTTGTTTTGGCTGCAGGAGCCCCTGTTGTTCCAAGTCGGCTTCCGTCGATTCACCGCCGAGCCGATCTATTCAACGCACACACTCGGATCCAAGCACAAGATGGAACGTTTCTTGCATCTCGGCCGCTTCACGATTGCCACCATCATCTGCCCACTGGTCTATCCCACGGCGCCAGTCCTTGTTTTCAAGGCGCAGGTTGATGGCTCGCTGCCGTACGTTGGCTCGGGCACGCTGCTGAGCGTCGATCCCGACCGTATTGTGCTCAAGCGCATTATCCTGTCTGGCGTGCCGTACAAGATCAACCGCCGCTCGGCAGTTATTCGCTTCATGTTCTTCAACCGCGGTATGTGGAGCTTTTGTCATTCTGTGTTTTGGTTTTTCTCGTTTTTTTGTTGTTTTGGCACCAAAACTCACACATAATTCTCGACACGTCCGGTTTCGACGACCTCTGCTTTGCAGACGATATTGATCTGTACAAGCGCCACGAGCTTTACACCAAGCATGGCCGACGAGGCCACATTAAGGGCCCGATCGGTAAGAAATTGTTGCTTGTGTCCGACTCTAGTTTCCACAACAGCACCGACCTTCAACTCACGCGTTGCTTTCGGGAATACACCTTCCAATACCTGCAGGCACACATGGTCACATGAGCGTGACGTTCGATCGTCAGCTTGTCAGTCAGGACACGGTCTGCTTGAATTTGTACAAGCGCGTCTTCCCCAAGTGGACCTATCAGCTGTTTGCTCGGCCAAACAGCATTGTGCCCCTCGATTACTTTGACGTGCACGCTGCTCAAGAGGCAGCACAGGCGTTTGCTCCCGCAGCAGCCCTGATGCAATGAAGTTATGATCTGGGTGTTGGGGTTTGTTTCCTTGTGAAAGCAGTACATTTTTTGTGCATCGCTTTGTGTTGGCTCTGGACATTTTTCGCGATGAGGAGATTTTTTTTGGTGCACAATTTCCAGCCTTGCCTTCTCAGAAATTTCAAAAAGACAAAGAAAATGCTCCCAAATTTATTCGCTGCATTTCTTGTTTTCGCGCGTTGTTCCATTTTTCAATTTTTCATTTTTTTTGGCGCGAAAAGTCTGTTTCAAGTGTTCTTTTTGGGTTCTTTTTGGGTTCTTTTGGTTCTTGGCTCCGTCTCTCGCTCTCTCTCGTCTCCCCCACCAGTGCGCTGCTCGCTCGCTTGGGATCTGCTCTCATATCAACAAGCGTTTTGCACTTTCTCTCCTTTTGCACAGGGCGGCACAGGTTCGACCGCGCGTCTTGCGTTTTGTGTGTGCTGAAACTTGTCGCTCGCTTGCAAGCTGATTGCAATTTTTTTTTTTTTTTTTTTTTTTGGGTTTTGGTTTTTGACAGGAAGGGCGTTTGTGGGGACTGGCATTGAATGGCAGCCTCTTCTGCGCTCGCACACGATGCACTGCAGTTGAACGCACCTGTCTGTCAATTCATGGTCAAGCCCGGCGATGCGCAGGTCGCACACCAGGAGCAGCAGCTGGACTTGTTGCAAGACCACGACACGCAGCCTGATGAAGCGTTGGCCTTCAACCCTGCAGCAGTGACCACTCTGGCACTCGACCACCACCACCACCACCACCCCGTGGTTACACAGAATGAGCTCGGACTGACAAATCCGCTGCTCGGCGCCCAGCCGCAGTCGAGGGCAAAGTCGCTCGGCCCACTTCGAAGACGCTTTCCTTCGCCGCCAATTCCCACACAGACCGACACCACAGCAACCGCAACCGCAGGACCAGTCCCACTCGCCGAAAACCCATCGCCCAGGTAGGCTTACTGATTTTCAATGATGAAATGATGCGAGTGGTAGCGCTCACCCGCTCGTTTTTCGTTTTGTTGTTTGTGCATCGAACCCTTTTGCTGCAGCGCACTGTCAACCACGCTTCCCGCTTCAAGTTTTTCTTGGTTGCTCAATGCTCCTACCGTCAGTCAGGATGACGACAACGACACGAGCGCCGCATTGCGGCCATCCACACCGCCAATTCGAAGTTTCCACGTCCCGACGTTGACGAAATCGCGAGCATCTCATCTGTCGATTCCAGCGTTGCATCCAGTGTTGCATCCAGTCCTGCTTCGGGACTCGAGGATGCGCCTGTCACCTGCCGATGGTCCTGTGGCGACATCGAGTTCTTCATTGCTGCTGCAACACACGGACGAAGCAACTTCTGCTGCTCCAGAAGCTGCGTCTTTTTCTCCCAACCCAATACCAGGGCTGGTCGACGCCATGGCGATTGCACCGAGCTTGCTGCACGAAACGCAGCAAGCAAGCGCTCTCCCATTGCCGTCCAAGGTTCTTTTCGGCTGCCACCGACTGGGACCCGCATCGGAGGACGAGCGCGAGCCCCCTTATCCTTCGAGATCGACATTAAAGCAAAAGCTCGAGCGGCGGCGAAAGCGGTCACAGCAACTAACAGCGCTTCGACAACGAGAAGAAACAGAAGCGCGGGGAGCACGGGTACTCAAGCGCCAGTCTTCGTGGGAATCGCTTCCGCCGCCGTCACCGAGCTCTCCCACGACGGCTGGCCGGACTGACGACTGCGAGACCAATCGTCCTTCTCTGCGTCGAAGGCTCTCAGACTCGGCCGACGAGGTGGAAAACGCCATCGACAATCTCCAACTCCATTCTTCTTCCGCCGCCAGCGCCCTCTGTCGACCCCGCAAGCGCTTGCGGTGGGCTGAAAATCTCGAGTCTGTTGTCTTCTTTGAGCGCGACTCTGGCGATGTGACAGAGGAAGAGCCAGAGGACGAAGCCTTTGATTGTGACTCGAACGACTCGCCCAGCAGCAGCAGCACTGACAACAACAACAACAACAACAGTCCAGTACAGTTCACTCGGACAGACTCTTTCAACGATGCCTTGTCTCCATCCAACACAGCTGATCTAATCTCCAGCCCATGTCCTTTCGCTTTTGGTGTTCGACCTGCGGAATGATTTGATGATATTTCATTGTATTCTATTATTGCTTAGTTATGCCCCCCCGCCGTTTTCAATACATTGTAACATACTCATGTACCCATCTCAGTCTTGCATTTTGTCACCGCCCAATGCAACGCTCATCATCATCACCTTCATAAAATGAACTCCAAACCTCAATCTCGTCATCATCGGATTTGCATGGTTTCCGACTTTTTCTACCCGAACACGGGCGGCGTCGAAAACCACATCTATCAGCTCTCCCAGTGCTTGATCCGACGCGGCCACAAGGTCGTTGTCATCACGCACGCGTACGACGGGATTGAGCCAAAGCACCAGCACCCATCGTCTGAATCTGAATCCGAATCCGTTCCACAGCAGCAGGACGCGTCGTCGTCGCCCACCGAGTCTGCTGCTGCTGCCACCACCCAAGCCAAGACATCCCAGCCAGCAGGGTCGATCGCAGGGACTCCCCGCGTTGGCGTGCGCGTCCTGAGCATGGGGCTCAAGGTGTACTACCTGCCCAACATTGTCTTTTACAACCAGTGCACTCTGCCGACCTTGTTCACGAATCTGCCGTTGATGCGGAACATTTTCGTCCGAGAGCGCATCTCGATTGTGCATGGCCATGCTGCATTCTCAACGCTATGCCACGATGCAATTCTGCACGCGCGCACAATGGGCATTCCGGCCGTTTTCACGGATCACTCCTTGTTTGGATTTGCCGACGCGAGCTCCATCCTGACAAACAAATTCCTCAAGTTCTCACTGTCGGACGTGAGCCACGCGATCTGCGTGTCGCACACGAGTCGCGAAAACACCGTCCTTCGGTCTGCAATCGAGCCAGAGCGGGTGAGCGTCATTCCAAACGCCGTCGACGCTTCCCTCTTCGTTCCAGACACGAGTCAGCGCGACCCTGCTTGGATTACTATCGTGGTGGTGTGCCGCTTGGTGTACCGCAAGGGTATGGACTTGTTGGCAGCCATCATTCCAAGAGTCTGCGCAGCCCATCCCAACGTTCGGTTTCTGATTGGTGGCGATGGCCCCAAGCGCCTCCTTCTCGAAGAGGTGCGCGAGCGCCACAAGCTGCACGAGCGCATGTCGCTCATTGGGCACGTTCCGCATAACGGTGTTCGAGCCGTGCTCAATCGCGGCGACATTTTTCTCAACACGTCTCTGACCGAGGCATTTTGCATTGCGATCGTGGAAGCGGCCAGCTGTGGTCTCTCGGTTGTGAGTACGCGGGTGGGTGGCGTGCCCGAGGTCTTTCCCGAGGACATGATGGTTTTAGCCGAGCCGACAGTCGACGGTAATTGTTGCAGTTGTTGTTTGTCTCGTTTTGATTGATCTTGTGTTGCTAGCGAGCGAGAGCGACGCGCTTGATTGGTGTTGGCGCTGGTGTTCCCCAAAATGCGCAGAGTGGTGTCGCTCAGTGCTGTGAAATGGGCTCTGTTGAACTCAACACTCATGTTCTGACTTGCAATGCCAGATCTTGTGCGGGCAGTCTGCGAGGCGATTCCACGGATCAATGATATCAATCCCGACCAACTACACCAGCGCGTCAAGAGCATGTACAATTGGAATGATGTCGCAGCGCGGACGGAAGTAGTTTACGACAACATTTCCGGTGTCGAAGAGTCGCCTCTTGTGGAGCGCTTGCATCAGTACGACCGGCAGCTGCTGTATTGATGAAAGAGAGCAGGGTGGCAGAGTTGGTATCACGCTCATTTTTGCCTGTTTATTGCATTCCAGGTACTATGGCTGCGGTCCCGTTTCTGGCAAACTCTTTGTCATGTTTGTCTTGATTAACACGCTCTTCTACTACTTTCTCGAGTGGCTATGCCCTCGCGCTGGCATCGACATTTGTCCCGACTTTGATACGGCTCGCTACACTAAACTCGTACGCCAAGAGCGTGATCGAGGCCTTTCTCAACGTCGAAATCTCGATATTGTTTAGTTGTGCAGATGGCTGTGTACAGTACATTGTTATTCTCATCTCGTTTTGCCTCCACTAATTTCGATTCCGTAGTGATGGGAGGAGAGGGAGAACCAGAAGCTCCAAAGGATCTGCAAACAAAAATACTGCACACCTCCCCCCATTATTGTTATTATGATTAATCATCCTTCTGATTGACCATTTCACTCCATCTATTTTGACTTTGCGACAATGGCGAGCACTTCGCGATCCGTTTCTGAGCGACGTCTTCGTCCAATCTATGGTACGCCTTTTGTCCCCCTTCGACTGTTTCTTCCTTCGACCCTTCCAGTTGCAGTTGCTTGTCCATCTCGCTCTATCTCTCGCTCTAACTCTCGCTCTTGCGAATGGAGCAAACACAAGGCGAATCGCGCAATGGGATCAGCGCAGTGCATGGAACAGCATGGCCATACAGCCACTCACTCACTCACTCACTGTCTGCCGCTGTCGTCTGGTACCCAACAAAACACAAACACAAACAGACGCGCTTGATACATTCAACAACAAGCAGGCCATCCAGCTGGCCGACAAGGTGCTCAAGAAGGACCCCATCCTGGCAGCCAAGGTAAAAGCAGTCTAGTCTCACTCAGAGCTCGAGACCGGCCATTCCCTCACTGTGCAGGCTAAACCAAGATTGCCCGAGAGGACAGAGATGGGGATTGCTTGATTTTGTCTGAGGGGCGAACGGACGAGTCGGATCATGGATCGCTTGCTCCAATCTCTCTCCATCGCTCAGTCTCACATCGGAACTCACACCTGACTTGATTCATGGCTGAACTCTTATTGTTGTTGTTGTTGCAGGCGCTTAAGGCAATTGCGCTCGAGCGACTCGGAAAGCGCGACGAAGGTCTCGCGCTGCTCAACGAGCTCAAAGTCGTTGGTCCGACAGACGAGATGACCTTGCAGGCGATGACTCATGCGTATCGGGACATGGACCAGTTTGATCAAATCCCAAGCGTGTACGAAGTTGCCGTGAAGCACTCGCCGCTCAACGAAGAGTTGAATGCGCACCTGTTCATGGCCCTCGTTCGCATCAACGATCCGAAGCGCCAGCAGGCGGTTGCCATGCAAATGTACAAGACATTCAAGCTGCCACGATACTACCTGTGGTCTGCAATGTCGCTTCTTGCTCAGGTAACACGCTTGATCAACGAAGGAGTGCTGCAAAGGTTTTTTCTTTTAGTTTTTTTTTTGGGCAAAAACGTTCACGCGGTTTTGTTTTGTCGCTCCGATGCACACGCAGGCAATGCTGCCCTCCAACATCCAAGCGGGCTTGTCCAGCAAGATGCTCTTCCCGTTGCTCGAAAAGATCCTCGAGAAGGCGACCAACGAAAAGCTTCTGGCGAGCGAGGAAGATCTCGATCTCTACCTTCAAGCGTTTGAGCGTCAGGGCAAGCATGCTGATGTGCTCAAGTGGCTGGAGCAACCCGAGCTCGCCTCGCTCATCAAATCATCCAGTGCCCGCGATCAGCGAGTCGCAGAGGCGCTTGGGTCGGCCGGACGACTGTTGGAAGCCGCATCAAAGTTCCAAGCTCTGTTGGAAGCCCCAGAGCACCGCGATCAGTGGTCATTCTTCAAGCTGTACTTGAAGTACACATTCGAGCATGCGGCTGCTTCGCCCGATGTGGCGACTCTGGAGAATGCTTGGTCGTTCGTGTCCAAGCTCGTGGCTGAGGAGACTGCTCCTTCGGCAGGTGCTGGTCCCAAGGTTGTTCACCGAGGTCCTTTCCTTGCGCAGCTCGAGTTCCTCCGTCTCTCTCAGCAGCGAGTGTCTGCCGGGCTGCCAGTAGCCTCGGTCGCAGGTACGCGAGGTCATTGTTTCGCAATTGTGTTTTTTTGGCGCTTCTGGTTTTCTGATTGACCGCTGGTCACTGTGCGCTTGATGTGGTTTGCCTGCAGCTTCCCTTGTCGAGCTTCTGGCCGCCTACTTTGCGCGATTCGGTGCAAAGTGGTGTTGCTTTGACGACATGCGAGGCTTTGTTGGGACGCTGTCTCCTGACGCTGCCAAGGAATTGCACGAGAAGATGCTTCAGCAGGTTCAGGCGTGTCCGAAGGATGCTCCCGTGGTATGCCGTCTCTGCCGTTATTTTTGATTGTGAAGGTTGAATACCAGCTGAATTTTTTTGGTCTTGCTTTTGAACAGGCAACGCAGGCCGATTGCATGCGCCAGCACATTTGCACCGTGCAGCTTGCTCGCTGGATGGGCTTGCATACCGCAATGACGCCGGAGCAGCAGCGAGAGCTGGTTGCCGACCTTGTCTCGCGCTACCACGCCGGGCTTCAATTTGGTAAGAGGAGGGCATTGAGCGAGAGAAAACCACCACGAGACGCGGGCTCAGGTTTGATCGCATCTGTCATTTGATCCTCATTGATGTTCTCGATCAGGCTCCGCTCTGAAGGAGACCGAGCGACAGTACAGCGATGATTACGCGCTCCTTGCAACGCTGGTCATGCTCGATTTGCACGAAGCAACTGGTAACGTCGCCTCTGCACAAAATTTCTGCATGCTCGAGAAATTGTAGTGACCACTCATATTTGTTGCCTCTTGTATTTGACAACCCCCCTGCCTCCCCAGGTGATCGATCCGTTCTTTACGACATTATTGCCCTCCTTCAGTTCGGCGTTGTTCGCAGCAAGTTTAACTTCCAGTTCAAGCTTTTCCTGGTTCAGTGCTATGTCAAGCTTGGTACGTACCCTTGAAAGCGATGCAGATCGGCAAAAGCTGTGCTCTCAATTTATTGACCGGCATCGTTCCATTGCCTTTTTTCTACAGGCGCGCTTGCCCCTGCGCTGGCGCTTTACCAAGAGCTCGAGACACGTCATGTGCAGCAAGACACACTGAGGTGAGTCAGACAACGATTGGGTACGAGACGAAAGACTAACCTTCATCCCTTGTGCAGCTACGTTATTTCAGACCACCTTCTCAGTTGCGCAAACATGGCGGAGGGTGTTAATTTCCACCGCATGGTGCTGAGCTACTTTGAGCGCGCAGGCAAGGAGCTCCCCGAGATGGTCATCAACGCTTACCGTCACCAGACGTTCTCAAAGGTACGCGCTTTCGCTTGATTCATTTGAGGGCGGAGATGCTTTTTGCGGGTTTCAATCGCTCATCCTTCTCTGATCTCTTTTGGTGTTCCGCAGGTTCTCGAGTTTATGGAATTTACTTCTCGCACGAATCGTTCTCTGCAGCGCGCCATTGTTCGCTGTCAAGATGCCAAGCTGCGCCTGCGCACCGGCTTCAACGGGCAAATATCCGAGCTGGAAGAGTTCATCCGTGTGTTGCCGCTTCCAGTTGAAGGTTGGTGAACTCCACGCAGCTCCTTTTCCGCACCACCCAAACCTTCAACAAGAGAGAAGATTTCCACCTCCTCATGGTGCTTTGCGCGTTTTCTGCATGTGTAGTCTTGAACGATCTGTCTGACAACCGCGATCACGACGTCATGGATTTCTGGGAGGCCGAGGCTCGCCGCCCGACAAAGGAGCAGCTGGAAACTCTTCGCGCACAAAAGGCAAGTGGACAGAACAAAAAGTTTGACTTTCTTTCAAATACTAGAAAACCCCTGACCAACTTAAAACCACTTTGCGACACACAGATTGCCTGGGTTCGTCTGTCAACCTTGACGTTCAACACTCTGCGTTTTGCGGCTGCCAGCGACAAGGCCCGACTCCAGTCCACCCTTGAGCAGTTGCAGGCTGCTGTTTCTGCGATCGCCGAGCAGTCCTTTGCTGTGCCTTCCAGCCTGCGCCTCAGCCAAACACCAGCCAACACCCAGCAAGCCCTCGTGCACGCAAAGATTGTTCTCGAGTTTGGCAAGGCTGCCCAGCACCTGCAGGCATACGTTGCATCCTCGGGTGAAGCTGCTGGCGCTGCAGCGAGCATTTCCGACGCTGCTGCCAGTGCTACCGCTTTCATCTCCAGCGTTACCGCTGCGGCTGAGGCTGCCACCAATGCCATCGCCTCCACGCCGCTTCCAGAGTCGATTGGCCAGAGATTCTTTGAGCGCGCCGCCGGCCAACTTGAGGTAATCGTCCAACTGTACAATTTTGATTCGCGCGGCAGTTTGAGCTGATTTCTTGATTTTGCCGTTCGTGTCCTGACAGGTGGCTGGAGATGCGCTCGTCTTCCTTTCGGCGTTTGCTCGCGTTCTTGGGGACATTGCCAACGCTGGCAAGAAGAACCGCAAGAAGCCGACGGACGGCTCGCCTGCCATTTCGGTATGGCTTTTGAATCTGCTCAGTGTCTTGAGGTTTCAGCGCAGCCTCATTGACTCACGTGCCCATTTGGTTTTTTTTCTTGTAGGTGGCTGATCTTCGCGCACCAATCTCCTCGGCAGCCAGCGGCTTTGCGCAGCTCTTGCGCAGCCTGGAGTCTCAGCTGCAAGCCAATCGCCGCAACCTGCCGGCTGCCAGCTTTGCCTCCAAGTCTCTGGTTTCCAGCGAGGCAGACGTCAAGGCTGCTGGTGAGAAGGCGTTCACCGCGCTGTCCCAAAGCCAGCGTGACGCGCTCGAGAATTTGGCAGAGTGGGTGGGCTCGAAGCGCTCCTGTGCCGAGTCGCTTTCTTCTTGAAGGTTGAAGGTGGCAAGTCGACAGCATCTGCCTCATGAGGGAGGGAGTCCGGTGCGATGCAAAAAACTTCACCCTCTTTTCCAATACAATGTTCAACTTGAGCGGCAAAACAATGAACTGTTTTATTGGACTCATACAACTCTGCAACCCACGCTAAGGTTGAGATGCAGGCGATTCGCTCTGTGAAACTTGGGGAGTGGTGGAGGCCGGTGGCTTGGGGTAGGACGTTGGGCGAAGCGGGGTGAGAGTCTGGTCGTCGATCAAATCGACGCGATTCTTGTGAATCTGGAATGCGGGGGTGACCCAAGCGCCACAAGAGCATTGCATACCTGCGTTCGTTCAAGCAGTGTAATTCAGCGATCGATGTGAGTTGTGAGCTGTTGTTGGTGATTCCAAGGCCGGTCAGCTCGCTCGTGTTGGTTCACTTACCATACCAGTTGAAGTAACCCAACCTGCTCGCGCACTTCGCGTTCGGACACATGACTTTGCCCTCATAGACGAGCGGCTGTGGCTTCTCTTCATCGTAATCGTCGTCGGTAAAGTCTGTGTAAGCCTTGCCAGACGCAGTGCGCAACGTTGCGTAAGGATTGTGCAAGTCGTCATCACCATCACCATCGCCAGCGTCGGCGTCGTGGTCGGCGTCGTGGTCATGACTCTGTTCTGCGTCCGCCTCGCCAGACGTGGTCGAATCGCCGCCAGCAGCATGAGCGTGAGCCTGGTCTGGGTCGGCGTTGGTGCCTGAGAGCTGGAGCTGCGGCTCCATCCAGCGCAGCGGCTCGACAAAGAGCGACGTGCACGCGGCCGTCTTGTGGAGCAGCGAGACGACCGTCAGACCGCCATCTGCGCCCATCGTCGTCGCACGCTGGCCTGCCGCGCTTGCTCGAGCGCTCTGCTGGATGGCTCGCGTGCGCTTGGTCGGGCGGAAGGACGCCTGGCCCCTGCCCTCCGCGTGGGCGAGCAGGCACGAGTCAGTCCCCAGCGGAACGCGGCACACGCGGCATCGGAAGAGTACCTGCGACTTGGGAGGCTGCTGTGCTGCTGCTGCTTGCTGGGCCTCGGGCTGGGCCGCGGGAGGTGCTTGTGCAGACATTTGAGAGCTGGGGTGTGGTTTCTGAGAAAGCTGAGAACAAAAAGCAAAGACTGGGGCACTGTTTTAGGTTGAAGCATTGTCTGTATGGAAGAAAACAAAACAACAAAAAAACAATTGCACAACACTCGGGATGTCATGGAACAATGAATCATGTTGTCAAAGCTCAATTTCGCCCTGGTTCTCCGACAGCGAGCGATCGGAGCGCTCAATCTCGGAAAGCAAGGTGCGCACGATAGGCGTGTCTTTCAGTGCAAACGCAACGTCTTCGTGCGTAACGTTCAGCGAGGTCATGCGCTTGCGCATTTCTTTCGCTTTTGCGAGAACGATCATGTTGCAATTCTCCAACGCCATGCAAATGTCGCAGAACTCGCTCCACGTCGCGGGAGCAATTCCGCGATTCCGACACGTCTGACAATACGAGTCGAACACCTACAGCGAGAGTGAAGGAGCAAGACAAGTGAACAATACAGTCAACAAAGAGACACGCGATGAAATGCTGGATGTTTACCTTGCCAAGCTCGGCTGGCTTTTCCCGAAAAGACGCCAGCATAGCGCATAGCAATAGCTTTTGCTGGATGGGAATTCGCTGCAGTCGCTCCAGCTCGCGCGAGCCAAAGGTAGAGGCAATCCGGGTGATGTCCACTTTGGCAGTTTCGAATGCCAGCGTGCCGACTCGGACCTCGGTCTCGACCGCTGCGATTGCCTTTCGGCAAATATCAAGCGCCTTACGTACATCCCCAGAAGACGCAGCAATGCGGGCAGCGCACAGTTTGATTGCAACAGGGTCAATCACAGCGCCAGAGTTCCGGGCGGCCAGGCCGCTCAACCGATCAGCAATAATGCCAGAAATCTGTGGCTCAGAGTATGGCGGGAAATTCAGCACTTCTGGAGGGCCTGTGTTTCGATTCATCATGCGACGGCAAGTGAGGACCGATGACGACGAGTGGCAGGATTTCTCGTCAACAACAACACCAACAACAACGCATCGTACAGTTTTGCGCCTTTAAACGCTGCAATGTGCGATCCACCAAGTCGAGAGCGTTGGCAATGCCAATAAGGATCACCCGAGACCCCGGAAGCGTTGGCCATTCAAACAGCTTGTACAGGATTTCTTGCGTTCGCGTTTCCAATTGGTCCATCTCGTCCAGAATCAGAGTGCTGCGCAAGTGACCATGCCATCATTCATGAACGAAATTAGCCATCAGGCAGCACAACCACAGCGAAGCGGAAAAGGGAGTCGAGCAGAATCATCGGAAAGTGACAACAAGCACCAACACAAATCGCAATACACTTACGTGCTATCACGCCGCCGCTCGAGTGCAGCAAGGCACTCTGCCGCAGTGGACTTTCTGTACTGCGTACCAGATCCATGGAGTTTGGCCAACTGCGTCATAATGCAGCCGTAGAGCTCGCTCGGGTCTTTCAGTGACATGCAGTTTATGTAGATGGTTTTGGAGTGTGGCAGCCGATTCTGTCAACGAGATGCAAACAATCCCCCAAGCCAACAGAAGGAACCAAGTCAATACATAGGCACAATGGATTGATACAACAGTCGAAGCTTTCGGCAAGTCCTTTTTACCTCGGATTCCCATGGTGGAATGGACTTGGCAAGCTCGGTTACACTAGCAGTTTTGCCAGTGCCAGGGGCACCAGAAATATACAGCGATCGCGTTGCCGCAGCCCCAGAGGCGGCCGCTTGCAACGCAGTGTGCCAGAATCGCAAAATTGCAGTGTGCTCAGTGTCGCGGCATGGCACATGTTCCGGCACGGCATCCAGCTCAAGAGCAAGACGAGCGACGCCAAATCGCGACAGAGCTTGCTGTTTTGGTGTCAGAACGACTAAACCACAACAAAAAGCGTCAAAGATGAGGCCTCACCTGACGAATGACTGACAAGCAAAAGCAAACATGCCCATGTCGGCTCACCTTCTTTCCGATCATCCGGCTCCTCCTCTGTCTCGGACACGCTTCCCTTGTTCATCTCAATCCGATCTCGAGGAGTGGACACGATGGCCGGACGCTTTCTGGATTGCGTGCTCCTCCCATTCCCATTGTCGCGTTCGGGCGATTGTGATTCCGCTCTTCGCTTGGAGGTAATGCGCGTCGTGTCCGACAAGCCTTGCGTTTTCGCTTTGAATCGCGCGCTCAACGCCGCTGTCTTTGTCTCTGTCACGGTTGTCTTGCTTCGTGTTCGCGCGGACGGCGCTTCTCTCGGATTGACGTAGCTTCGAGACTGGTACGAGCTTTGGTCCATTGCATCATTCTCGGAATTGCGTCCGTCTTCTCGAGTGTCTTGTTCCGTATCTTCATCATCATTCTCACTATCTTGATCGTCTTCACCATTGTCCTGAGATTGCATGCGAGCAACGTCGTCGTTTGTTCGCTTTGCAGCCCTTGCGTTGATCGTTCTCTGCTCGGGTGCCCGTCGCCCTGGACGCGTGCTCGCAGTCATTGCCATCGCTGCTGCAGTGCTTGTTGTGCCATGTCGACCCCTGTGATGGTGGTGGTGGTGGTGGTGGTGGTGGTCGTCGTCGTCTTGATCGTCTTGGTCTTGGTCTTCGTCGTCGTCGTCGCTCGTGGTCCGAGTCGCAGTGCGTCGCTGCGCCGCGTTCAATGTGCTTGCCATGCTCGTCGTCGAGTGACGATCGTCCTGAGTGCTTGTGCCCGTGCGGTGGTCGGGTGCCAGACGCCTCGTGGCTGCCGCTGCGACTGAGCGACGACCTGTCAAACTCATATCCCAGCAGAAACAAACTGAGAACTGGACTGAGCAACTGAGCTCATAAACTTGCACTCACTCAAACACAAACCGAGCATTTTCGATCGTCTGTGCTGATGCGCTGGAGGTCCAGTCTTATTCCCTTTTTCCCCAATGCTGAGCAGCTGGAGCGTGCTGGCTGGACTTGCACGTCCCGCTCACCGATCGTGCGCTCGGGCGTTTGCATCGTACTCTGTCAGCTCATATGCACCAGCAGCAACAACAACAACAGCAGCAGCAGCGTCGGGGAATGGGACGCTCTCTGCCGCCGAGACTGAAGCGCTGTACGCGAGCATCATGGCGCGCGCATCATGGCGCGCTTCCCAAAGCCACCGCAGTATGCCTTTGCGTATGGGTCTGGTGTGTTCAACCAGAAGGGGGTCTCGCCCAGCGATCGATCGGTGAGAGCCAGACACTCGCGGTTGAGTTGAGGTGAAGGGGTGTGGTGCTGAGAATCTGAGATTCAACATGACTTTACTCACCATTGTCAACCTCCATTTCGTTTTTGTTGTTTTTGTTGTTTTTGTTGTTGTTGTTGTTTTGGGTAGGCAAATATGATTGACTTTGTCTTTGCCGTGGACAATCCGACCGACTGGCACGCTGCCAACTTACGCGCAAATCCGACAGACTACTCCTTCTTGCGCGTGTTGGGCGCAAGTGGCGTCACTGCTGTGCAGTCCAAGTCTGGAGCTGGAATTTACTACAACACGCTCGTCCCTTCCAATGGGCGACTGATCAAATACGGCGTCATCTCGAGTCAGGCGTTGTACCGAGACTTGGTGGACTGGAACTCGCTCTACGTTGCTGGCCGCTTGCACAAGCCGTCCAAGCATCTTCTCGGTCCTTTGAACCAGACGCTTGCGACACACGAGCGATTGGCGCGGGATTCAGCCTTGTCTGTGCCTCAGAGCGTCGACAGTTGCGGTTTGGTGCCGTCGTCGGTCGAAATGCTGCACGCCCAGCACTGGAATCTGCTTTCGGCCACTCGTGCCGCGCTATTGACGCTCCCAGAAACCTTCTCCTTCCGAGACTTGTGCCTCGCAGTGTCTGGCTTGTCGTACACTGGCGATTTCCGCATGACGTTCGGAGAGAATCCGAACAAGGTTGGCAACATTGTCGACGCGAATCTGGAGCACTTTGTCGAGCTGTACGCGACACCGCTGCTGGTCGATCTGCGCGATGGCGTGACTCTATTAAGCACACGACGAGAATCTGGCCTTCCAAGGTGGCAGCCCACCACGCAGTTCCAGCAAGACACGTCCCCCACAGCACGCCAACGTTTGCTTCAGAATGTTCCACGAGGACTCTCGGAGGCTCTGGCGCATGTCAAGCAGAACGCACCTAGATCCTTGACGCGAGCTGCGCCAGAAGCGTCTGGCGGTTTGTCCATTCCCAATAGATCGCAGATTCTCGCTGGCGTCGCTCAGATCGTTGCCGGCACTGCCATTTCCCAAAGCCTCAAGGGCATTCTCACGGGTGGGGTTCTCAAGGCGTCTCGCTATGCCCTCCAGAAGGTCGGCAAAATGCGCAGCGCATCCAAATGAAAACCCCAAAATGTCTTCCAACACTTTTCTGAGACAATCCTTTGTTTGTTCTTTGTCTGATCCATGATTCGATTACTGTATTATTATTTTTTTTTTCCACAGTCATTCATTTTTGATCATCATCATTTCTGTTCCATCACGAATGAACCGACTTCGAGGCAACAGCGGACCAACGCAGCAGCAGCAGTTCCAGCAGCAGCAAGCGCTGGCCATGGCTGAGCAGGAGCTCGAGGCCTTCAGCGACCTCTTCTCACGGTCAGCGCCGCCCCAATCTCACTCGATCCTCTTTCATAGACCTTTGATTCAATCCTGGAGGTGGAGGTGGGGGAAGAGCGGTTTGCTGGCAGAGGGGGTTGAGGGTTGACTTTTCCATGTGTTCCAGTCAAGTCCAGTCCAGTCAGTTCACTCACAGTTCAAGTCACAGTTCCAGTCAGTCAGCAAAAACGCAAGGAAGCTCAGGATTTGCTCGTTGAGCCCGTGTGTGATTGCGTGAGAGAGAGTGAGCGAACGTGAAGGACGAGGATTTGCTCAGTCGAAGGCCAAGACAGAATCTTAGTGAACACGGGCGTAGACGAATCCCATTTTTATGCAATACTGGCATACTCAAGGTTCACTACTCGTCCACTGCTTTTGTTGCGCTCGTCTGACTCTTTGTTTTTTTTTTTTGTGTTTATTTTTCACAGAATGACACACGGCTGCTGGACCAAGTGCATTGCCAATAATTACGCCGACGGATCGCTGGCCAAGGGCGAGACGGTGTGCATTGACCGATGCGTTGCCAAGTTTGCCGAAGTTCACACACGAATTGGCCAAAGTTTGGCAGAGATGCAGCAGGCACAACAGGGTGCAGCACCAGCAGCGCCGCAATAGTGTGGTGTGGTTGTTGTGTGTTTGTGATGCTCGGAGATCTGCATTGGAAGGCGTGTGGGTGTTTACAGTACTGTATTTCGACCTTTTTTCTGATGGAAGCAGGAATAAACGCGGCTCGATAACTCTACAACCGTGCTTTTGCAAGCTACACCGCCATGATTTCGATGCAGAGTTTTGACCAGATCTTTGGGGGAATGGCGGGGGCTTGAGGCAGTGTTGCCTTCCACCTTGCCGACCGCTTTCGAATTTTTTTTTGGGATTTTTGGTTTTTTTCCAATTCCTGCAGGTCTGTTCTGCCCCCCCCCTCCATTCCACCATGTTATGATAGTATACCATAGATATCAATAATCGATGGCAGAAAATATGGCATGCAAATCGAACAGGTCGCGAGGGAACGAGTTTTTCGTCAATTGCCCCGACAATCGCCAGTTGCCCATGACACAGCGCCGTCCTGTTGGCTTCTTCGACCCCAACTCCACTTCTAATTTACTTGTGTGAATTATTTGTGCACTTGGGAAGAAGGCGAACGGGATTGGCGAGACTTGATTTCACTCGGTTTCCTCATGCTACAACCTGGGCCAGTCATACATAGAGGGGGGTCGCCTGAATATGAACAAAATAAAAGTTGCTGGCTATTCGAGTGCCGCCCGAGTTTTTGACATTAAAGTACTCGACACACTCTTTTAATATATAGGTGCGACGGAGAGGTCGGCGGCGGGCGATGGGTTGGTAGGGTATCGCGTGGCAGTTTCGCTCATTTTGCTGGACGACCATTACGCTTGTTCATATTCAGGCGGACGGCCTCTCTGGTCGCGACCATACTCATCCAGGCGGACCATCTCTCACCGGTGCCTATGTTATCGAGTTAGATCTTCCTATTTCTGGCAAGAAGCGGGACAGAATCGCGCAGGGGTGGCCGCAGGGCCCGATGGAGGCTCAACCCAGCCAAACAGCCATACGGCGGCACTTTGGATAGGCGAGTCCGAAGTCCCTTCCGTTATGCAGAAATTGATGTATGCAACATGTATGTTTATTGGATGAACAGGTGTTGGGACGGGAACATCGCGGGGACAAAGCCAAGGTGATTTGGCCGGTGCGACAGATCCACCAGCGCGGGAGGCGCCTGCACAGCCTGATCGGGACTATCGAGGCGCGCTCGTTGCGAAATACGACCGGGTGCATCATCATCATGATCGGGTGCCTGCTCGCGGGCTCGGCGCATTGGACGCAGGCGAACATTTTCCGCCATATT